TGTTTGTCTGTACGTTGGCTTCTTGAATAGACCATCAAGCTACTCTAGTTAACTGGCTACTTTAAAATTAATTTATTTAATCAGGCCACGCGCATGCTACCAATTTAGGGTCCTACGTATAAGATAAAGAAGAGTAAATCTTCTAGAACTACTGGAGATTGTTTATTTAAAAATCGGAGCAGACTTGGGAGAAAGGGTGGAAAAGTTGCCTAGAGTAAAATTAAAGCACCCGGTTTTATCTGAGTAGGAACTGTTCATCCTGGACCCCTCTCTGTTCCTTGTAAAAGCAGTTTCTTAGGAAGCTCGCTTTTACGACATGGGGAATCTTAGGATCAATAATTTTTTTACAAGATGCCTTCAGAAAAGGCCTTTTAAAAAGGCTCTTATGAAAAGTAATTAGAAAACATTACTTTCGCATGGACACATGTGACATAATTTATACTTGTAACATTACTTTTGAAATGTGGATAGTTATGGAATTGTTGTATGAAGCTATGTTAGTTTTCTGCAACAGTTACCTCTAAGTTGGAGCTTCTTTCCGATGTAACTCCAGATATGAAACTTTTCAGGATCAGTGATAAAATTGGTCCAAGTAACAAGAAGGACAGCATCAGATCCTGTGGAGATGAGAATTACTTGGGCAGTCAGTAACTCTTTGTTTCTATTGCAGATGGCAAGGATATGAAGGCTTTGTAGCAGTTCATCATCTTCCAACATTTGGCTGCAGGGACTGGGAAGCTTTCAACACTACAGGTGGATCATACCTCATGTATTCAAGTGCAAGGGAGCCACTGTCCAGGGTTCTAAAGCTGAAAACCTTTTGACCTGGAAATAGATGGTTTGATTTCCTGCAAGCAAGAGGCAAACTTAAACCTGGGAAGGAATACTCTGGCTACTCAGGGTTAGAAGGAGGAATGTTGGACACATTGCAGTGGATTCCATAGAACAGGTGCTTACTTAGCCTCTCTCAGCTACCCAGAGTATAAGGCTACTAGGGAGAAGACTGTAATTCTTTCTCCTGCAATGTTCCTGCTGTGGACATGAAATATAGATTTCAGCTGGGCAATAAGATTAATAATTAATTGTAACTTTGATTCATTATTCCAAGGTATACACTTCCAAACAACTTCCAGATCCCAAAGAACTGCTGATGTAATCAGCATTTATATATAAAGTTGAGAAGGTTTTTGCTATTAGAGCAAGACACTGGAAACAGGAGGTATCCTTGGGCACACTTTGGGTTATTAATCTATAAATCAGAAAAATGGAACAAATAGAAGCATTTGTGCTAAATCCTTTCATATTCCATACATACAGAAGCCTCAGCTGGCATCACATTATGGGAAAAGCATGGATGTGCACATTTATACATAGTCCATTCCATTTGTTTGTAACACAATCACCATAAGACCTTATGCAATAAGCTGATAATGTTTAAAAAACAACAACAAAAAACTGAAGAAGGGTTCCTCAGAAGGTGAGATTGTGTAGAATGTGGGACTTCAAAGAGCTGACATTTTTTGGCTATTGTAAAGCTTTGTAGCTATCAAACCAGCTTAAAACATTATTTATGGCTCTAGCTCTTTTGATTTCAAGGGAGCAGCACTGAGTCAGTCAGACACTCAGAATAACAAAAAGTGCAGCAGTTATTCTAGACTGCATGGTGTGTATTCCATACACACACCATCCATTATTCAGGTGCAAGGGCAAGGGTAAAGACCCTGCCCCAAAAAATTACCTATGACAGAGATGAGAGATGATATTCTAGAGGTTGCTGGCCTCTGACCCTCCCCAGCTGTCACAGCCAGTGATAATGGATTAGGGGAACTATAGGCTGAGAACATCTAGGGGTCAAACTGTTCCCAATTCCTGGGTGATGTGTGTTTTTGCATTTTTCCAATTATATTTCTTAGAACTGCAGCATAACTACAAAAATAAATATTCTAATGACATTACCCATTATTGTGTTACATTAAGGGATTGTAGATAGGTGATTGTATAGGCATTTCCCATGGTCCAGCAGGCTAGCTATTTCATGCCCAGTCATGCACTGGTTAAGATACTGGTTGCACAGTCAGTTGGGCAACAAGTGTCTTCAGGAGTAGGGGAAAACCTATGTGAATTCCCTTAGTCTCTGAAAAGGATACTAACCTTTATACAGTAGCAGCTGTCTATTTCAGTGCATACTGACATTGGGGAAACCATTAGTCTATCAGATGGCCCTGTGCTATCTTTGTAGTAAGTTCCACACCAGAGTTGTTGGTGCTTCTTCATTCCTTGCTTTAATGTTAGTCCTTGAATAGCCCTCAAAGTAACTTTTACCTGCTGTTGCAAATGATTTCATAATTGTTTATAAACAATATGTTTATATCATATAAAATGATGCAATGCACAATTACATTTGTTATGTGGAGATAAAGTTATTTATTATCCTGAAAATGTTTGCAACATTGGAAATAAATATCAATAAAATCAGCAGAGTGATTTTCATGTCAACCCAAAGGCTCACTACTCCTTCAGAGCTGTTAGCGTAGTCAAAAACCATACTAGGTGAAATGAAGGAATAAATGCATTTCCAACTGTCCCTGCCATGCTGCTCTACATTACTTTAGTCCTGGAGTACAGAAGTCAGATTCAATTTTATGTTATTTTTAAAAATAGAGCAGCTTGAGTATAAGAACACAGGAAGACCTTTGACAGATCAAACCAAAATCCCATCTAATCTAGAATTCTAATGACTGAAACAAGCACAGGAGAAAAATTAGCTAAAAGCAGATAAGTGAAGCCAAAATTGGCACTAATTGATCCCCCTGGGTATGGCCCATCAGCTTTAGGCAATCATTAGTTTCTTGTGCATCGTGTCAGTATGTTAGTACAGTTTTTGTTGGTAATTAGGAATAAAAATCATTATACAGTACATGGAAAAGTTTTTCAGTGTAGGCTATGTTGCATGAGATGGAGAGAAAAACAAGCCTATTACAAAGCATCTGGTATCTAGTCATTACTTCTATATCATGAGCCTCAGGTCTTACTCCTAACAACTTACTCCTTACTCCTGGTTATCACAAATATTCTTGTATATCCACTAATCCTACATTTTTCCTTGGCAAATATCCCCCTCCCTCTATCACATGTATCCCACATTCAGTTCTTTCAGATAGATACCACAGAACCAGCATCTGCTTAGTTCCGAGAGCTAGTAGTACGTGATCATTCTCAAACAAGCAAATTTACAGCAGATAATTGATTTTGTGCTGGCTGAATAGCTCAGTGGTTTATGTATTTGGTTAGGAGTTCAGTTCCCCACCATACCTCCTGGGTCTCGGTCAAGTTGTACAGTTCCAGGACACCCCCAGAAAAAGAGAATGGTAAACCAATTCTGAATGTTCTATACTTGGAAGGAAAAGGGTTGCCACAAGTCAGAATTGAGTTGATGGCACATGATGATTATTATTGTTATAGATATCCTGTTTCCCTGAAAATAAGACCTAGTAACCTGAAAATAAGCTCTAGTATGATTTTTCAGGATGCTCGCAATATAAGCCCTAACCCAAAAATAAGCCCCAGTTAAGTTAAACCCCGCTCTCTACCATTGTGCAGCATTCTGTAGCAACCAGAAGATGGCATGACTGTAAAATAAAACATCCCCTGAAAATAAGCCCTACTGCGCTTTTGGAGCAAAAATTAATATAATACTCTGTCTTATTTTCGGGGAAACACAGCTTTACAGACTACCCCTCCAATTTACTCAGCTTAGGGTAAACCTGGTATCTTTTTGTAGTAAGCTTGGTGGGAGCAATTTGGGAGTATGTTTCATAGATGTGCAATGGGAAGAGAAATAAATCTAGCAGCAGCCAGCAGGGTTTCTTTTCCTAGGTCGTAAACAATGTGCCCTGGAGAGTATAATATCCATGCAGTAAATATGCTGGGTGTGGGACAACAACAACAGCAACAAACTAGTGTCTGGATTTGTTTCCTTTTCTGATTCTTCTCCATCTCATTTTCTTTCTGTGTCATGTGTATTAGATACCATGGCTGTAAGCAAGCAGTGTAATGTTTCTATAACTTTGAACCTAAAAACATTTAGAGATATCAAAGAAGAGGGCATCCCTGAAACAGAAGACTCAGGACAATGGCTTTTCTGATTTTTAAAAATATTTTAAAGAGGATCCCTTCCAGCTCTGAAGTTTAATGACGGTGATGATGATGAAACAGCAGCATAGATTAGGACTTCAGTACTGTAGCAAGAACAGCCAACTGATGCACAGCCACCATTTTTTAAAAGTTAACAGATTAATCCAAGGACCTGTGTGACTCATCACAAGCAGTGTCATTGCTATTAGCTGCTTGCTGCCTGCCCCCTATGGAATCTCATTCTGCATCAGGGATGGATATAGCCTTCCAGATATTGTAGATATATACCCACTATTGGCTATGCTTGATAAGGCTGATGGGTGTTACAGTGCAATAAATGCTGGAGGACCACATGTTCCTTGCCCTTACTCTATACAGCCCTTTCTTTTAACTGGGAAGAGAATCATTTTTTTCCAGCACCGTGGCAGAACAATCTGAGTGGTGGGTTGAGTGATATCTCCCAGTCAAAATGCTATACTGGAGAAAGGAAGAGACTGCAGGCACCTGAAAAATAATCAGCAGCAAAGGTGCACAAATTCTATAATAAAGATCATCATCTGAAAAGAAAAAAAAACCAATAAAATGCCCCTAAAGCCTGCTCTTTCTAAAGCTGACACCATCCCATTCTCCTGGCCTTCTGTGCTTCTTCATCTTAGAATCTTAACCTTAGAACTACAGAGCTGGTGGTGACCCTATGGCTCATAGGGTCCAGCCCGTCAAGGAGGCACAGGGGGAAATTGAACTCACAGCCTCTGACTCTGCAGCCAGAGACCTAAACCACTTCTGATTACGTTGTTATTTCTATCAACACGAGTGTAAGGGAAGCCTATTTTTCAAGAAGAATACAGACAGTTAAAAAGTTACAAGCCTTGGCAACGCACTCCGGGAACCTATGGGAACGGAAGTTCTGATTCTTTAATAGTTTTATGAGTGATTTAGAACTTTATTTCATTTCCTTCATAATTACATCTTAATCAAATAACCTTTTTTTTTAAAAAATCAAACACTGAAGTTGGCTGTCACCTAGCTTTTTTATCACCTAGAAAGATTTAGGGAGCTGCCATTGCTATATTCATTTTGTGTATTGTACATACAGCCTCTACAGCATGATTCCGCCTTCTCAGACTCCAGCCCCAGCTGTATCATAAAACAAGTTCATGAAGAATGGGTGGTATATGAGAAACAGGAATATTTAGATATAGGCAATTTCACTCTCAAGTTTCCACTTTTCATAGGACATATACTGTTCAGCAGTGTTCATTCACTGAAACCTGCTCAAATTTCTTCTCTGACTCTTTTCCATGCCTCTTTTAGCAGGGGAATCACTGAAGACAGGTTTGAATCAGAGTGAAGAGATATGGGCTCCATATGCACTGAAGTAGGCAAGCCTAAGGGAAGCATTTACCCTTTGTGCAACACAAGAAAACAGATCCTGTTAAATTATGTTTGCAAAATGTTAAGAATTTGGAGGAAGGGCAGATTTAAAAACAAACAAACTCTTGAGAGTGGTACTAACTTAAAGTATCAAACAAAAGTCAACCACAGTCATAATTGAGATCATTAGCACACTTGTCAAGATCTTTTGGTGGTTCCACTAAGGAGCTTCATGATCAGGTCTTGACTGCAGATGCTTGGTGTTCATGTTCAACAGTCCAGTGTTCTCCTGGAAAGCAGATCTCTTTTTAGAGCTCTGTCTGGTTTGTGCTGGGACTCCACTATGGGTAACACAGCAGAAAAGATGGGAAACTTTGGTTTGGACATTTTTAGTACAGTTATAACAATGACAAAGTTTCCCCCACTTTATATTAAACATTTTGCTTTCTTAAAAAACAAAACAAACAAAACAAAAAATAAAAACTTAGAAAAGTCCTCAGAGAAGAAGTAGGAAATAAAAGTCCTAGACCCCACCCAACGTTCTTGACTTTAGAAAACTGGATGTGTAGCTTGGGGTCAGTTCTCCTGGTTACAGAATAGTGCTGATGGTTTCTTTAGGAACCCTTGTGCTCGGCAGTGATTTCAGGTATTCCAGGTGCTTCCTTGTATCTTCCTGATTGTGCCGAACATAGTAAACCACATAGCTAATCACCAATGTAAACCAGCTGAACATGGTAACAAACATGGCAACGTCAGTGGTCTTCTCATGTATGTTGCACAAATTGATGCCGGAATCAAGGATATGGAGCAGAGGCTTCCCAGCATATTCCTCTTGCACAGACGTTTGGCAAGTAATCTCATTGACTGACTCTGGGTCTAGTTTCACTTCCCACAAGACTTCCTGCAAAGTACACTCACAATGCCAGGGATTGTTGGATAGGCGAATCATGGCATTCAAGTTGGCCAGGGCTTCCTTTGGGATTCTCTGTATATGGTTGCCCGAGAGATCGAGCAACCTCAGGCCATCAGCAACCCCTTTAAATGCTGCAGAATCAATCTTCTCAATGGCATTTTTGGAGAGGTCTATCTCTTGCAAGTGGGCAAGATGCTTAAATGTGCTGTTGGGGACGGCAGTGATTTTATTCGCATCTAGCTTCAAAAACATAGTGTCTTTGGGGATGTCCCTTGGGATCTCTTGCAGGTTGCTAGCACTGCAAAGAACAGCTGTTGCTCCAGAGTAGTTGGTACACTGACACTGGTCAGGGCAGGAGGTACAACAACAGGAAGGGGTGCAGAAGAGAAGACAGAAGAGAGTTTGAGAGCAGAAGAACAGCGCAGGCCAAGATGGTGCAGCTGCCAGAAACATGCTGGTCATCCAATCAGCAGTCTGCAGTTCTGCATGGCTGCTAAGGCAAATAAAGTGAGCCTCTCTCACAATCTTTTGTGCTGGGAACATCCACAATGCATTCTTCAGATAGTGGCTGATCCGCAACAAGTTTGGATAAGGCTTAGCCAACTACTCACGCCTCTCGTCTTTCAGGGTAGGGACAGGCAGTCAAGTAAACCTTTATAGGGGCAGACAATATGAACAAAACAGAAGAACAGATGAAGAGATGTGGAATCAAACCAAAGACCCACCTGATTTATCATTCTCTTCACACAGTGGCCAACCACTGTACAATAGCACTATTTTTTTGTTTCCCAGCAACTGATGCATTCAGAGGCATAAGGCTTCTTACACTGGTGATAATATATATCTGGCATCATTAACAACAGACACTGATAGGAGTCTGCAAAATCACAAGAGCAAGTGGGTTTTATTGGCATAAAATAAATTTCATGGAAGTTATGAGCTAACATAGCTATTTAGCAATAGGAGACCTTATACTGAGCCTAATAAGTAAATAAGTACCATACTGTAAATAAGTAAAGCTGGCCATATTGTTTGCTTTTGCCTATCCCCTTCCATAAAATTATTCTCAGCAACGGTAATAGAAAGACTGGCTGATGGCTCTCAGTTTTCCACTAACTATGGATGGCTGCAGTTTTGGATTTACTATGTGGATTTATATTGTATGAGATGGAAGATCAAAATTGTCTGATTTTTTAACTACCTACATGCTATGAGCTGCATTATATTGTTTTAAGCCTTCTCCTCCATTATATCTTGAGACAATATGCAAAGAAGAATAACTGGAAACCAATCCCTTCTCTCCTTTTCCCTCTCACTTCTAGCCACCTCGGGCAGAAAGGAGTTTCCCTGCTGTGTCAAACTGCCTTTCGAAGCTGCTCCCTCCATCTTCTGAGGTGCCCAATACATTCCTGAGAGCCTAAAAAGGAATGTGCAGCAACATAAGGAGAAAAGTGATGGGATTAAACATTTGGAGTGGAAATGTGTCAATGGGTGAAGCAATAGGCATCACTCTTCTGCCATTTTTCTGCTTCAAATAATAGCTGTTAGCCTTTTTTTCTCTCTCCACAGGAAGGAGGAGGAGAAATGGAGACAGTGGCAAAAGCAAGAGGTATAGGGGTATGGAGTTCCTGTCTATGTATTTGAATCACCTTTGAATGATGTCACCTATTTCACATAGTTATGAAAAGTGACACAAGAAAATTGCATACATTGCTATATAGACAATAAAATTGGCAAGTGTAAATACGATCTAAAACTCAAGTTCAATATCGCTTTAGCTGTCATGGCTTTGTCCAAAGAACCCTGGGAATTGTAGTTTGGTGATGGTATAGAAAAATCTGTGAGAGGCCATTAACCCTCATTGGTAGAACTACAATCCCCAGAGGTGCTTGAGGAAAGGGATTCTTCTGACTATTGAACAAGTTTAGGTCTCTGTTATAAATATGCCCCATGAATGATCATCTGAATTCATCAGTTCTAGGTTTGAACATCTGGGCTTTTGTCATAGTCTAGCTGGAGATTCTCCCCAACCTTTAATTGGTTCTTATGAGAGGGAGAACCTCATTGCAGGAGATGGGGCGACCTCTTCGCTCTTTGGGAAGACCTTTCCTGGTCTCCCCTCACCACCACCCCGCCCTTTACCGTAATCATCTATGGCTATGATTGATGCTTCTTTACTTTCATCCATTGCGGAGACGAGGAAATCTACCAGGCACGGCTTTTCAAACCTCAGTGCCCCCCCCCCAAACGACATGACAAACGGCGTCTCCTGCATCCGGAACCCCCTTTTTCCCATCTAACAATTAAGAGCCCACAAGTCATCACGTCGAGAGGCTGGTGGGTCCATTCCCGCTTTAAGCACAGCCGAATAGAGCTGCTATAACCTTATTTTTCTCTCGAGGATGTAAATATGGCACTAAATGGGAGCTGCCGCCGCCGCCTACGATTTCTCCCCCAGACTTTTCGCCCATGACGAAAGTGGCCCGGAGGCTACCCACCTAGAAGGCTCGACGCCCCATGAACCTGCCCCTTTGGGGTCCCTTTAGCCAGCCAGCCCCGCATTAGAAGTCTTTCCTCCCTCCCCTGCGACCCTCTGCTCCCCCGCCTCGCCTTCCTACCAAACCTGAGGAGGAACCTCATTACCTGAGCTGCGGTCCGCGCAGTCCCGCTCCCCGGCCCGTTCCGAGTCCCTCCAGCCCCGGAGCGTCCCTTGCCCCCCACACGGCGCAGCCACTCTGGGGCGCAGCCCAGGGCGTCGGCGCCGGCAGGAGCGCGGGCGGGCAGCCCAGGCGCAGCACTTGTTGCTGGCCTCCCTTTCTCTTCCTGCCAGTCGCACACAAAAGCCATTCATGGGGAGGGTCGCTCGGCCGTCATTGGATGGCCCCAGCTTGCTGTCACTGCCATCCAGGCTGAGCACCATCCCTTGGTTTTTAAAGGGGGGGGGCTGTTCGGAACTAGACGCATGCTCCGTACAGCCCAACAACACCGAGCCATCTTGCAATGCCGGGGCGGGGGCGCGGGATTGAGCCAGCCTTCATTCGTCGTGTATTTGGGAGGCCGGCGTCAGGGAATCCCCCCACAACGCAGAGCAAGTGACAAAACCTCTGGAGACTGAACCCCAGGCCGCCTCGCTGTTGGATGCAGCGCGCCCTTGGAGGTTGTGATGCTTTCTTCTGGCACGCCAGAGGCGACTTCCGGCGTTATGTAGCATTTCCCCGGGCACCGACCTCAGATCTTAGTCTTGCATTCTTCGTCTCGATCTGAAGGGCCGGCACCTGAGGCGCCTTCCCTGAACCTTTCTTGACCTAAGAAAAAAGAAACAAAATATCCCCCTCTAGTGGTCGAATAGCAGCTTCCCATTAGTTTCTATGGACGGGAAAGAGCAGATACGGATCAAATGGTTTTCAATGCATTCCTATGGGAAATGCAGATTTGACTTGAGAACTTTTTGACTTGAGAACCGCCTTCCAATACGGATTAAGTTCTCAAGTCAAGACCCCACTGTACAGTACTTGAGGGCAGGTTGTACATAGAGGCAACTTGAGCTGGGTTTTGTTGGGCATCCTGATTATGCTGGACATCCTAATAAAGAAGGGTAAAACACACATTTGCAACATGGCACTTGTGTACCAGCCACGTGTTTTTAGGCAAGGCTTCCAATGTCATGAAGTTCATCACTATGAACACAACTTTTCGTCATTTTCTGTGGTGCGATTTTTACTTGCAAGGGACAAATTCTTTTAAAACGCACAAATGAAGGTGTCCTCAACCTCCCCTCCTGGAGGGAAGGTATACAAAGCTTGGAGGGGATATTGACTACTATCCTCCAAGCACCATGGTCATTGCCCATGCTGGTTGGGAAATTGTGAGAACCCTCCAGAAAAGTAACACCATTTGCAAATTCTGGTGGAAAGGGCTTCACTAAGTGCTGGAAGCAAGAGAGGTCACTCTTAGCTAGTATGAAACCATTTGAAAAAATGGGTTTCTGGATGTACGTATTTGTAAAGAAACACATTTAGCAGTCACGGACTGGAAAGTGGTGGCCATGCTTCTTACCGCTGGACATTGTGATGTTGGTGGATGACATAGCATCATGTGACCCTGCTAAGTGATGTCCTGATCTACAGGATCCTGATGTAGATAGGCTTCAGGCTTAACAGTGGTGGCTGAATAGGACTGCATCAGGGATATGAAAAAGGTGAAATTACTGGGAAGTGGGAATTGATTCATTCAAAATGTGATGTTGGAGGAGAGCCGTACATGGAGTGCCAGACAATAATTTGGTGTTAGATTAAATCATGTCTGAACACTTTCTAGAAGCCAAAATGATTAAACTGAGGCTGTCATATTTTGACCATATAACAAGAAGACAAGCCCACTAGAAAAGCTGAAGGAAGCTGGAAAAGAGGAAAACTGAATATAAGATGGATTAATTCTATAAAGGAAGCCCAAGACAGTTGTTTGGTCTGTTAATGAGCAGACCTTCTGAAGGCCACTAATTCATTGGGTTACTGTAAATTGAAAGTAATTTATTAACAAATACCAAAGATTCACTGGTGAAATGTTTCCTGTTCCATACACCACACCCAACTTTCCAACACTCAAGGTCTTTTTTGGCCTGGGGAAGGCTTTGGGAGGCTGGGGATGGGAGGGGGAGCCTTTAATCTCCCCAAAATCAACACTGAAGATCCCATCAATGAGATTGAGACTGTCAGCAGATACTTTCAGGCACTAAAGTCTCCCTAATCCCACAGATTTCCCCAGGTCAAAAGAGATCCTGAAACCAAGGAAGATGGAATAGGAAACCTTTAATGAGTGATAAAAGTCTGCAGCTGCTGTTGTCATCAGCTTGCACTGGTATAATTTTATACAAGACAATTTTGGCATTATGTATTAAATGTACTGAGTTAAAATAATTTAAAACAACAGGGAAATACATTATATAAAGTACAAGGTATAATATCTGCTATTAAAAACCCTTGGCAGCTACTTATTTCTTAAAAGTCTGTGTGAAGAGAAAGAGCTTTGCCTATCACCAGAAGGAGAGCAAGGAGTGACCAAATTGAGCTGCTGTGGAAGGGAACTCCACAGCCCTGGAATAGTCCTCAGGAGACCTTCTGTCATCTCCCCACCAGGCACAACTGTGAAAGTAATGGGACTTGGAGAAGGCCTTCCTCCCAAAAGGGGTTCTTCCTTGAAACACATGGAGGTTCATATATGCAGATGTAGAACCGTGTCCTATGGGCACTGAGAGGTTTAACATAGTTTTCGGTGTTGTTATCTATTGGCAGTGTGGCAACCTTCCTAAATAGGAGAGCTGGATGACGCACTATGGTCTACAGGAGCCAGTGCTGAATTCAGAGGAGGCTATTAAATTTGTTTAAGTCACACAAGAGAGCCTATCTCAGCCCATTCTCAGTACATGTCTTATTCTGAAACTGTGTAAGTGTGGTTCCATGGCCGAGTGCTAAAATTGTATATACCAGTGTATTCATTACTATGCTTCCTGTTTCCTGGGATAAATTCACTAACATTGCTCTTATTTATAAGAGATATGTCTGCTATATTTAGCTTCTAGAATATTCCTTCATTGAAGTAGGAATGAACAGAGGAACTGATAATCAAGCAGCTTTGCTACTGATGAGTGGATAGAATTACACCTTTGAGGAAAAGCTGGCTGCAGCCCTGCTAGTAATGCACAGATTTTTACACAGTCCTCTAGTCTATAAATAGCAACAGCAGAGTTAATGGAATTTCTGACACTGAGACATCAACACTTGGTGAACAGATATTTTTATTGAGAAGCTACAGACCAACATGAAGCTTTAGCTCAGATTCCATTAACATTAGCACCATTGGACTAAAATATGAAATATCAGGAAGTCCCATGTGAATATAAGGAATAAGAAGTGTGGGAGTGTGGCCGTCAAGAGAAAGTGCAGAAGCTAAAACATTTTAGTGATGTTGTTTTCTGCAGACACAAGCAGCAGTCTTCTTCAATCAGTTTTGCATTTATTAAAGTTGTGGTACCTTACATAAAGGATTAAACCAGCACCATTTGCAATGATGGAAATGCTTGTGAAATGTGCTTCAGAAAGGTGGATTTTTCTTTTCTGATGATCACCTACCAAGCAGACTGGGGACAGGTAGCAGTGGGTAAGGGCTGGAATGAAGTTCTGCTGTTCCCATCCTCTGCCATTTTGCTATTTTTAAAAACAAGTTCTTCCTTATATAAAATAGCAATAGAGTGAAAGAAGAAAAATGGGGTATAAATATTTTAAATAAATAAATAATAAATAAGGGTCCTGCTTAGCTCTGTCTTTTCCAACTATGTTTTCCAAACTGATATACCCAGCTGCTTTTTTGAAGAGCTGAGGTGGGGTGGAATTGTTTCTGAGCAGCCACAATGGCTTGGGAATGTGGTAATCAATGGAGATGCTGCTCTGCACCTCAACATCATCAGAGGTTCTATTTATGGCAACCCAGGACAAGGTTTTTTTCAGTTCCAGCTCCCAGGTGGGAAAACCTCCTAGATTAAGAGGCATAATTGACCCACTCTCTCTCTCTCTCCCTCTCTCCAAGACACATTTGTTTTGCCCTGCCTTTTATTTTGTTTGGTTTTTCTTACCACTTTTTGATTTTATAATACTGCCTGCTGCTTCTGGTTCTGTTGTTTTTAATAGATTTCTAAGCTGATCTTTTAAATCAGGATTTTGTAAGTTGCCATGAAAGCTAAAGGATAGGATCTGGGGCAAATTCTGAACTGAGTCAGGGAGACACCTAACCAGAATTAATGGGGTATAATGCTCTGGTCATCAATCATTTTTTGTTTTGTCTTGGTTTTTTTTTAATGGAATGCCTCATAGGCACATAGGACAGGTTGCTGGGAATCAGGATGCCTGGTAACCAATACAGCAGGGATGTTGGCAAGACTTTTGGTCCAAGTTTCAAGTCTGAGTCTGAGTCTTTGGTATCAAGTGTTGAATCCCAAGCTCCAAGTCTGAGTCCCTATTAAAAACAAGCATTTTCCGTCTGGAAAAGAAGGGAGGACTGGGTGGGTTCTGCATTGCAGATTGAATCTGAGTCATTGGGGGAGGGGAACGAGTCGAGTCTGATTTGAACCACCTGTGCAACTTAAGTCCGAACTGACAGCGAGTACCATGACTCAAGTCCCCATCCCTGTAATATAGTTTGATTTGTTGTGTCACGGTCACATACTTAAGCCTGGACACTGAGCCAGCTGAGTCTGAGTCAATGGTGTTGACTGTGAAACAGAACTCCAATTATTTCTAATATTAAATTCTTATGTCTACAGTGTAATGTGGCCTAGACCTTTTGTCCCATTTTTTTGCTCTGTACATCTCTGAACTGTTTAATTTTGTATTTTGAGCTCACATGAATCGATTTTACCTTGAATCATTGCATCGATCTGCTCGGTAAACCCTGTCAGCTTCTGGCATAAACTGCAAAATGTCCTGTGCTTCTTGTGCAAGACTGTTCTGTTTCATTTTTTTTTCAAACCAAAGACCTAGGCCTCTCTCGGGAGAGCCCATTTGTCCCAAAGTAAGACACAGCATGTTCCTGAAAATGGAGATGACTAAAGAGTGAGACAGAGAAAGAACAAAAAAATGACCACTGAAAGCAACCCGAAGCACAGTCTCATGGTTCTAAATATCCCCACAGGATATATCTAAGGGAACATGAAGGTCCGTGCTCTTTTACTACCATGGAAAATAATTTTAAAGGCTTTGTTGGGAGGAGGATTGAACCTATACACTCAAAACAGTGGTCACATTCGATATAACAGCAAATCAATTCTGCTTTAGCATTAAAACTGCATTCTCCCATTGCCCCCTCATTCTCATATGTACCTTCTTCTTCTGTTTTAATCAGTTTACCCTGTCATTGATAACCGCACAAATCATGGTTTATATAAATTACAATTCATAGAAAAATTCCACCTTCAAAGCATAGTTTATGAAACTATTGTACTGAATCTTAATGACAGTTAGTAGAAATAACTATCATTAAGATTCAGTACAATTAGAGCCAATCTAACATGGAATCAAGTCCTTCCAAGCCCCTTGCAGTCAGAGAAGGGAAAGCCTATAAGCCAAGGGCAGGCTGAGACATGTAATGATATACAGTGGCTTATGCCTGAATGCAGCCAATATATCTGATCGCCAGATGCTGCAGCCAAATCACAAGGGAAGGCGCTTTCCATCATGCCCTTTTAAAGAGGCTCCTAAGAGGCACTTGGCCAGTCATGGTTGGATTTTTTTTTGGATTTTGGCCTGGCCCAGGAAGGTCATTTTTTGTAATCTTATGACTGACTGTGGTAAGAATAGACCATGGAGTGAAAAACAATAATCTGTGCAAGATTCAATATAATACTAGCTGTAGTGTACGGTGATGAGCATAAAAACCTCAAGCGTCAACCTTATTTTGAAAAGGTGAATAATGTGGTAGGTGCTATGAATGAATGGGATGTAATTCATTTGCAACATATGGTGCACTGTAACTGCCAACCTGTGTACATTAGATGACAAGCTGTTTACCATGAAGTAGAAATGTACAGTTGAAAAGGATCTAGAGACTTTTGCAAATGGTTACATCTTTACTCTGTGAATTCTACTGCAACAGTTAAAGTTCCCTCCTGTCTCAGCAAGCCTCTACCACACCAAAACACTGGATAAGCATACAGGGAACTGAAGAATCCAGGGCCCTCCAGATGCTGTTGGACTTAAACCCACCATTCCTAGCTGCTGGCCACGCTGGCTGAGGTTGATGGGAGCCTGAGTCCAGGAAAGTCACAGGTTCACCAGCCTGTCTTGAGGAAACATGGTGTCAGGAGGAAACTTTGGCTTCATTGCAGTCAGGCCCCTTCATGAGAACAAAGCAGCAGGTGGCAGTAGAAAAGTGTATTTTTTTTTCCAGTATCATATGTATTTCCATCTTTGTGGGCACTAATGTGAACTTTCAGGGTGCTTATGTTCTTCAACTCAACATGCCAATGGGTCATGTAACAACATCAAATTTCTGAGTTGATTCACTGAAAGCTGATGGCCTTGCGGTTGCCGTGAATGACTAGCTCAGGTACCACTGGGAGTCGCTTGTATGTTGGGCACGGTAATATTTGACTTTTCAAAGCCAGGGCATGCAACTTGGAGGCAGCATTTTTGGACTCCAGGTCATTAGCATTAGAGCAGTCATTAGAAATCCTACCCAGAATTAAGCTACTTCACTGATTTAGAGCACCAATCTGAGCCTCAGATTCCTATACAGTATTGTCTCCAGTTCCCATGAGACATCCGATGCCACAGCTACAGGGAGAATGGAAAATGTTTCCTTTTTCTGGGAGGAATGAAAACCAACTTTTTTCTGGGGAGCCAAAAAGAGTCTGCTCTCTAAGGCCTCATTTGCAACTCAAAAGTCTTGTGTGAGTCTCACCTGAAGTTGAAAAATTGACTAAGGAAGCCAGAAAAGGGGAAAGTACCAGTCAGGTTTACTTGCATTTAGAAAGATCTAAGGGAGAAATGAAAGAAGGACTGGTGGTGGTGGTAGAGTGTGTGTGTGTGTGTGTGTGGAAAGGGGTCTGCTGCGGCTGTGTCTTCAGTAGTATGCCCCCAGGAGGACAGATGCTTTCTGCAGGAGCTCCTTGTGGTTCACATACAGAGGGATTCTTTTATCCACAACTTGCCATCGGACAATCACCTCAAGATCACATCCCTGGAGAAACTGGAGAAAAGAAACCCAAGAGAGCAAAGAGAAGGCTGGTTATTGCCAGTTTCCTCTCAGTACACCACAAACCATGAGGAAGCATCCACAGCAAAGGTGATGTGGGCAGTTTCTGTCAGAATGTAGAGTGCATTGACTAACAAGGGGCTGCCAAGTATGTAAAGGCCCCTGCTAAGAATGGACTCAACATACATTCCACAGGCTTGCTCCATTAATCTCTATTTGGTGCGACATATAGTATTCTGCTCTATATTGGATCACATCTAGGTCTGCTGCAGGGATTATAATCTAAGATATTGGAATGAGTAACATGCAGGCATTCTCTCTCTCTCTCTGTTCATCTCTTTCACACACACGTTTCATGGTCATCTGTTCGTTTATTCCTCATGTTCTCTTTTTCCCACATACTTGGGGTGCTCTTTCTTCTGTTTCACTCATTTTTCTTTTGATATCATATACACTACCATGTGGAATCCAAGGAATTCAAAGAATCACAGAGTTTTAAAGTGGGAATCTATCCCAAAGATCCTCTGGCCCAACCCCTGCCAATATAGGAAGTCCCAACTAAAGCATCCTCAACAAATGGTCATTCTCTGTTTATAAAACCCTGATGAAGGAGAGCCCACCATCTTCTGAAAAAGTCTGCTGCACAGCATTCACCCTCTCTCCCTCTTGCACAGCAAGATTTTATGCCAGGCAATCTGTCAAATTGTGTTTCACTGGGGGCGGTTGCCCTGGACCCCTGGAATTTACATCTGGAGGAGATATGTCATTGTGATATGTACCGAATTCATACGCTTCATCTCCACATCATTCTGGTCTTCAAAGTGCACATTGATGGCCACTGTCTCTATCCAGGCATTGTCTGTGTTCCTAGGATCATCCACATATCCTTTGTATACCTAGAAGGTGGTATAAGGGGAACATGGAAAGAGAGACAGAAAGGATGGCATCTTCCAAAGGCTAGTGAAAATTCATTATGATTCTTAGGTTCACCTCTTTCACAGTGATAACTGGTGAGTAGGTAGCCAAACACAGAATTTTCCTTGTTAAGAAAGGACTTGGTGGTTGACTCTATTCCTTTGCCACATAAAATGGTCCTCAGTCAAATTGCCCAAGAATAAACCTGGGAACCTGTGACTTCTAGAGGTTGCTGAACTCCAGTTCCCATCAGCCCTTGCCAGACTTGGTCAATGGTGAGGTATAGTGGGAATAGTAGTTTGTTAACACCTGGAGGGTTACAAGTACTCTACCATTGCTCAGCACTGTAGAGAATTCTGATTATATTTAGGTCTGCAGCAGGTGCCTCAGTCAAGGCAAAGAGAAGTTCCTCTGCTTGGTTCTGTGCCTGGACATATTTTCTGATGCAATGGCAAAAAATAGACAAGGCTAGGTGGATTGGTGATGAGATCCTCACAAAATCAAGAGCATATATGAACTATGTCTCTGAGCAGCCAGGATTAATGATAAACATGTTGAAAATACACTGCTCTGCAATATCAGGACTTGTACCAGGCCTTTCTAGGCTGCAGGAAAGAGGAAAAGGCAACTTTTGAAGACTCTTTCAGGCATCCTCTATTGCAGTGGTTCCCAGTCTTGGATAAACCCAGGTGTTCTTGGATTGCAACTCCCAGAAACTCCAGCCAGCACAGTTAGTGGTGAAGGCTTCTGGGACCTGCAATCTAAGAACACCTGGGTTTCCCAAGTTTGGGAACCACTGCTCTGTTGCATCCTTCCTTGGCCTGGTGACCTCCAGTTAGGCAGTTTGAAGAATTCAGGGAATTGTTATCAAGCACCTCTGAAGAGCACCATGATGGGAAAGGCTGCTATATTAGTTTTCAAGAGGCAGTAATGAGATTCCAACCAGTTCCTACAGCCACAATTACCAGTTCAACCCTTCCCATTTGTTTCCTTCCTTTTCTTTCTTCCTCTGTCCTATGCCTTTGTTTCAATTTTCCATCTGTTGTCTGCCTGGTTCTCAGTTTATATGATTTATGAAAGATTGGAACAGAGACTATTCTGTAAGGTACTGTAGACTCTACATAGTATTGTGTAGTCCAGGGATGGGAATGTTGGTTACGTTGACTAAGGTTGATGCTTCTAATTTTTAAAACATCATTGATTCAAGGTAATATAATGTACCCGTTAGGCACATAATGTACCAATCGTACATAATTGTATTTTAATTGTTGTAAGCTGCCCAGAGACCTTTGGGTAGAGTGGACGGCATATAAGTTAAATAAATAAATAAATAAATAAATAAATAAATAAATAAAGCAAGCAAGCAAGCAAGCAAGCAAGCAAGCAAGCAAGCAAGCTTCACCAAGTATGTTCTTCCAGTGTAACCATGCATTTGTTGCGATAAGTGACACATAACCTAGTGTTCACTGACAATGTCTATGTGACTCCTCTGTTGTTGTCAAAGCCCACTTGATGCCCAAAGTACCTCTGTACCCTGATTCAGCAATTTCTGAAACTGTGGCCAGAATTCCCGTCTCAGGATCCGTTTCAGCTTCTGTGGTAATGCTTCACCTGGTTCCAGAGATCCCTGGAAAGGATTGAAACATTATTCTGTTGTAAAGGTCTTTCTTATAATATACCTCAATAAGGCCTTGTGGTCTGAGCATGATTCCCACCCACCTCAGACCATGGGTCACCAGGACAGGATTAGGAAAAAAATAAGTGTTTTCATCTGATTCATAGTCAGTACATCAAACATACAGTATGATACTTCTAAACAAAGTTTGTATCAGGCAATTTTCCTGCCTAATTCACAGAAACTTTATTTTATTTTGTGAAGTCCAGGCTTGTAATCTTCAACTTTTAACCTGGATTTGTCCATCTTTTTTATTACTAGGGAAAGGAAGAGCTGGAAAATGCTGTTTAAATGTTGGCATTTAAACTTAATTTAAATTACCAGAAGCCGTCCATTCTCAAGCATCATTGTTGTCATGGTCATCATCTTAGTGAGTAACACATTCCAAAGTTAGGATCTCAAACAAGAATATGGGAACTAGTAAGAGCCAACAGGGCCCTTGGGAACAAAACACATTCTAGGAAGTGTGGAGAGAACACAAACTCAGTAGACCTCAGATTCTGGAAATACATGCAATACAGCATGTTTCATTATGAAAGGTTTCTGTAGGCCTAGACATAACTCTTCCTAGAAATGTTCTATCTAGAAACAGTCCATATTACTGATCACGTTGCCTTTATTAAACTATCAGTCTGTATCTCCCAACCTCTTCTGATCTAAGAGGAATGGACTGCCTGGTTAAGTACTTACCCCAGGCAAAGCCCAATGATCTGAAAAGGGAAACTTCACCACCAAGGCTTCCAGTATTTTCTTTACGCTTTTCCTACAAATAGATCCATCCACATTCCTCCTCCACCTACAAACAACAGGCAGAAAGATGTTACAGGGTATATTGCCTTATGGTCTGAAGATACATTAAAATGCTGTGCTAGATCACATCAAAAATGAAGGTACAATCCCCACATTTTGTTCCCATGGGGTCAAGCAGACCCCTGTGAGAAGTCCACAAGTAAGACATGAGGGCAGTAGCACCTACTTTTTCTTGTTCTCCACCAAATGGCACTTGGAGGCATTCTGCCTCTGGTATTGGAAGTAATATAGAGATGCCTTATATTATAGCCACTGATAGCTTTATCCTTTCTAAGATGCAATGTCCCTGAGAAGGAAAAAGCTACCTGGGAACCCTGTATATACTGCTTCAGGTGCAAGAGAAGAAAACTTGGATCTTTAGTGCCACAAAGACAGGAATCCTATTGAAAATAGATGCTGACATAGGTTGATCAGTGTAGATCTCAGCAGTAAATTGCTACAAATTACGAAGTCAACAGTTGCAGCTCCTATTATACACTAAATCAGTTGACTGGTGTGCAACAGCAAATACCTACAATGACTTCTTAACTAAGATTTACACCAAAAAAGTCATGCCACCAGATGTAAGTAACAGAATTCTGTCCTAATTATATAAATACAGCAGCCTCTGTGCTGCACATTGGGAACTACTGTGGAGAATTTTGTCTCTGGTGTTCATCCAGAGCTTGAGGAATTTACTTTTTGGATTACAGCACCCAGAATCCCTTAACCAGCATTGCAGTGAACATGTGGATTGGGGGACTCTGGGAGTTGTTAGTCCAAAAAAGCAACTTTTCTAAGTTCTGCAGTTGTCAGTTACCTTATCCATGATTTAAAAACAAGTCTGGCAGCAAGGCAAAGGTCTCCTGAAGTAGGGAAGCAGCTACGTGCAGTCCCACCTGACCTGCGTCAGCCTGGTTTTAGTCCAGGAACATCTTCCTCTTTTGCTGTTGTCATGGATACAACACTTAAGCTGCAGCAGGGGTCCTACAGCCAACAGCTGAGGCCCAAAAATGCTGTGAATAAAAGGAAAGCACTTTCCTATACTGTGAATTGTGAAAAGCAGACCAATTTTACTCTCTGGATGACTATAAACTGGACATGAGAAAAACAAACAGCTTGGCCTTCTCAAAGGGATAAAATTGCTGCCTGATGACACCATGAGCAAGCCACAGACTACTTGCAGAAACCACATTTAATATTTCATTTTAGCGCTCTGCATAGTTTCTAAAATCTCCTCCTTAGAGTAAAAGACAAAATGTAGAAGGTGGGTAGGCTGAAAAACAGCGTCCCAATACTCGCCGTGTCACAACAGGGTGAAGTGCATGATTTGGCCCAAAGAACCGAAGGATCCCTTGGCCCCTCAGCCCTGTCCTTCCCATGGGATTTCTGTCAGGACAAAAGAAAAAGAAACATATTGGTATTGCTGTAATATCAGGTCAAGGATATGTTTTAGTTCTTCATGCACCTCCCATTTTTAAATAAATAGTTATAAAGAGAGATGTACATGAACAATTATGAACAGGGACTTAATCTGAAACCAGACTCATATTGGAGAAAACTATTGTTGCTGTGGTCATTGGGAGGGTGCCACTAGTACGCTTTGACTGGCAATAGCCTTTCCTCTGGAATGTGTGTGAGGAGAAACCCAATGAGAGAGAAAGAGCTGTCTTCAGTAACTCAGACCTGTACTGGAACTAATTCAGTTTTGTCTATTCAGGCAACAGATTTCTGAGATATTAAACAGAGAGCCTTCCCAGCTCTTCTACATGAGTTGCTCTATATAAAAGGTGGTGACTATCTAGTCTACAGGTAAACACGACTTTCCAAAACTGTCACATTGGACAGTTGGATTGTCCAGGCCATGTGCCCTTTCCCAGGCTTCATACAACCTGCTCAGAATCGTTACTACTACTGGCTCTCTTCTGTTCTGTTTCCTAAGCGCAAACCTGGTGGAAGAGAGCTTGAACACATACGAGAAGGAGAAAGCAGGGGTGCCAAAGTCTTTCTGCCTACATTGCCTCCTGAACAAAGGCAAGAAGGAGATGTAACTTCGCCCACTTTTGGCTCTACCAAGACCCATTGCTAAAATGTGGGTTCTGCTGTGTTTTGATTGAGGTGTTATGGATGTCAATAGTTAAATGTCTGCATGAATTTCGTTGTATGTGTATACTATGTATATACTTACAATGACAATATTTTTTTTAAAAAAAATACATTTAAATGGTTAAAAAACACTGTTTTAAATGCAGACACTGGGTGCAGGAAAGGAGATACATAAACTGTTAGCCTTTCCAAAGCATTAAGTAAAATAACAGCCAACAAAGAAGAGATGCAAGAGAAAATTATGAGATATTTAATAAACTGCTGTATAAGTAGCAAGTCTTTAGTCAAGTTTCACTCTCAGCAATCTTCCCTCACATAATAAACAATAGATTGTCTAAGTCAGTGATATTTGCCATACAGACCATCCATCTTATTTTTCATTATCATTACAACAGTTGATCTGCATTTGTAAATATGACTGACTGGAATAAGAACAATGTGCCCCCCCATCTGGTTTTATGTATTACTTCCTGGCTCAAGGGTCCTGCGTATACAGTAATTTCTATATGTAGGTGATGTTTGGCTGGTGTGATCCATTGCAATGACCTGGTTCCATCAGTGAAAACAGGCACAGGCACAGTGATTAGCCTCACTCACAGTGGTAAGCCATCTTCAACCAGATAGGTGCCATGGAAGCTCTGTCTGTTGACATCTCCATCCATACTGTTGAAGTTTATCCTTGAAAGATTATCCAAAGAACTGGAAGTGACAGAAGAAAAGCCTTCATTTTTTCCAGTAATTTTTGTCATTGAAAAACAGCCTCAGAGCAAAAAAGCTGACAGTGTGGAGAAAAGAAGGTGATGATTAAAGAATGAATGACAGAAACGGAAAAGAAAGAGCTAAGGAAAGAGCCAAAACAGTGTCAGGTACTGTGTAAGGTAGAGGAGCTCCCTGAGGGCATACTTACTCTCTCAGGTAGTCAGGGACAGCATTTTCCTGCCTTTCTGCACTATAGAAGGGTGGGTTGTAGATCTCAAACTCTACCTGTAAGGGAGAAAGGCTGTTTCAGATGTCACCCAGGGTCCCTCATAGCAACAGTTACCCACACTTTGAACCCAAGATGTTCTTGGGAGTCCTGAATCAAGGACCTCAAGTCGTTCCGCTTGGTCTGTGACTTCTCCTCAGGTTCAAGTTCTAGAGAGCACTTTTCTTTGGCAGTTTTGACACTATTGCTGCTGTTGTGTGTACATACACACAGACACATAGACACACAGATACACACGCACACGCACACGCACGTGCATGCACACGCACGCACGCACGCACGCACACACACACACACACACACACACACACACACACACACACACACACACACACACACACACACACACCAATTTAAGTAGCATGGCTTCTCTCACAAACTACCCAGAAATGTAGATCAGTCAAAATATATACAGTTCTTTTTAGATATTTTATTTTGTTATATATACCTGGATCCACACCAGCTATCATTCTCAAGGTTCCCTCAAGACAGGGAAAGGCTATGATACATCCTTAAAGTTGAAGTATAGATATGCCCCAAGTTATGCGTAACAGTAGCTGCAGAGCATTACTTTTGGCATCATTCCTTTCTGCATGCAAATAGAAATTGCTTCCTCATATATAAGACTCTTACCTCCCATGGCACTTTCTCATCTGGTACAGGAAAGCGGACAGCAGGAGAGCTGGGATACAAAAGATTCCTGGCACTCACATGGTAAAGAGTATGAAAAGATTCTGGGACCTCATCTGTGTGTACTTCCTTCATTTCAGGGGCTTTGCTGGGAACTAGAACAAACAAGAAGCCTTCTTCACACATCTCACCTAACCATTGGTCCACAGACTTCATCAGGACATGCATCCAATCCAATCCAATCCAATCTAATCTAATCTACAGTATTTTTGAAAGTTCCGTCTCCAGGAAAGTCCAGATGAATCTAATCTAATCTAATCTAATCCAATCTATTTTTGAAAATTTCGTCTCCAGGAAAGTCCAGATGGAGGGCTGCTACCACTATCATTCAGTAGAAGGATTCTTCACTTTTCTCCATTAACAGAAAGACAAAAACAAAATGGCTGGGAAACACAGAAGGGTTCCAAGATGAAGACAATGCTTTCTGAATGCCAGCCCACTCTCCAAAATCTGTGAATGAGGCATGGTGACTGAGTGATACAAAAACTCATCTGTAGGCATTTTCTGTGTTTTGGAAATTCATTGTGTGTGTATGTGTCATTTCTGGTTGTCAACATTCTGAAGTAAATAAAATACCATTCTGATTCTTCGAGAAAGAGATACCTTCTTTTTGAAAGCAATACTGCAAGCATATCAGACAAGAAATAAAATGAAAATTAAAAAATAAAAATACCCGAAAGCATTGTAGTATTTTGAAGACTGTTATATTTCAATGTGTGCTTTCATAGATCAAGTTCACTTTCTCAGAAACCAGTTCTTAGGTCTCATGGTGTGACCCATCAAACAGATATGTGCAGATGTTTGCGTTTACGTGCAAGTGCACATGCACAAGCCCCTTACACTCTTCTTTCAGTCAGGTCTCAGAAACCTAACTGAAAAAAAGCATGTCCCAAATGTACTGGAATTGGTCCACCCATTCCACTATCATTTGGGATACTTTATTCAGTTTTTAGTATCTCTGTGGACACAGTACGAATACTTCTTTTCAGTTATGTGTATGTGTGTGAAAGAAATTCCCAGTGCTTTCCTTCAAAAGACAAGTAGCAAAAGAAAAAGTCCTATTTATGGATATCTAAGAAAAGATGGAAAACAATACATGCACCATATATGTCCTCATATATCTTGAGGTATACCATCATGTATCTTGAGGTATACTCATATACCATGAGTATATATCTTTTTAAAGTCAAAATGTACAGCAGGATTCACAGAATTGCAGCCAAAAGTACCTATGATGGGAGCATCTTCTTCTGATCCAAACCCACTGTTAGACAGGGACTGAACAACCCACCGGAGTCCCTTTGCAAACTGGAACATCTAGAGAGAAGCAATCCATCAAACTTGTCAATCACTACCTTGATACCAGTACTTCTGCACACAGCTGGGAATGTTACTGCAAAAGACCACGTTTGTTAAGAGCCAAAACTTAATGTAGATTAAGGTAGCATTAGTGGATAATGTTTTAATGTATAAAATAACATTAAACACTATTAAAGGAAACTCTGGGTTAAAATGGCTTATGCTACTGTGGTCAACACTATTTCCCCATTGTTTAAAATGTTCCTTTGAGACAAGCTAAAGAAAAGATTTTAAAAAGCATTTTTATAAGTGAGGCAGTGCATCTCTGCTGCTCTAACATTTTAAAAAATCGCTTTGCCCCTATGCCAAGGAGCAGAGGAAGTGTTTAATTAGCCAATATCCTGAAGCAGCTATATTAAGCCACTTTGTTATACTGTCAGATCAAAAAAGGAAGGCTTTTAGTTCATTCCCAGTGATCACGCATGCTGGAAACTGAACAATCCAGAGCAATCCTACCTGTATCAAAAGAGCAGAAGCACCTGACAGGGGCTAGAAAGGTGCATATAGGACCATTCTGGAGGTGGGCTGATTCACTCTAGCAAAGACATCATCTGATTGCTGTTTTGGGGAGTTAACCAGCCCATCCCCTCAGTGCATCAAACAGAAGGCTAAATGTTCTTGTAGTCAGCTCATAGTTTCAATGTCAAGAAGGGGGAAGATAAAGCATATGAAATCTTTATTTTCACTTTTCGTATGCCTGATTTTGTCAAATGCGATCTTACTTCTTCCTCAGACAGCAATTTTTCAGTTAGGTAAGGTTAAGCGCACAGGTGAACTTGCCACATCTCCTGCCTCTGAGAAATTTAATGGGAGAAATAAACTGAAGTTTGGAGACTTTGAAAAACACCTCATTTCCAGCATAATCTAATACAGAATGTGATCAACAATATAGGTTAGATAATATCACTTGTTTCCCAATCTTTTCAGTGCTCTGACAGGGCTGCCTCCTCCGAAATCATGCTGAGGATTCTGAGAGCTATTGTCCAAAAAATAAGAATAAAAATCAATGTAGCTTTTACAGGTTCTCATCTTCCCTATAATTCTTCAGCATTCTCAAACAGACCCAACTGGGTTAGCCTCACCTGTTCTTCCAGATATACCAACTTTTGCTCCACCAGCCCCGTCCTTTTCACCTGATCAAGGTCCATCATTTCCACCAATGTATCCACTCTGAAAAAAAGACATGAATGGTTTCTGGAAGGTCAGGACAGCATCCTAGAGAAGTTGACTGAGCTCTATAATCCCTTCACTTTTGGATTGTCTGCAGCCTCTTTCAGACAGCTGGAGTTTAATTTTATCATTCACAGCCAGCTTAAAACATTTTGCTACCTCGATAGGAATATCTAACCACACTCCCCTTCCTCCCAGTCAAAGTGCTTAGAACCTGAAGTTGGACAACTTATTTTGATAGGTGAGGAAGAAAGTCTCAGAAACACTTATCCTCCTCTCTGGAAGTTAAATATGTAATGATAATGAATAAAATAACTAACAGTTTGCAATTTGCCCTGTACTAGTCATGTGTTGTACCTCTAAAACAAAGGGAAAAGGACCTCAAGGAGGGACATCCACCTATTCTACTTCAGGCTCAGATGCACACAGAGATGAATTTTAGAACAAGGGGGAAATGCAGGGAGAGAACTAGATTTAGGAAAATGGGAGATCTGTAAAGAAGGGGAAAGGGCATCCATAAATAAATGGTGTGGGAAGAGTTCAATTAGCTAAAAAAATAAATTAAAAAACCTACCCCAAAACAGCTACAAGATTATGGAGGAAGTAGAAATGAGATGAACAAGGAAATCTTATCTGAGTTGAGGGAATGGGCTACAAGTCTGCAAGATAAACTGAGAGGCCAGATGTTCAGATGCCCAGATGTTCTCCTGCTTTAAGGCATCCATTCAGAGCTCTTTGCATATCTAAGCTTGAAAAATCTAGTCTCAAACTATGGTCAGACTCCAAGGTGAGAGGCTTTGCACTCCACAACTGAGAGGCCAGATGTTCAGATGCCCAGCTGTTCTCCTGCTTTAAGCTCTTTGCATATCTAAGCTTGAAAAATCTAGTCTCAAACTATGGTCAGACTCCAAGGTGAGAGGCTTTGCACCCAGAGAGCTCCATGAGCCAGCAGCATCCTGCTGTCCACCTTGTTTTCATCCTATGTGAAATGAGGTAGGAGACAAGGACACCGTCTCCAGCTCCTCCCTCTATGTTCTTCTGACCCCCACCCTCATCCTCCCTTACTGTCCTTGGTAGACACTTCCAGGGATCCTTTAATCAAACAGAGTAATTCAGCCAGGCTTCTGGACACTTTGTGGCCACAGGACAGCAGTGACATTCTCTTGAAGTGCAAGTCGGCCATTAGCAGACAAGTAGGCAAATGAGACAGTAGGCAGCAGGGGTGATTCAGTCTGCTTGTGCTGCTACTCTCTCCCTCCATTCACTACCTGAGGATAAGAAAGGATTCACTTTGTCTCACAGCAAGAGCAGTTCTATGTTTTTTGCACATAGCCCAGTCTCTTTCCCAGTGACACACCCAGGTTACTTCATGGCACATATTTTCTGGTCACCTGGTGGTCTGGATTGTGATGGGCACCCCTGGATCTGGCAGGGGAAGAAATCAGTGGTTGGCAGCTGTCACAAGCAGTCATGTGAGATAGGATTTAACAGAAGTGCTCAATTCCTCCAAGTACTTCCACACCATGCTCCCCTGATTCCCAGGGGGAGGGCACCAATTGGTCTGGCACGGGTGACCACTGAGCGTGATAAAGGCATCACCTTTCTGCAATGTCTTGGATCTTCTGTTCAGTGTTCTGCTTCTGCTGACACTGCTGGATGTGCAAGTAGTTTTCCTTCATGTACATCTCCCAGGACAAGAGGGCTACCTCTTCGTTCTTCTCAAGCTTCTCTTCTGCCGGCCAAGTCAGACAGATGAGGAAAGGTTAGGTGCACACAACTCATCTCTCCTACAGATATGGGGCTGACTGGAAATCTCTCAAATCTAAAAGGTGTACACAATATGCCAGCATCTCATAAAATATTTAAAAAAATGCTAAGACAGCCTATTCATTAACCATTTTAACAACATATAAACAAAACAACCCATAACTAGAGGTGTGCAGACTCCAGATTCAGATGTGTACAGATTCCTTTATGTTGCCTGGAGGTTTCTGGGAGTTGTGGTCCAACAACACAAATTGGCACCTTAAGACCTGACCCAAGCCATTGTGAATTGTAAATTTAATAATGATAATGATAATGATGATGATGATAATGATAATGATGATGATGATGATAATAATAATAATAATAATAATAATAACAATAACAATAATAATTGTTGTTGTTGTTGTTGTTGTTGTTGCTGTTATTATTATTATTATTATTATTATTATTATTATTATTATTATTATTATTATTATTATTATTATTATTATTACCAAGTTAGTAAATGGGTACTAGTTGAATGGCAGCTTCTGTCACAGGTCTTTTCTATCAAAGCCCATTTTTCTTTTTGCTGTCTCATCTATCTGCTTTCTTCTTCTCTCTTCTGCCTCAGGCTTACCTCCAGAGTCTCTCTCCCTCTCCTTCCAGGTGTTACCAACAAATATTCTCCCCTTCCATTCCCCACCCCCAAGATTCTCAGCTTATTCTCAGTTGACCTGCTTTCTATAATATCATAGCAGGCATCATACGCTGAAACCAGAAAGAGTACAGAACAGATGGTGGTAACAGCCAGCCAAGTTAGAGAACTGGTTTTCTTCCAGGGACCTATAAGAGGGCCAGAGGCCCTGATGTCCTCCTATCTCAGTCTGGCATGTGCTTCAAAATCACCCCCTTCCAATCTCTTCTTCCTTTTTCTTTCAAGTATCGGTGAATAACACAAATTATCACACATACATACACACACAAAAGGTTTGGAAGTGACCATGAGCCTGCATCTTGGGAACATAATGTGCCCAGATCCATAGCTTGAAAAAAATTACTTTCAGGGATTTGAAGCCCCAGAATGTTCTTCCAGCTGGTACAGCCAGTGATCATACTGATGTGGGGCATTTTGGGAGTTCTATCTAATACATGGAGAAAGCAGGGCCCCAAACATGTTGATTTGGCAGGTTATCATACTGAGCTGCTTGTGCCGAGTGGCTGGCTTCCGGAGAATGATTCGCTTGACAAAGAGCTGCAGGTGGTTCAGGAGGATGAAGGGTGGTGGAGCTGGAGGCCTTCCATGGTACTCTTCTATCAGGTCATGACGCTGAAACTTCCAGATCTGATCAGTGTGCTCTTGTACTTGCTGGAATGTGTAACTGGGAGAGAAGCATCACAGAAAAATTAGCTCTGCCGTGCAGGTATCTTATTAAGCCACTTCACAATGTCGGTAATTCAAACTGGAAGGAGCTTTGGCAGCTAGGAGACCTGCTTCTTGGTCAATTCGTAGAAATCACACATGTTGGAAATGGACCAGACCAGACTGATCCTACGTGCACCAAAAAAGTAGAAGCCCCTGACAGAGGATTTAGAAAGGTGCAAGTAGGAACACTCTGGGAATGATTTGGTTTGCTTCAGAGATTACATTGTGTGATTAAAAAAAGAGAAAACAAACTCATCCCTGTAGCAGAGCAAATTGTGGGCTAAATGCTCATCTGATCACGCTCCCACTCTCTTCTGAAGATCCAAGACATGTTAAGTTACAATAATGTTTCATTGCTGGCACTTCAGTGAACTGTTGCCTCTCTTTACATTCTTTCTTATCACATTTTTCCCTTCTCTCCTTGTGTTATTAAGAACATAAGAGCCCTGCTGGATCAGGCCGAGGGCCCATCTAGTCCAGCTTCCTGTATCTCACAGTGACCCCACCAGATGCCACTGGGAGCACACAAGACAACTAGACACATGTTTCTTGATACCACTCCCCTGCATCTGGCATTTTGATTATAATCAACTTAGCAAATTTGTGGGCAGCGTAACCCACCACTTCTGACTTTCTTCACTTGCCGGTCTCCAAAATATACTTTGCCCAAAAGGCAGTAAGATGGGGACAACCACACATGCTGGTGCAATGTGAGGAACTCACTTGAACATGGCGATGAGGAGATTGAGAAGGAGAATGTTGGTGAAGAGCAGGTAGAGGCAGAGCAAAATGATTGTCAGCCACTCTGGAAAGATAGGCTGCCCTTTGTATTCCGGGCACTTTGGCTTGTAGGGATCAGTCCCATTTGGGCTGCACTGATCAAGGCTGAAGTTCACTCCTGCCGCAAAACACAAAAGGACCAGGAAATGCAAAGTTGCCCCAACAACAGGAGAAGCTGATCCTATTTTCTTCCCTGCTAAGAGGAATCTGAATAGTTGTATCCATAACAGATAATGACAGTTTTTCAAATTCTTTCAAGAGTTTGGAAAAATGGAAGTTTTGAAAAAAAAAAGGCTGGTGTGAATGACTCAGCTGCATAATAATTTGTGTTTTTTAAAAACAGGTGCTAAAACTGAAAGCTGATTCATACCATCACACCCTTGTCTGCTTTAAAAGAAACACTGTTCAGATCTGCTACCATTGAATGACTACAAGAGACACATCAGAAACTTTTGCCTCTTGGGGATCCTGTGATTGCTCGGAGTGCTATTTATAGTGAAAAGTCATAAGAAAGAGCAAGGAGCACAGCGATGCTGCTGCTTGGGATTAGAAATAAATCTTCATACATAAACTTTGCATGTCATTTATTCCCACCAGAATTAGCTTTGCACAGAGCAGAAGTGGCTTAACACCCACTAAATTTTCTCACCATAATAAAGACAAGCAACAACTCACAGCAGCATGATTGCTGTTTATGCTATAACAGGTTCCAAGACAGCTACAGCTGGTAATCATATTAGAACTGGGGACAAAATTATCACATGTTTCTCCAGATAATCATTTATTCAAACCATTGCATTCTTATGCCTATTACAGGTGATGTCTAAGCATCTCTACAGATCAGCAGTGGGCCAATTCAGCAGTGCTGGAATATATACTCAGTGGTAGGCAGGTATAATCAAACAAATTAATCCTTTGATTTACAAATACAGTTGAGATCATCAATAGGGACTAGAGATGGGCACGAAGCACTCCATGCCATGTTGTCTAAGTCATTGGCGCAGCACCATAGGTGCCGCATGTTCACTTCCCCTATCCAGCTGCCCCAGTGACCTGCTGGTGTGTGTGCTGCAACATCTCTCCCCATCATGGAATCTTCCATTCTGGCAGAAGCATGGACTGCCCTTCTCTGCCTCCTCCAGCAGCTGCCCACTCAGATGAGGTGGGGCAGGGATTCTTGCAGCACTGTCTGTGGGTGAGGAGCTGTGTGGGGAAGAGGAGAAGGCATGCTCCTGCCAGAATGGAAGATTGTGTAATGGGGAGAGAAGGACCAGTGCACACCAGCAGGTCAATGGGGAAACTGAACATTTGGCACCTGTGGTGCCACAATGACAACTTAGATGACATGACACAAAGTGCTTCATGCTCACCTCTAGTAGGGACTATACTTTCTATGCATATTATTCAAATTCTAGTACATTTTATAGTTACTGGCTGAAATTCTGTCACTTAGCAGAGTACATTGCACATGGTACATTACATAGTACATTACACTTGAGTTAGGCCCATTAAATCAATGGAACTTACTAAATTCCCATTGATTCAATAGGCCTACTCTAGTACAATTTACTATGCTAAGCAACAGGGTTTTGGCTAGTAATTCTTCACAAGAATATAATGTTCCTTCAGATCTACCAGGTTTCCTGCCTGGTAGGAAGTGCTTCTAGATTAGCGTTTTGCTTTGCAGTTGCATTGCCTTATTTATTGAAGTTTAAGGAAGGTGTAATTTGATAACCATAGTTTCTTCCATCTCTTTTTTCTTTCTACAGAATACCCAACAAGGAAGAAAGATAAAGTCGCTGTTTTGATTGTGATCCGCAGGGGCCTTCTGCCTGGAAGCACACATTGATTCAAAGCCTCTAATTCCAAGTATAGCATTTGAAGAAGTGGGTTATGATCCACAAAAACACATAAAAGTTCTGAAAACATTTGAAGAGGTAAATGGCTATTCTATATGTAGGTGCTGCTCTAAATCTTTGATGCTGTAAATTGACTTTAGAAAATAATTCTGTGTTCTGTACCGTCAATGTAGGAAGGGATCTGTCCAAATATTGTCAAGTAAGAATGGTAAACAACACCTCGGAAGATCCAGTCCACCCGTTTCTCATTGTGGATCAGGATGGCTTGCTTAGCTACTCCAAAAGACACCACCCAAACAGCCAAGAGGAAGAGGAAGAAAAAGACATCTTTCATCTGTAAATCCATAAAAACAAAGCAGAAGTGGTAGTTTCTTCATTGTGTGAACAATGATCACCCAAAACCCTTTTTGGGTTCTAGAATCCCCTTCAGAAAATGAATACTGTACCGGGAACACTAGCGCTACCACAGTGCTTACCAGTGGAAATAACAACTTACCATCCTCTTCACTATGATGATCTTTGGGCCTAGAGTTTTACTGATTGTGAAAATGTGCATCAAACGCAGGCAGAAAATAATAAAAGCCAGAGATAGAATGATCCTTCCAGGATACAAAGTGGCTGGTATCCACCTTAATAGAGGGAAAACAAACACATTTATCCTTTTTTTTTTTGGTTGCCACCCCACACACACATACACACACACACGAGGAGTACAATATTGGCACATGCTTTCAGAAAAATCCCTCATCCTCTTCTCTTTCCAGCAGAAGTAGCTGGAATTACTGCCCTGTAACTCACCTGCAGGTCAGCCCAGTAATAAAGATTAGAATGGCACATACATCCAATCTATTCCAGAAATCATTGAGGTACAAGGAAGCCATTTTCATCAAGCCAAATCCATCAGGATCATAAAAGAGCTGAAAGAAAAAGAAACTGTTTTACTGGCCCAGTTCAGTATAACAACCTTGGTTCAAGAAATCACTGTTTATTTGTCCCAAAACAAGCACTGTGTTTATATATTCTCTCCTTTTTTGTGCGTTGTCTTAGAAAAATTCTGAAGCTGCAGCTTATTCAGATTACAATCCAAGATGCCAAATGCAGTTTCCTTTTAATGGTCATGGCGGGTCGGCTCTGACAATCAAGGAGCATGTACCTCTTGCATATACAGAACTAACCTTCAAAAAATCCAAAGCTTTCAGCAATCTTCCGACAATCAAGGAGCATGTACCTCTTGCATACAGTATACAGAAATAACCTTCAAAAAATCTAAAGCTTTCAGCAGTCTTCACAGACCAATTGCTCTCCCAATACTTTGGGCTACAAAACCCATCATTATCAGCCAGCACAGCCAATGTGCATGCTGGGTTGAAATGAGGTACACTACAGTCCCACACATCTAGAAGGCAACAGTCTGGGGAAGACTGCCTTAAGGCAACAGAATGAAGCAGAAGAACAGGACTTCTTTATTTGTCACCACCAAATCTTCTGTAGTTGACAGAGTCAATACCTGACGTATCTCCTCACACACTAGGGAGAAGAGCCAGAAATAGATGACATATTCCCGCCAGGATGGAGTTGACTGGAAATCTATCATCAACACATAGGCAAAAAGACAGAGGAAGGTGAAGTAAGAAAGGATGTTGAGGTGGAAGATGACCACAGGAGCGGTAAAGAACGCTCGGAAGCGGTTCAAGTAAGTCATTGGCAGAAGCCTCTTCTCTCTGTGGAACAAGGGAGGAAGGACAGAAGGAAGGAAGACATGGCACTGTAGCTTTGAGATCTCATTTTTATATCACTCTTCTACTTGTTGGGTATGTGGTCAAGTTTGAAATACCTCATGAGGGATTCTGCTAGGATCTTGGTAAGTGACCCTAGACTTCTGTCCTTCACTAAATCCTCACTCAACCAAATTTCATCTAGGGTGTCATTCACTGAACTTAGCTCTAGCTCACAAGACTATCACTAGAAATGGCACACCAGTCCCTGGAAAGAGGGTACCATATTCACAAATATACATGCCCATAAGGTATTTACTGATACAGGAACTAAATTAGAAGGGACGAAATGCATGGTGGTATTAGACACATGCATGCATGTATTAAATAATCAATTCCACTATAGATTCCTATAAATAGGAAACAGTCTTGTGGCACCTTAGCAACCAGTAAGTTTCATTTGGTATAAGTCTTACTGGGATAGACAGGACTTCAATTTGTACTTCATCAGCTGGACTACTTCTATCATGGCCATATTAGCTGGAGATTCTGGGAGTTATAGTCTTAAAAAGTAACTTTTTAAAGCTCTGAAATATATAAGTGTATTAGAGAGGAAACCATGGAATTGGAAGAAATTAATGGAATGGCAGGACATAACTGACTGCTGCCCAGAGACACTTTGCTTCACATGAATGGCATACTGTGAAGCAAGATGTCCCTCACAAGGACAAAAACATGAGGTGTCCATCTATCTGCCAGAGGTAGAGCAGTCAAGCCCCACAAATACCTGAAGGTGATGAGACCACTATAAAGAAGGGGGAAGAACAGCATGCACAGAATGACCCGATATATCCCATTATCGACACTCAGTTTTCCCCACCAAACTTTGGTTAAGAAGGCCTGCAAAAAAGAATTAGAAGCAGATTATAAGAACAAGGTACAGTATTAGACACGTGTGGGCCTTTTTGTTGTTGTTGTTGCTCCAGATGTGCAAGCAAAGTAAGATCTGTTTCCAGTTGCTCCAGCTACATTGGTGGAGATGGGTGCTCTAATTAAAAGGAAATAAGTCAGTGGCTGAAATGCTGTGGCTTAGGATAGTAAACCAAACTAGAGTGGACCCATTGAATAAGTGGGCATATAGTGAGTCAGTTCTTTCATAAGTTCTATCAATTCAGTGGACCTGCCCTAGTTGCAACTTACTATGGTAAGCAGCAGGATTTCAGCTAATGATGCTTTCTTAGCACTGGTGCTATGCCTTCCAAGTAAGGCAATTCACAGTATAGGGCAATATGTAAATATTGTGCAAGTAGCACTAAATGAGTTCTTCTTCAGCACCAGCAATAAATAAATATTGGTCAAAATCCAATTGATAGTCCCAGCTAGAACAGACCCACTGAATCAACTGCTAAGTGGTAAATCAACACTTCAATAAATCCCGGTAGATCTGTTCTATTTAGGACTAGCATATGGATGTAGGCCAGTGGTGTCCAACCTTGGCCCTCCAGATGTTTTTGGATTTCAACTCCCAGAAATCCTGGCCAGCAGAGGTGGTTGTGAAGGCTTCTGGGAGCTGTAGTCTAAGAACATCTGGAGGGCCAAGGTTGGACACCACTGATGTAGGCCATTATTTTACCACTGCTATGGAAGGACACTAATTGAGAAAATCACACCTGGATGCCCCCATGAGACACAAAGTTCATATTTTTGGCCTCCAAAGCTAGTTGCAGGCAGGTGGTCTTTCCCCAAGCATCAGAGACACGGATCAGAAGCTTCTGGGCTCTTTCTTCATCCTTCCGGTAACATTCAGTGAAGACACCTAGGAGAGCAACCAACATTAGAGAAGTACATTACTTCTAATATGTTTCTAGCCCAGTCTTCCTTTAAAGAGCTGCGTGATAGTTTACCACCACAGCCAGCCTGTGAGACTGTTGAGGCAGAAAGACAATGAGCTGATCATGACAACTCTGAAGAAACTTTTCCTACTAAGGCTGCATGAGCCAGCATAATGTATTACAGTGTTTTTTTGTTTGTTCTGTCTTTTTTTTTGTGAGCCTCATCAAAATGTATCCTTTAATATAATAACGATACAAGAAGTCCAAAATTCTACAGAACTATCAGCATTTAGACACAGGGATTTCTTGTTCAGGAAACCTAGCCACTAAGAACAGATTTGATTCTTCACAGAGAGATAACCTTTGGGATGTAACTATCCTAAAGGCAGTTTTCACTAAAGTAGATTCCTGAGGAGGATTAGAAGGGAGTGGCAGGCCAACACCCTTAACTTTGCTTTGAATTGACTTGTTGACCTTTCTTTCTGCATCCTGGGATAAAAATCAGTTACTTTTCAGGATCGACGTAAATGGAACACATAAATGTGAAACACAAGGAACACTTCCCTGGCTACGGCTAGATGTGCTGGGTCTCTGGATGGTGCACACACCTCTGCGTAGAATGGTCTATAATTGGGAAGGTAGGAATTTAAGGTAGAGCTACCTTTTGAAACTTCAAAGCCAGCGAACACAGCACAGTCTGGCTCTTCCCTACTCTAATTACTCTCTTCTTCCTCTTTCCTGTCAAGTATGCAGAGCTGTTCCTCAGCTTCCTTTATATTCACCACTTGGCAGGAGATTCCTTCAGCACATGTTTTCCTGCCTTTCTCTTCTTCCCATCTGTCTGGATATCTCTTGGTTCCAGGGCAGTGTTCCCTCCAGGGCAATGTCCTAAAGAAGGGATTAACTCTATGTCTGGCACATATTCTTGGCATGGAGCTGTTTAGGGGGGCAGTAAGACATGGAGGTAGAACCTCTTTGAGTACCCAAGCTCAACCACTCAAAGGATGAGAGGGAAGAATGATTTAGAAGAAAGAAACACATCACTGATGATGCACAGAATAGGATATGGTATGAATCCTATTCCTTTTGCCTGCCTTCTGCTTGCCCTGACTGATAAGGAGTACAATGGCAATGCAGTTTGTAAACTGTATCCTTAAAAATCTTTTTTTTTCTCCTGATACAGCACTAAGCCAAATACTGTACTTAACCATGTTTTGTCAGCTCAGCACTGTTTCACTATCTCTGTTTTTCCTTAATGGTTAGCAAGTGAAATATCCCTGAACTGAAAGCCGTGAAAGGGTGGGAAAGAGGGTGGGTGAAGTGTGAGGGAGAAGCCAGACTGTGTGACATGTGGACGCTTGAAGTGCATCTTAATTAAACACATTTCTGTGTCAATGGTGACAGTGATTTAAATGCCAGGGTGCAGTCTAGAGAAGTCTGTGTTAACCTCGGGGAAATTTCTGTGTGGTCACACCATGGATGACTTTCCTCATGGATTAGCAGGTTTTTGTAGGAAAATGTTCTCAGTCCAATGCCAGCCCCTAAAATTCTATAATGGTATATGGCACTGGCTGGCTTCAGGAAAGAAGGGCATTAAACATATATGTGTGTGCATGTTGTGTATATGTTTGTGGAGATACAGCAAGGCATTCTAAAGTAGACTCAAGGAGGAAACAGGCAGCATCATTACCTGGCTTTTAGTCTAGATTCCAATGTTCACTTGCCGTTCAAACCAATTTCAATCTGAACTGAATCTCTGTCATTTATTGCTTGATTAGGCTGCAGCCCAACATGAGATAATGCCTTGAGAATTTGCAGAGTGAGCAAAGAAGAGAAGATGGCAATGCACACAATAGGGTGTAAGATTCTTGGGCATGAGAAATTCAAAAGGCCAGAGTACTGGATGACTGAGGAAAGAAGCAGCTTCCACTAATTAAAAAGTTGAAAATAAGACATGAATCTTTTAGCAGGGAGGCCTATCAGCCCAGCCCAGACTCACCAATCGCTCGAGACTCATACTCCTCTGCCAAGGCCAACATTTCCTCGGTGCTATCAGTGTCATTTTCCTCCTTGGACAATTCCTTCAGCATCTTGCTGCAGGCCAAAGCTGCTGCAATGCAGTCCTGGCTCTGGAACAAAAAGACTCAGGTTAACAAGAACATGATATTTTTGGCCCCAGGTTGATCGGGTAACCTTCATGAGTCTTCTGTTTTAGCACAGCATGCCTTCTTATTCCTAGTCTGCAGACATCTGTGCCATTCCCAGCTTCCCACTGACTTCTTTATGCCTGGTTCTCACAGAGGTGTTATATGTGCATCTGAGCAGTATCAGTTTAGACTGCAGGTTGAGGCGTATGTGATGCAAAAATAAAACAAATAAAAATAAAATTGTAAAAATGATACTATTTTCTCTAACAAGGAATTATTTTTCAAAGGAGGAGCATCCAATCAAATGAACCCCATGCTGCAGCCTGAAGTGGTATCGTTCACACGCCTCTGTAAGGTGTGAGCACAAGTCTCCTTGCTTGGCTCATGGAGGAGGGTTCAAGGATTGCTCACTATCCCCTATTGCAGCGGGATGCTGTTTGTAGGCAGAATTTTTTGCAAGTTCTGCACAAAGAACTAAGGACCATTTGCAAAGCTGGGTGCTCTAGAAATTTCCAGATTATTTATTTATTTACCTCCTTTCCCCCCAGTAGAGGGACATGAGGTAGCTGGCAAAATCAGCTAAAAAACAAAAATATTAAAATAATTCCAAAAATAAAAATCACATTGTTATAAAAAGAAACATGATAATTATTAAAAAGCAAAATATAAAAACCCTGTTAAAAGAAAATGGGACCCACGTTTTAAAGCAATAAAAAAAAAAATTCCCCCCTCAAAATCCCTTGCTCAGCAGTAGTTTACAATTTTATTAAAATCCCTTCCTCAGCAGCAGTTTACAATTTTACATATTAGAAGTCTGCCTGAAAAGAAAGGCCTTTGCCTGCCGGCAGAAGGACAGAAGGAAGGGACCCAGACTTAGAAGTCTGCCTGAAAAGAAAGGCCTTTATGTGCTGGCAGAAGGACAGAACGAAGGGACCCAGATAAGCAGGTTCAAGTCCTGTCTAGACATGTCTTAAGAAAAGAATCCTTTACTTGAGCCCAGATGATGTCAGCCAACTCTTTGCGGCTTTGAACAATTGCCCAAATCAGCAAGTCCCTCACAGGATCCATAGTGAATGTGACCCGGCCAGCGGAACGCTTGTAAAGCGATCGAAGACTCACTCCTTGTACCTGCAGAAAGAAGAAGGAATATGCTGATAAGAAGTTGAGGTTGGTCAAATATACCTGTGGGATATGCAACAAAATGGTGCAGTGTGAATCCTGCTGTTCAAGATTTTAGCCACTCCACATTATTCTCGGTTCCCAGTTTTTGTTTCTTTGTTTACTTGATGCTTCCCTCAACAGTTAGTTTTCTGTGTCCACTCAGCATACTCGGTCCTGGCTAGGATGTGTTAAGTTCTCCCAACCCCATTGCCAATTCCACCCAAGCTTACTGATTTTTCTCTCCTGAATGTGTGAGATGCTGTTATGTCTATATAAGCAACTGCATCACTACCTGAACATGAAAGGTGGAAGGAATTGGTTATTCAAACATCCTGGATGCCAGGGGGTGAAAACCCCGTCAGCAGTTCTGTCTTGTACCATCTCTGTTGCTACCATAGACAGACTACAGAAAAGTGTTGTGAATCATTTCCCCCTGCAACTAGCTTACCAAGGCAAAGTACTAAGCAGAAGGGTAACCTGTCCCCAGAGCCAGGAAAAGTGACCATTATGTGTGCAAATCTCAGAATCCCCCAGCCGCCATGCCCACTGGCAGCTGGAGAATTCCAGTAACCATGGTGGCTGGAAGATTCTTGGAGTGGCCATCCAAAAAAGGCCACTTTCCTAAACTCTGTTTATTCCTAGGATTCAATGTATGGAATTCAATATATAAATATACAATGTCAACTATAGAAGAGAGGGAGATGAGACATCCCTACACACTGTCCTGTAAAGCAAGGGTCCAATGGGATGCCATGTCAGGACTAAAGGGTTACCAGCATAGAGGGATACACTACATTGAGCTTGATATGGGGCACAGCAATGGAAAGACGGTGCCGGTCAGTGTTCTTCGGCTTGGGGTACAGCTGCTGCGTGAAATCTCCCAGAAGTTCTCTCAGCACTTGGGACACATGGTGGAGCTGGACCTTTGGCACTTTGGAGAAGGCTGAGTGCTCCTTCTCTTCTAGTAACACTTTCTGCAGCTTCCCGTGGAAGACACTGGAGGCCGCCATGTTTTCGTAGAGGTAGATCAGGGCATCCCAGGTCACAAATTCCTTCAAGCGCACTCCTTGCTCCAAGAAGAGCTTCACAAAATCTGGTTTGTTGCCTATGAGGGCAGCTGCCATCATGGGGTGCAGATCAGAAGGCTGTTGGCCCAGGAGAACAGAGAGAAGGAGACAGTATCAACACAGGGCAATTAGAGCCAGCCTGTCTTACTCTCAACATGGAGACAGGAAGTTTAAAGAGAAAGAAAGCTTAAAGAAAGGGGACACGTGCAGAAATAAGAGCAGCCTCTGGCAATGGGAGCAGCTGGTGGCTCTTGGTAGCTCAGTCCCTGAAGCTCAGGAAGCAGAAGGAAATTGTGAGGAAATTGTGAGGAAGGAAGTGGATTGCATGTGTTCAGGTGTTCCATATGCCATCTGGCCCACAATGACACCCCAGCAAAGAGTGGAAAACACTAGGCAGTTCCAATAAACAAACAAACAAACAAACAAACAAATAAATAAAAGCAGGGCTCAAATAAATAAATAAATAAATAAAAGCGGGGCTCGCTGAAGCTTGTGGGGTGGAGCTGTTTCTTCTCTAGCATGATGTGATGCATATATGAGAAGTCAATATTTCCTCAGCATGCTAGCCTATGGGACAAGACAGCAAGCATGGGGTGATAAGGCGTGCAGTGCGAGCAGCCACCCCACTTCACCCTTTGTGGCATTACTGCCTACCCATTCAAGAAATAATTAGAAGCCATGGTATCCTACACTGTATTTACACTGAACACTTACAGCAGTTTGATAGCAGTTTGACTGTCTTGGTTTTGTTCTTATAGAAACCTGGATTTTTGTTTGGGAAGGGATATAGAATTCTTTGCTGGAGAGTTCTAGTGCTGAAGTTCAAGGCAGCGCATTACAGCTCTTTAGATGGAATTCTAAATCTGTCGTCAAACTGCAAATCTCAGGTTTCCATATGATAGAGCCATGGCAGTTGAAGTGACATCAGTAGAATTATAGCAAACTGTATGGTGCAGATACCCTTGTAGACATAAAACATTCATGACAGCAGAAGAAAGCTGTGTTACTAATCCACAGTCAGCTTTTTAACCTGCCACATCTAAATATAAACCCAACTATAGGCCCTAACAGCTTGTGTCACTATTTGTAAAAACTCTAAAAATGAGAAGATATGTGTCGCTCATATCAGGCTACTTAAAAATAAAAAGTGTCAAATTATCCAGGAATTCATAGGGCACAGACAACTCTGCTCTTGTCCCCATGGTCAACCAACCAGCCTCTAAGGTGAGAAGAGACTTTTCTTCCTTAAGTGTGATTATTATTTATTTATGCATATGCTACTTGTCCACAATGATCATGATTTAGTTTTAATGGCATGGGGGATGGGAAGGAATTTGCTAGAAAGGGCTTCAAAAAATTCAAATAAGACAAAGTCAACAACTCAGTAAGCACAAAATTAAGTTCTAAAGGAATTACAGGGAATTAATAGCTACGAACAAAAAACAAATAATAATAAAGATAACCCACACAAGGGGCACAGTTCTTGCTGCACTCCAAGAGGTCACAGCAATGTTATTTAAATATTCACTTATCTATTATTATATTTACATGTTGCCTTTCCTTCAGTGAGCTGAAGGTGATGTACATGGGTCTTCTCTTCCCAACGTTAGCCTCCCAACAACTCTAAGAGGTAGGTCAGGCTCAATGGAAATGACAGGCCCAAGGTTGCCTCAGTGAGTTTCATGGGGACTGGAAACTGGATCTCCCTAGTAAAATTGGCTGTTAGTTCGGAGGACATGGGGATTTCTAACCAGGCCAGTCGTTGTTTCACAAATGGCTTTCTCATCTCTTGTCCAGAGGAACAAAAGAGTAAAAGATACTGTAAATGCTAGAGAGTACAAATGTTTGTGCACAGCTCATCAAAATAGTATTTTCCCACAGGTTTTGGTGACCTCTGAGGTCCAAAGAAGGCACCAGGACCTCTCACATTTGTATGCTGGATAAAGGCAAGTGATGAAAAGGCATATAAAATTAGCAAACTATAGGGAATTGTCATTGTGTGATTAAGATTCATATCAAGACTGAAAAGCCTCTGGCAGCCTAAGAGTCACCACTTTAGCCAACAGAAGTTCGCTGCATAGCCGTCTCTAAAAGTATACAAAGGATCTCTCCCAATGTGCTCCAGGGCATGCGAATAGTGTCGTCATACATGGGAGATATTCCATATTATCAACGAGCCATAGCAAACAAGGGCTGTGTCAGAGGCAGCCATGCATGCTGGTCAACTGAACGGTGATCCACAAACTAGACATAGTAAACTAGAGATCTGGAACAATCACCACTTTCTTTCTCTGTACCTTCTTTCCCTCAAAATGTGTCTTAGAATACAGCACAGCGCAACACAATACATAGCATCGCATCACCCCATAAGGCAGGGAGACACAGATCACTAGGACCTCTGGAGAACATGTTGCCCTCTGGATGGTTGTTGGGTTGCAAGTTTATGGGTCCTTCCTCATTGGCTGTGCAGTTCAATAATATCCAGAGGGCATGCGTTCTCCACTCCATCATATCATGGTGATGTGTTACACAGTTATCTGAAGTACATGTTACTGAAGACAGGAAAGACATCGAGTGGTGGCAATGCAAAGCATCTCTTTTAATATGTAACTCTCAAGGTTATTTCCATTTCAACATGTTTGCAATCAAGCCAAGGCTGATACTTCCACCAGGGGAATGATTGGTTGCCCAGGTGTCATCAAAATTCTCCCTTCTTCTCTGCCTTCCTTCATACCTTCCACTCATGATCATCAGTGAAGATTTCACTCCGGGCAATATCCACCCTGTTCCATGCCACGGCAAGCTTCAGCTGGTGGTCCCAGTTTTCTTGGCCAAAGTGATCACGGTATCGAGAGGCTATATTTGTAGAACAAACAGAAAAATGACTGAAGCTGGGTTGAAATGGCTTGAAAGGCAGTTCTTCCTTTATTCATATGCAGCCCCAGAATGTAAAAGGGGGAAAGTACAGAAGTTAAACATATTTAACATCCAATAATCTTGCAGTGTAAAATTAGCCATGGCTCAGATTAGTGATGCCAAACTATGATTCTGTAAATATCTGTTGTTTATTAAATATAAACTCACATGTTCCACATCTAGCACTGCTGCCTGGAGTTCTGCTAACATCTCAACATGTTCCAGACAGATTGAGGGCGCAATTACGTACAGTGGGGTCTTGACTTAAGAACGGCTCGAGTTAAGAACATTTTGACTTAAGAACCACGTAGGAAAATATTGACCTGACTTAGCTCACGACCTGGGGTTCAAATCCCAGGTAGCCGGCTCAAGGTTGACTCAGCCTTCCATCCTTCCGAGGTCGGTAAAATGAGTACCCAGCTTGCTGGGGGGGGCAATGTGTAGCCTGTATAATTAAAATTGTAAAACCGCCCGGAGAGTGCTTGTAGCGCTATGGGGCGGTATATAAGTCCAATAAATAAATAAATAAATAAATTTGAGTTAAGAACTGAAAAAAACCACGTGGGAGGCAGGGAAAGTGCAAAATTTGAACTTTCAGTTAACTGTTGGCCAGTGAAAAGGGTGCCTGTCTGCTTCCTCACTCCTCCCAGCATTTAGAGAGTGGATTGGGAGTCTTCAGACTGCCTGGTACTGCCTGGACTGTATTTTCCCTGCCTTCCCTGAACCTTTCTTGACCTAAGAAAAAAAGAAACAAAATATCCCCCTCTAGTGGTCGAAGGCAGAATAGCAGCTTCCCATTAGTTTCTATGGACGGAAAAGAGCAGATACGGATCAAATGGTTTTCAATGCATTCCTATGGGAAATGCAGATTTGACCTGAGAACTTTTTGACTTGAGAACCGCCTTCCAATACGGATTAACTTCTCAAGTCAAGACCCCACTGTATATGGGTCTTCAGCCTGTTATTCAGTTCATGGTGGGAACAGATTGGTTCACTCCTTTTTTCAAAGCAATCACACAACATAATCATTAGAGTGAACTAAATTGTTCCCAGAACATTCCTACCTGCATCGTTCTAAGCACCCGTCAGGAGCTTCTACATTTTTGGTGTGGGCAGGATCAATCTGGTTTGGCCTGTTTTCAGCATGTTTGATGGACCAAAAGTCAGCCTTCCTTGCTGTCAAGGCCCCTTACACTTGGAATTTCTAGTATTGTGAAGTTACTTAATAAGAAAGTTACGTGAAGATATTGGCAAATTCAACATCTCCTCTATTTCTCAGTGGAGGTGCAAAGGAAGTGAAAAATTTTTTAAAACTGCAGTAGACCATCATTGATGCACTGCCCGAATTACTAAAAAAATTAAAAATTCTTTTCCTTGTCTTCAAAAACTGGTCAAGAAACAGCCCCACAGCTCATTCAGCTTCATTATACAAACTCCAGCAAAAAGAGGAAAAGTTGCTGAGACTATTTTGCTATGCTTATCACATATGTACAAGAGAATACTAGAAGAGGATTGCAGAGGGAGCAAGTTATCCTGTAGACCATCAGACTATGTCAAGGAGTGAACTCAGACAAGAGGAGAAACACCCAAGCACTGCTAAGTGCTTGTCTCCAGCACTTCTGCCCCTTGCAGGCTATCTTGTTTCTTTGCACAAAGCTCTTTCAAGAACTCCGCATTTTTGTTACAGGCAACTGTCCGAAGAGGGAGGCCAGTGATGCAGCTGTCTTCACCTTAGTATAAGTGTATAGTTGCTCTTCCACAATTCTCACCTTTGAGCATGGCTTGCAGAATGGCCACATCAACGTCCTGCTGTCCATCCTTGCCTTCTCTGAAGATGGTCAAGAGCTGCCTGTTTCGCACAATATCCTGGATCTGAAAGAAAAACACCACAATAAATGCAAGGCCAGAGCATGGTAGCCCCATCCATCACTGTGTTATTTCATTTCATTTCTATTCTGTCTTTCTCCCAAGGCTCCTGTAACCTGCCCGTTGGAAATTAACTTGCTATTATGTGAAGGTTTTTACTGCACTCTACAGTTCATTTATGGTGACTACCTCTGGCTTTTCCCTTGTGTCCTTGTGTAATATGTTTGTAATGGTGGCGAGTCTGATTATGTGATGCAGTGTATATTCCTCTCTGTGTCTGATGCTTAAGCTTCTGCTAGACACCGAAAGACATCAGGAATTGTCCACTGGGGAGGCTTCAACTCCCAGTGGACAGAAGAAAACAGTCTCACCTGGCTGAAGGACTGGAGGACATTTGAGAAAGTACAAGGTTATTTACTACAGATGTTCTGGGTGAAAAGATCACAAGTGATAAGGGCTACCCAGCTCAGACAGTCTTAGCAGTTGTTATGCTTTGCTCTTCCATTTGGCTATCCTTTGATGTCTGGTCTTGTTACAGTTTTGCTCATTGGGGATAGAGATACTCTGATATCATTTTGCCAACTAGTGAAATATAAACCATCCAAGAAGTTGGCTGTACTGAGATGTGCTTACTGAACAGTGGCATGTCCCGGAAAGGAGTGGACATAAGGGGCTGCATATTTTGTCCATTGCTGAGCCTCACTGATGACATTCCCAGGAGGTACTGCACAACTTCTGATCCGAGGTGTTGCCTGCCACTGTTGTACAGGGGCTCCTACAGGCCAGAATGGGTGTGAGGTTTCTCTGTACTTTGCTGCCCTACTGCTCATTCTATCTGCTTTCTATCTCTTTAACAAAGTTTTGTGCTTTTTCTCCTACTAGTGTATTTGTTGTCACTGACTCCAAAAGAGCCCATTGTCTGCTTTGACATGATATCTTCAAGACATATTTGACATGATGTATACTCTCAGGTACTTCAGATTTCTGAGCCATTCAAATTCAAAGGGAACACCACCACAACACCTGTATCTAGCACCTATATGTTGTTGTTATGTGCTGTCAAGTTGGAACTGACTTGTAGAAAACCTTAATAGAGCTTTCAAGGTAAGTGAGATATTTAAGAAGTAGTTTTACTAGTTTCACATAGAGCTTTCAAGGTGAGATATTTAAGAAGTACTTTTACTAGTTTCACATTCCCAGCGAGCTTCCATGGCTGAGCAAGGATTTGAACCCAGGTCTCCTGAATCCTAGTCCATTACTTTATCCACTAAGCCACATCGGGTATCCCAGCACATTGTTTATAGTGCATGGTTAATATCAGTAAACCACTTCTGAGTATTCTCTACCTGGAAACCCCTGAAAAGTGTTTCCAAAAGTCCAAATTGACTTGACATCATATTATGAATATCATCGTCCTCATCATCACCATCATACATTCATAACCACATACATATATTCAATATAATTCACAATGCATTATTGAAAGATAGAACGGCATTATTACTCCATTCATAACCACATACATATATTCAATATATGCATTATTGAAAGATAGAACGACATTATTACTCTTGTATTCACAAGGCTGAGAGAAGCTGACGGCCACTAATGAGTTTGCAATGAATGCAAAATTTGAAGCAAGAGCTTTTCATCCCTGATGCTCACAAGTCAATCTGTCAAATTGTATTGATTTTTCCCACAAATAGCCATTAGGCTTAGTGTCATCCCAAGACTATTTGCTACCTGAAACAGAGCCCTCATCTTCCTTGACCTTCCCACTAAATGTCTTAAAATGTCTTGCTGCACCACTGCACTCCAGTTCCTGCCTTCACTGATCACACTTATTTTAGTGTCATTTAAAGTAGGTTGCTTGTTAGGATTGTGGAAAGGTAGCAACCATCTTGCAGATGCCCCAGATGGTGCGAGTAAATATATAGCTTTCTACACATAAAGTCCAAAAATGAATTAACAGGCTTAATAGCACAAACCTGAAATTGGCACAAAATCTCCTTGCCTTACCTTCTTGGTCCACTCCACAATTTTACTCTCAGTAAACTGCTCATAGCCATCCTTAAAGAATGTACTCAGTTTTTTCTGAATGAGGGAAATGCTTATTTTGGGGCTGGGAAGATTAGCCACTTGAGCAATGACATCAGCCACACGTCCTGAGCCTTCCACAATCACACATGGGGTGCCATTTGTGATCGCATTGTAGATGGTCTGCAGAACAGAACAATAGGATTATGACCATGCAGGAGCCCATGCTATCTAATGTACTTTTGTTATGATATTGTCACTAATGTCAGAGCCAATCTATAAATTATGCAAAACAAGATGGTAGATTGAGATGTCCTTTGGAAAAACAACTCTTTTCTATAACATTCATTTTAAGATTAATGGTAAATGGGGGAAAAATCTAACCACCATGAAAATTAGTGACCTTTTTTTTTGGGTCAATTTACAGTGATATACCACTATATTGCTAATTTTTTTAATAGTTTTTTTAAAAAAACTATAATCATTACAATCAATTACCTGGCTAAACTGTGAATAGTTGGAAAGGGCAAAAGGGGTTCTATCATTTCTTCCCCTTTTTTAGCATTATAGGACTATAGCTCTATAACACTATGTCATTTAAGTAGCATTTCACAATTGCTACGTTTGAAAAGCACAAGCAAAAAATTGCTTCAGAGCTACTTAAAATAGGAGCAGCCAATACGTTCCCATTGCTGAAGGCTGAAAGCAAAATGCCACCTCTGCAACTGTATTAGCAGTGAGTGCCCCCATTACCAGAGGCCAGAGAGCAGCCAGCACAATGGATGCTGCTCTATATAGAGGTGGTGAAGGAGATGATCTCCACAGTATGGTGACTTTAGCAGTCTTCCATCATAAGGACCCTCATTTTTACTGTTAGAGGTCCTATATGGAAGAAGCCACAAACATAAGAGAAAACCCTCCCATCACAAAACTAAAGGTGCAATCACTGTAGCACCTCCATCACAAACCCCTGCCTCCCACAATTACTAGTGGCAGCTGCAAAAGTGGCCAAGCTAGAAACTCCAAAGGAGGTAGCTACGGTAGGTTGCCCTGTCTTCCTTTGTGGCATCTGCAACAGGAGCATGACAGCCTCTCCCCTCATCATCAGCAGGTGGAAGGGACCTTGTTGAGCACTGGAATCCAAATGCTCAAGTGGCACAGCGCTGCTGCAGCACTTGCACCCATATTTATCAGAGGCTAGGAAGGCGCTGCTACAGATCGGAAAAATCATTCAGTGGCTAGCATAGGACTAAAGAAGTTCTCAGCTCCTGAGCAGCAGCCATTCCAGGATAGGGAATGAGGCAAATTGGCCACACTTTGTGACAGGCTGCCTGAAACTTTTGCCTGAGGGCCTGCCAAAAAACCCCACAATAAGTAGTGTTTTAATTTTAACTGACTCAAGTCTTGTTGTTTTTGAGTTGTTTCCTCTACCACCAAATGGTAGAATAGGACCTGTAAATGACTAATAAAACAACAAATAAACTGTAATACAAAACAGACCCATCAAAAAGTGTACAGTGATTATGTGCAGAACTCTTTTCAAAAAGATGGAAGACTCATACTAAGAGTACTGGTATGTTTGGAAGACAGTGGGGTGTGCATCCTGAAGTTGAACAATATAGTTTTCTCCATCACACCCACCCATTCCTGTGAGGAAAATGAGTTGCAATTTCCCTTCTGGGAAACTTAACACTGCTAAGAGCTGTCTCCCTAGAGCCACCCCTACCAGTTCCGTCTGCATAGTGCATGACCACCTCATGGAATAAAATTCAACTCATCTTGAATTTTAAAAGTAAAAAGCCATCCCAGATACAATCTGTATATCTTTTCACAGCTTCAGAACAAAGTCTCTCTGCTCACAGCCACAGCATGCTTTAGGCAACCCACATTTCATTTGACAACAAAAAGAGACTCTTCAAAAATCAATGGAAATAAACTAATTTTTGTTCCAGCTAGAATAAAGCTGCTGAGATTGGTGGGAATTATAGTTGTGTCAACTTCATGTAAATCTCGCTACAGTAGGCCCATTGAACTAACGGGGTTTTGGTGTGTCCTCCATTAATTCCATTGATTCAAATGGGCCTCTTCTAATGGCAACTTACATTAGCATAATGAGTCACAGTTAGAGTACGCCCATTTGAATCGATGGAACTTACATTTCATATATATAAATATATTTATATTTATAATTATATACATAGTATATGCATACTATAGTATACAGTGGTGCCTCGCACAACGGGTGCCTCACACAACGATGAATTCACACAACGATGCCTTTTTCTGTTAAATTTGCCGCCTCACACAGCGATGTTTCCTATGGGGGATTTTCACACAACGATCTCCCTTTTCGCTCCTGTAAAAGTGTCTTACAATGTTTGGAAGCCGTTTTAAATGCTTGCAATGGTTAGCCCACCTCCTGAAACCTATGCAAACTGATTTTGGTGTTGTTCTGACACTTCGTTAATTTATGGTAATTTTTTGTTTTCTCCATTGAAAACCATTGGATGGTCTGTCTAATGGTTTCCAATGGAGAAAACAAAAACTCATCATAAATTAACGAAGTGTCAGAACAACACCAAAATCAGTTTGCATAGGTTTCAGGAGGTGGGCTAACCATTGCAATCATTTAAAACAGCTTCCAAACATTGTAAGACACTTTTACAGGAGCGAAAAAGGACTTCGCAAAGCCATTGAAATGTATTGAGTCGGCTTCAATACATTCCAATGAAGGAAACATTGTTTCACACAGCGATGTTTCCTATGGGGATTTTCACTCAGCGATGGCAATCCGTTCCAATTGGAACGGATTAACCGGTTTTCAATTCATTCCTATGGGAAATGGTGTTTCACAGAACGATGTTTCACACAACGTTGATTTTTTTGGAACCAATTAACATCGTTGTGTGAGGCACCACTGTATATGTATACAATGTATAATCAATATGGATAATCACAATACAAAGTAATATAGTGTAATATATATACAGTACATAGTATATGTACAGTATATTGATTCAATGGGCCTACACTTGTGTGATTTACCATACTAAGCAATAGATCTACTCTTGTTGGGACTAAAATTGGATTCAGCTCCCTGACATATGTGAAGGAGAAGGGCCTGCATGCTCTTCCTTTGCAACCTGATGCATTTCTGTGATGACATGTAATCCCCACCCCTGCAAAGTAGTGTCCAGTTAGCTGCTACTCAGACTTAAGAGTCACCTCATTTGGCTAGTTTTAGAAGAGGTTACAGTGTTAATCTGTGCAAGCATATCAGGCAAAATCCAAGGAAATAAAACAAAACAAAACAAAACAAAAAAGACAAATATATGTGACACCTTAAAGACTTAACTATTATATTTTAATGTGAGGTTTCATGGATCCTGCTCTTCTGACATATGGGAAAAAATGAAATACAGAATGAAATACAGAAGTCACATTTTCAGTTCCACAGTGAATTGCCCAGATGCCTTCTAGAGAACTTACATCAAGGGTCCCAGGGCCACCCTCCAGCACTACACAAACGATTGGTATTTTAATGGCAACACCTGTCAGGAAACAAAGACTTAAGTCAGTCTCGTAGTTGCTTGAATATGCAGACAATTGGTCTTCCTTCCTGTTGGCATGGATCAACACAGAGCTATAATATACACAGTTCTTAATTATGACTCAAAAGAGGGAAATTGACAATTCCCTTAGAACCTATTGCACATGGGCAGTGTTTATTTATTTTGTGAATTAAAAACAGATAACCCAATAATTTAGTGAAAATTTATAAAATGAACAAATCATTACAACTGTCACATAAAAGACCCAAGCCACTGTGGGTTACGTGGCAATAGTGTCAGTGTCACTGGTGATCATTAGTGGTCATTTGTATTGTTTGTTTTTAAAAGCTACTGGAAGGCAAACAAGAGAGAGAGAGAACATATATATACCTATTTTTCTGGTTTCATACATGCTTGGCAGAATCCTACATGCAGTGTGCTAGTCATGTGAGCTGCTGCATGATGGAGGAATACAAGTGCCACCCTGGTAAGTAGTAGCAATTCACTCCCGTGATTTACACCATTGACCTACAACAGCATAACATACCAAAAGATTGTATCACCTACACAATACTGTAAGTATACAGGACTACATTCCATTGCTGACTTAGCAGATGCTGCCAGTACTCGTTATATCAAACCCTTTCCTCACTGATACTGATGGAATGGATTTCGTGTCTGCCTACCAGGGGATTTTCCCCCCTTATTTACATGCTTCTGAAATCTGCTCCAGATCTGGGGAACTTCCAGAGAAGATTTAGGTCTGGAGACAGTCTGACAATAGGGGGAAAAGGAAGGTATTTTATTGTATGAATATCAGGCAAAAACAAAAGAAAAATAAAGATTACAAAAACCTTAAAGACTAACTGCTATATTTTAATCTGAGTTTTCATGGACAAGTCCACTTCCTCGCTGTCACTGCATGACAGTGTACCACTAAATAAGTTGACCTTACCACTGAGTAAACACACATAGGCTTAGATTATACATCATTTAAAACATTCTAGCCAGAATCTTAAGAATATATATTCAATGAAATCCACAATGACTTCAAAATCTCACTTTTAAAAGACCAAATTAAGATTATTAAACTCTTAATATAGATCAAAGTCCTAACAGGTATCAAATTAGGAATTTGTGGTTTACTTGTTTCTTGCTTGCCATACTGGTGATTTTTTTCTCAAGCAAGAAGAGTTGTTTTATAAATTTCTTCATCTCTGTGACAAAATCGTGTTTGTTACATATGTAAAAGTAAGTCTGTAATTTTATATCTATCTATCTATCTATTGACAAATAGATATAAAATATAGACAAATAAAACACACACACATCACATTGACTTACAACAGCATAACAAACTAATAAGAATATTAGTTTATTAACAAACTAATAAGAATATTAGAAATATATGAAAAATATGTTTATGTATATTTATATGTATCTATTTGCCAAATGATTGATCAATTGCTCTTATAGGTTATTCTTTTGAGATTCTATCCAAGAACTATCTCTAGCTATCAGCAGCCTGTGCTCTAAGTTGAGGAATAGAGCTTCACCCCACCATGTCAGAGTGAGATGCTTTCTTGCTCAGATCACAGCTGTTCTGTCAACAACTAATTACTTCTACTTGCTTTTGTTTGATGTGTGGAAGCTAAGCTTTGAGATAAGTGGCAAAGGCCACTCAAATAAAAAAATTATTACAGTTACTAGTTTGAGACACTGAAGTAAGTGTTCACATGTTATAGATAACTCAATGCCTAGCAGAGAGACAAGTTTGGACTAAGAGTAAAGATACACTTGATGCATACTTAGAAACAGTGCTCCCTCAAGTGATTAAATATGTCCGTTTTGTTTGTTTTAGCAGACATACCCTTTTCTTAGCATTCCAGGATACAGTACCTTGTTTTGTGACTGGTGATGAGAAAATAAATGGGATTAATGTATAAGTCTGGTGCCAAGGCATGCATGCATTCATTCAATTTATATACCACCTCACTTAGTGGCGACTCACAAGAGTGAACACAGAAAACATGAAAGCCAAATTATCCTTTCCATGAACACTATGATTTCATAACATTATATAAGAAACAAGGACATATATCTCAAGAATGCATATCATGGTTTATCATGGGGGAAACATGCATAGCACCTAATTTGACCCTGAGAGAGATGTTAAAAATGAGATCATCCTGAGAATATCAGTCTAGGGAAGAAGAGATGTATTAGGCAAGACAAAGATGAGATACATTAGTCAGCCACAAGTATCTGTCTCTACACTATTGCTCCTTGTAGGCACACAGTTCTTTCTGTAGACATGGTTGTACTTTCTTCAACAAGTATTTTCCATCCTGCTGTGCCCCCCTTCACACCATACAATAGGAGTAGGGGTTACACTGTCACAAACAGGAATACAGGCAGCTGCTTTATATCCGCTCAGCCCATGACTCCATCTATTTCCCTCTAACGCTGAATAATGATGTCCCTCCAGAGTTTTAAGCAAAATGTTTCCCAGCTGGCCTTAGAAACGTCATGGATTGAACTTGGGATCTTTTGAAGGCAAAGCATGTACTCTGCCACTGAACTGTGATACTTCTTAATAATCCAGTGTCAGAAATGCATTTCTTCTTCCAGATTGCAAAACCAAGTGAAAGAAAATTACATTGCACAGGAAGCAGAAAACCTGGCCCTCTGTTCCAACTCCAGCTATAATGGTGTTCCACTTGTACCCAATTACTGAGGACATCGCTCTCTAATCCCTGATCTACCTTTTCTTGGCAGCAACCGGTAAGAAAGAGTATTCTGATGATGATCATGGCTTCTCTCTTCTTTTGATATGACACCATCAAGACCTCATGGGGGAGTGCAAGACTCTACAGCCTGCCAGGCACAAATTAGATTAAGCTTGCCTAGCCTTGGAAGCTAAACAAATCTAGTAAGATGAAAAAGTTTGGGTAATATTCTAGCACAATAGACTGCTGTGCACAAAACATTTATCAATAATAGGATACTCTCTGTTCAAGGTGTCCCATGGGTTGAGCAGTGGCAATGTCTCACCCCAGAATTTCAGGGACAGGGGCTCCTTTCTCTGCTTGTAGTCATAAGCAGTTTATACCCCTCTTTTGCACTGCTATTACCTCCTTTCACCTTTGTTTGCTCCGAAATGAACTTCTCAAGTCTGGTCCTCAAAGGGATTTCCACACCGTATTTCCCATGTGTCCCATCATCCACCAGAATGAAGTGAGAGTGATTATTGTCCAGGCCAGAAAGGTTTCCTTGAGTCTCCTCATCCAGCACATACTCAGCTGGGAAACTACCCTGAAAACATGCAGGGGAAAGAAAGTAGTCAATAAGCTGAGAGGGGGCTTAATTACTGAGGCTCTAACCCTTATGGGCTTTGTCTTGCTCATGTTCTTCCACTGAAGAACAATAATGTGAGATAAGAAGGTGTTTAAAGTCCATTGAACATTAAACACTCGGAGCCCATGTGAGCTGTGCTTTGCAGGCCTGAACTCTGTTGCAGTGGGCCTTGTACCCCAGTAGAGTTCTAATCCCAACCACTCTGCAGTGGTCTTGCAACTTCAGTACCTCCCATGGCTGGAGGGGGGACATTGAGACCTTCTCAAATTGCAGTTCACAGTCCTGAAGGTGGGGGGGGGAGAGAGACACTCCCCACCTTGAGCTATGTGATCACACCTTTAGTTTTATCTTCCCCTAATATTTCTTGAGTTAACAGTCCATCTCTCCCAACACACACACACACACACACACAAATACACACATATCATGGGATTCAAGGTAGTTTGATATAACAGCATCCCAACAGCATGGACTGATAATGCTTTGGGCTCACCGTGGGGCATATGAGGCTACTACGATTGTGCACAGTCCCCCATGTCGCAATCCCAATGGTGATAATCTCCCCTTTGTAGCTGCTACTCATGCTGAAGTCCCGTACTGCTTCCCCAACTTGCTTCATCACACCAGCATGAGAACCACCAGTGATGATCCAGGCACCTGAGGTACAAAGAATGTGACAAGGTGAAGCCAGCTGTTTCCTTTCTCTTCCTGCTAACACAGAGGGTGATTCTTAATTAATTTGTTTTTTTTAAAGTAAACATCTGGCTAGCCCTTCTACCAAAGTTACGTTTTTCTTCCCTTGTTGTGAAGACATTTTCAAGAAACAATCCTAAGGGTCAAGAGCATTCTACCTTGGAGAATTTTCTAACCCAAAATTAAGAAATCAATATTTGAAACATTAGAAAGGAACACTCCCAACACACGTAAATTTGCAACATTTATTTAGTAATTAGGCAACATTTACATACCAGTACTGTGATATTATGCATCACCATTACCAGTCACTATTGCATTGCCTACACCAATGTGCCCAAACAGCAAAACAACAACAACAACAACAACAACAACAACAACAACAACAACAACCACCACCACCACCACCACCACCACTACCACCACCACCACCACCTGATGGGCAGCAGCAGCAGAGGCAGAGGGGAGAATCTCAAGCATGGAGATGCCTCCAACCTCCCCTCTGGATCCACTTCAGCCCAACCATGCTACTAGCTATAGCTCAGCCGTAAGGAACATGGACGGCTGGCCGCAGCCAGCACCAGCTGCTCCAGATCCTGGCCCACCCACCCATCAGGACTCTAGTTTCGTGGCTGCAGCTACCTACGTGCTCCTCTTGGCATCAGCGTGCATCATTTGCAAAAGGCTTGTGATTGTCTTGCGTGACTGGAGACAAACAGTTTGCAGAGACATACAATAGACAGTTTTGCAACCACACGGTTTTCTCCTCGGCTTACTTCCATGTAAAAGACGACCCTCAATTTTTACTCTAATGATTTTAGGAAAAACTATCAACTTTTACAAGGAAAAATATGGTACACAGGCTACACATTCCCCCCCCCCCTCCACGAGCTGGGTATTCATTTACTGACCTTCAAAGGATAGAAGGCTCAGTCAACCATGAGCCAGCTATCTGGGATTGAACCCCAGGTCGTGAGCACAATTTTAGCTGCAATACAGCAGTTTAACCACTGTGCCATGAGGCTCCTTATGTAGGCAGACAAATCTGAGAGTGGTGTTGAATAGAACATCTGATTCTTGTACGTGAAATGTCTTTAAAGCACCCATATTCACTTATTCCCAATTAGAACTAGAACTAATTGACCCAGTACAAAGGTCGTGTGTTCCTGTCCAGCTTTTATCTACTTTGTTTCTGTGCCATCACAAGGACACTTCAGCCCTGAAATCTTAAGCGAATAGGATGCTGCTAATCAAGTAACTCTACTCCCTGTCACCAACCAAATCACTTTTTCTCCATTACAACCTCCAAAGACAGCTATGGCGAAATCCTCAGTTGAGCAGATTCTCCCTCTCCAAGGACTGAGAAACACAAACATTCCTGAATTTCTAATTAACATAATTTAGCATTGGGCCAGGAAGCTGCCTTACCTGTTGTTTGGGCCACTTTGACAAGCCCCCTTCGGAAGATGTTCTTCAATCTCAGCTTCATGTTGAAGTTTTTAGCTCCACCTGTCACAGATATTAGGAGGTTGGGTATATCAAGGCACCAGTGTTGGGTCATCAGCTGGTAGATAACTCTCGGGGGTGTGCTGTTGGAGACACGCACATACTGCAAGGGAAGAATAGAAATATATAAATAAGGAAAGTAAAGAGACAGATCACCACTGAGTTTTTTTTTCCAGGATCATAAGAGTCTTAGATTCTCCATTGCTTCCTACTCTAACAAAGTGCCTAATGAGCCTTGTCCATCAATGAAAAATTCCAATGCTCCTAAAGAATTTGAATGCAATAGGAGATAAATGGAAATGGAATGTTTCTACCCAAGGCAATCTATTAAAAAGATTGAATGCATGCTCAATAGCACAATAGTTCATCCAGAAACATTATAAGGTCAGAGTATTTTCCTTAGTTTATTCCAGCCCTTGAAAAAGTTTCCTTGTTTGGACTACAGCTCACAGAATCTCCCAGCCCACACTGTTTTATCTGACAGTGTTGCTGTAACACCAAAGAACAATGTGTACAGGGCCAATAAGACAGGTTTAAACTCACCTTCCCTACTTTCTGCCCCAAGCCTGTGAAGCTGATATCCCCAAAAGCATCTGTTGGCATTTCCTGGACATGTCTTCTAGGATCCCATTCTTTCCCCTGGAACATGGCAGGTTTTATGGCTTCCTCTGAGTGCTGCTCCCTGAGATAGCCACACTCACATGCCACCTTCCTATAAGAAAACACCATCCGAATCACAGCAACATCTTGGTAGCCTTTTCCGGGCAATATGCTATATGCATATTGAAATGGCAGACATTCTGCACAAAAGTGTAAGTCATATTACATTCACATCGGTTGTGAGAAACCTCTTGACTAGTTCTGCTAGGGCTACCAAATTTCTTATAGGACATGCAAAACAGTGGATTTTGGCACACTTGCCCTCTCTCGTTGTCATAGCCAAGGTTGCCAGGTCAGCAGCACTTGGTGCCTGACATTTCATGGCCCCAGTTTGTGACCAGTCCGTGTGCCTGATGACGTCAAAGAGGCAGGGCAAATGAAGAGCTGGAGGTGAGTCAGAAATGTTTCTTTGCCAGTGGATCCTAGAAATCTGCTCCATGGGAATCCAAGGAAATGGGCCAAGAATCTTGGTATAACCCTGGTAATTAGCTAACATGGTGACCCAAAGGCAAGGAGAAACGCTCCATGTTTTAATGGCTGACTGCTGGATGGGCAGCAAAATGTACCTCAATACCAGTTGGGAAAGAGAGAAGATAGCACACTTAGGCTTTAAAACCACTTTGTGCACATACACACAAATGCACACACACAATCAATCTTTCTCCTCTTCTGGTGCTGTAGACCCTAAGACTTGTGTCTCTGCCTGGAAACAATGGAAGACTTACAATACCCTTAAACTCCAGATGACACCCTGAGACCTGGAAAACCCAATCACACCATTTTGTTAAGACAAGCAGGTCTTGCTCATATTCTTTGTCCTTCATAAGTAATAGTAAACTAGATGCTTAGATGGTGGAGTATCTCAGTTTTCAGGTCCCCCAATTTCATAGGTCACAAGTTATGCCTTTTGTTAAAGACTGTAGATTCTGTGGTACTTTATAATAATATATGTATGAGGCATTAAAGGTAAAGGTTCCCCTTGACATTTAGTCAGTCGTGTTCGACTATAGGGGGTGGTACTCCCCCCCATTTCCAAGCCGTAGAGCCAGTGTTTGTCCGAAGACAGTTTCCGTTGTCACGTGGCCAGCGTGACTTAGACCCGGAACGCTGTTTACCTTCCCACCGAGATGGTACCTATTTATCTACTTGCATATCCATGCTTTCGAACTGCTAGGTTGGCGAGGAGCTGGGACAAAGCGACAGGAGCTCACTCCGTTGCGTGGATTCGATCTTACGACTGCTGGTCTTCTGCCCCTGCAGCATACAAAGGCTTCTGCGGTTTAGCCCACAGCGCCACCACGTCCCTATGAGGCATTAAGCTTTCATTAAATTCATCTGTTCTACACAAACGTGTGCAAGCTCCCTATTGATTATTATTGAGTGCATAGTAGTTGCTTGAAAAAACTTGTTCATACTGGATTTCATCCCACCTCTGTCACTGTACATGTACTGAACTCTTGGCAAGCTACTGCATTATAAATTTCACCATTTGGCGTGTTTGCCAGCGGTAGCTGATGAACTTAAGATGGACTTGAATGTTGTGGATAATGGTGAGGGAGTTAGATTCATTCACAGGATTTTCAAATAATTTGGTCATAGCAACTTCCATCTTGGTAATATGAACAGCTGGATAAGCATTATTAGGACGACAGTTCCCTCTTCTAAAATAGGTACTAGCAAGGTCATTTTGTGCATGACATTACGTTTTGTTTTTAAAAGACTGGTTTCTATGTTAGTGATCTCAGCATAGCCAAGCATGGTTTGCACAGTATGAAGCTTTTACTGAACATGAATGTAGAAATTTTTGATTTTATTTTAAAATGGCATTTTAAACCACTATAAACAATATGTCACTGAATGTAGGTCTCTGAGAGCAATAGCAGCAACAAGACAACATTGCTTTAAAATGATTCCCCCCTCCCCACTTCTGCTCTTTAGCAACAGGAGAAAGATTCAGCACACAAGGCTTCTCAGGTCTCTAGTCATTTTGTAAGGAGATATTACTACAATAACAGAAAGAAAAAGCTGTATACTCAAGAGGATACTGCTCCTTGTCACTGAAATCCTCCTACACACCTTTCTAAACTTTAGAGATTCTTTGTTTCAGCATCTCTAGATGACCAGTCTGGTACCACAGAGAATCTCTATAATATTTCAACTACTCACTGGAGTTTTATTTTAATAATCCTTAAAGGGGGGGTGGAAAGGAAAAACAAGAGAAAGCTTTCTTAAGATCCAAGAAATCAAAGAAAAATTTAAACACAGATTAGGGATATTGAAAAATCAACCGCAGAATATATCATCTGACAGAATAAAAGGGAAGTTTGAAGCAATAAGCTATGTAGAAGAGATGCAAGGATGACAGGCTTCTTCAAAGAAGAAACCTTTGATGAAAAACTTGTAGAAAGTGAAGTGAAAGCTGCTCTCAAAACAATTGGAAGAAAGAAATCATCAAGGGTAGATGGGATATCAATATAACAATGTCTGGCTACAAAGACTTAAAAGAATACACCAACAAATATAAAAAACAAAACTATGGCTGGCAGACTGAAAAATCTGATATGCATACCAGTTCCCAAGAAAGCAGACAGCAAAGAGTGTAGTAGCTATGCAACCATTACATTAATTTTCTGTGTAAGCAAAATGATGTTCAAGATTTTGCAACAAAGTCATTTACATTATGTTGAGCAAGAAATTCCAGATATTCAAGCTGAATTGAAAAAAGGAAGAAGCACTGAAAATCATATTGCAAATATATGCTGGGTGTTGGAGCATACAAAAGAATTTCAGGTGAAAATCAGTCTGTGCTTTACAGTAGAACATTTGACTGTAAGGATTATGAAAAGCTACTGATTATCTAAAAGAAATGGATGTGCCACAGCATTTGATTTTCTGGTAGTTAAACTATACTCTGGACAAATGGCCACAGTTAGCTCAGAATAAGAAGAAACCGAATCATTTCCCATTGACAAATGTGTCAGACAAGTGTGTAATTTATCTCCTAGAACATATACAGAAAGGTGAATCAGAATTAGACAAAGAGGTGAAAACTGGAGGCCAAAATATCAATAATTTAAGATATGCAGATAACATCACACTACCAGCAGAAAATCTCAGTGACTTGATACAACAATTGAGAAAGGTTAAAGAAGAAAGTGCAAATGCACAATTACAACTGAAGATCAGGAAGACAAAATAGCATTTACAGGAGAGTTACACAGCCTTAGCGAGGACTATAAAGAAATCAAAATTGTTAAAGGTTTTCTATATCTCACCTCTACCATTTATCCAAATGGAAGCTGCAGCCAGGAAATCAGAAGAGGGAGACAGAAAACTAGTTCAAAATGAACTTGAAAAGATCCTCAGGCATAAGGATGTGGTACTGGCGACCAAAGGCAATATTTGCTATCTTAGAGTATTCCCAATTACTATACTACTGCACATACTATATACAGATGTGAAAACTGCACGAGGCAGAAAGCTAACAGGAAAAAAGAACTTATTTGCAATGCATTGCTGGGGAAGAGCTTTCATACAGAACCATTAGAAAGACAACTAAGTACTTTCTAGAGGAGATCAAACTTGAACTCTCCCTAGAAACTAAAATGACTGAATAGAGGCTACTGTACTTTGCGAATATCATGAGAAGATAAGTTTAACTGGAAAATATAATGGTGATACAAGAAAAGGAAAGCAGTAGAAAAAAAAGCAGAAGAACTGACATGATATGGATTGACTCAATAAAGGAAGACACGATTTGTAGTTTGCAATATCTGAGCAGGGTTGTTAATGATAGGACTTTTTGAAAGTTTTTAATTCATAAGTTTGTCCTAGATCAAGTGACCTAATTACATATAACAACAGGCCACCCTGAACTTTCATCATCATCATTATGTCAAATCAGTTCTGATGTCATCATCATAGGCATCCTTCAGTCTGGAGAGACTATGGCAATGTGCTCTGTATGCGAATCTGGAGTGTCCTCTCCAGAGCACGAAGCCTGGGTAAAATAATATGGAGGATAGGCTGTTACCCAAGCAGCAAATCCCCCCTCTCCATGTCACTGAAATAGTTCAATGGAAAGGCAAGAGCCAATACAACTGGTTTCAGCGACGTCGCAGGAGTTCACAGTATGACACGAACTGCCTCTGGGACTCCGGCTCTGGATTTTGCCTCGAGGTTAACTCCTGAAACCTTTCCCATCAGTGGATATAGCCACAAGGCAGTGGAGGTTTGAAATTGGAGTTTTCTTTCTCCTATATGGGCTGCCTCCCACGGCTGACGAGCCCCACCTACCTGGCCTGCTCCCTCACAGCATGGACTTCTCTATGATGACTAGGATTGCTCCTGTCTCATATTCCACAATTAAACTATGGGCATTAGCTGCAAAGGCTACAGTGCCAGTGTAAAGCAATCAGATTAGATGCCTGATCAGGACTAGAAATGGGCTTGGTCCTCAATTCGGAGGTTCATGCTGGTTCATATTTGTGGCACCTATACCTGTCCCGTCTCCTTATGGAGATTCTTTTCAGTGTTTTCCAGGTAGAGTGTATTCTGAGGTGGTTTACTCATCCCTTCTACTGGAGGCATCCTGGGACTGTGCAGCTTGCCTAAGGTCACACAGACTGGCTCTACTCACAGGAAACATGGGGGGGGGTATCAAACTCCCAACCTCTGTCTTCACAGTCAGAGACCTAAACCACTGAGCTATCCAGCCAGCCTGAGCTTAAATAAGGACCTCCAAATTCACTTAGAATTATTTCAAACACCAAAATGGGTTTAAATTTAAACATACAGCGAATATTAATATAATACTACCTCCAAATTCACTTAGAATTATTTCAAACGCCAAATTTAAACATACAGTGAATATTAATATAACACTTAGTACTGTAGACTGAACAAAATAAAAACATTTTACTGCCCATCCAAAAATAAAATAAAATTAAAAAATCAGGGATCTGACAATTCTATCTTCTTTCAGAAGGGAATTCCAAAATGAGGATGTTGCCACATATAATGTTCATTTTTGTCAGTGTTACCAGCCAAACTTGAGTGGTTGGTGGGCAGGGCTTTAAATTGTGACTCATGGACAATATTTATATTGGACAAGATGCCAGTTCACATGTCCTAGCTTCAAACCATTTAGGTCTTTGTGAGCACTAGTGTCTTGAACTGGACAGACACTCACACTGTACCTCTCAAGTACTTAGGGCAAGACAACCTCTCCAAACTGGTGCCCTCCAGATATTTGGGGCTGCAAATGTGCCAGGTGGGAGATTAGAGGAGTTGCAGTCCAGCATATCTCGAGGAAAGCAGCTTAGAAAAATCAGATATAAGGCAGTAATCATTATAATCCTATTGCAATTGTACAGACTTACAGAAACACATCCACCTTACAATAGTATCCAGTTTCAACTGTGTTGCTGAGTAGATTCACCCTCAGTTCTGGACCTTCAGTAAGAACTGAAAAGAAAACGCAGAGAGGGCAACTGACACTTAAAACAGCTGACTTACCCAGAATCTGACATCTGAGAACTTTCGATGAAATAAACACATTCTTTTTTCTGAATGTTTTCAGGGATCCATGAGCTAAGATTTTCCTGTGGAGACAGGGAAGAGGCAACAGAAGAGTAGTTGTCATTTGAAGCAAAATATAAAACATTCTTCTTCCAAATTGTTGCAGATATCTGTCATTGGTACAGTTCGTAATATGTCACTTTTAATGCATAGTTCTCGGTGAGGAGAAGGCAGCATATGAAACAAACCAAGTAACAACCAAATAGATTGTGCTGAATTCTAGTAGTATTTCTTTAAGCAGGGGGGCAGTACAGTTCTGAAAGCAAATTATCTTTCTGACATGGGTTCCCTCCTCAAGCCCACTTTAACCTGTAATCCCATTTTCCTCGGATGGTACAATTGAGCTGCCACCCCCTGGATGTGTTTCCTTTTTCCTGAACTTGCCTTTTCGTTGGTGCTGGGGGTGAAGTGAGCCCTCCGCTTGCCCTTGCTGAAGGCACTATTACTTCTTCTGAGGTTGGGGACCATATCAAGATCATAGTAGTTTCTGGAGTAGACAGGATAGCCGTCTCCTTCATCAGGGCAAACTTTGTTCAGCTCTGTGGGGAGTGTTCGGATTCGTCGGCCTGGTCCAGCCATGGCTACAGTCCATCAGTGACTCAAGAGACCTGTTAAAATGTAATTGCAAGAGAGGTCTTAGAAACCATCATACAAAGGATGGTGGGACAGTGGAGTATCTTACCAGACAGATAATCCCATATTGCAAGAAGACCCAAGAGGTTTGGTTGTTTTTCACTTGAATTTCTTCCATCAAGTTTTTTTTCTCTCTCTCTCTTTCAGCCCGAGCATGCAGAGGGATGATATATTAAGATAATATTGCAACACCAAGATATTTAGAAACACAGATATTTGCTGGGCTACTTCAGGAAAATGTTTCAGAGCACTACTATTTTGAAAATGCTAGAGTTACCATAGTCATGATGGCTGGGGATAATGGAGATTGTAGTCTAACAATACTTGGAGACTCAATGATGAAAAATTTGGCTTAAAACAATCCAATGATCTGCCTGAGGTGGAACAGACTAAGAAAGGGTTCCCTAGATGGATGCATCACCACCACCATCATGTCCATTCTGACTTATGGCAACCCTTTTTCAGGTAGAGGATACTCAGAAGTGGTTTACCGTTCCCTTTTTTCTGGGGGCACCCTGGAACTGTGCAGTTTGCCCAAACAGGCTAGCTTTATTCATCGTATCAACTAGAATAATAAACTGAATTTTAGAGGAGCAAAAATGGAAGAGTAAATATTGTTTAAAATACGGAATAATCCAAATACATCCCATGTCTAGATCACTATGTTCTAATGTTTTATCAGAATCACAGCCAAACTTAGCTGATTTAATGACTCATACTCTTTCTCAACTTTCTCCAGAATCCAATTTAGGAATAATTTTCTGCTGCTGCCTCACCTTAGAACTGTTTTAACTCTATGCAACTTCTCACAGTCCTTCACTGATCAAGGCAAGAGCAAGTTCCACCCATAAATTGTATTATTTGGCATAAACTGCAGTCCTGCACTCATTGGGGAGTAAGACCCACTGGATGCAGGGGATTATACTCTTAAAATTGTCTCTTTATACATCTGTTTAAATCACTGAGTTGCAAAGCTTTTTAGAAACTTCAAACAGAATGGCTGCAAATGGGCAAAATATTATTTATTCATATACTAAATATAATTATTGACTTCAAATATACACATTTCCTGGCTACAGCTGCTATGATGCATCTTAAACTGTTTCCTGGAGATTAGTAATTCAATTATCTCTCTAATTAAAGAAGAATAACACTTAAGAGAAAGCTGACAGGGGGATTTTTTTTTTAAAAAAATGGTGCTGCAGGAGAGTTTTGTGGATACCGTGGACTGTGAGAAATACATACAAGTGGGTTCTAGATAAAATCAAGCCTGAACTATCTCTGGAGGCAAAAATGTTGAAGCTGAGGCTGTCCTACTTTGGGCACATCGTGAGATGACAGGATTCTCTGGAAAAGATGCTGGGAAAAGTAGGAAGCAGCAGGAAAAGAGGAAGACCAAACACAAGATGGATTGACTCCCTAAAGGTAGCTACAGGCTTGAGTTTACAAGATCTGAGCAGGGCAGTTGAGGACAGGAGATCTTAAAGATCACTCATTCATAGGGTCATCATAAGTCAGTCATGACTTAATGCCACACAACAACAACAAAACACTAATATCTTGCTAGGGACTGTGTTGGGTGCAGTTACATCCAACTGGCATTTTGATGCTGGGAATTATTCTAAAGGGGGAAAGTGGGAAAACTGATTTTTAACAAAGCAACTAAGACATCAGCATCCCAAGTACCATCCATGCAGCTCATGTGCCAACAGAAAGAGAGCTTGAAAAAGTTTATTTTCAGACTAAAACCTAGAATCTCCCAGCCATTGCACATGCCTGCTGCAAAATCAGGATGGGCAGAGTATTTAAAAAATGTAACTTTTCCAAACTCTATTAAGACAACTTTCACAGGTTACTCCAAAGCCGTCAGGAGGTGCCTGAAATCAGCTCAGAACAAGGACCTGTCTAGTGTGGCATTATCAGTTGTGTCTAGCATTGATGCTCCATGAGGTTAAACAGAGGTCTTCCACAGAGCTGCTTGAGACCCCTGTAGCTTAGTATGCTGGGGACTATCCTGTCCTCAACAGCATGTGCTTTACCACTGAACTACAGTCCTTGCCACTTTACACTCTGGTACTAATAGGCACCAATAGTCAAACTACCTCTTGCAAACCGGTCTCTTTGTTTAGATTAGTGGTTCCCGACCTCTTGCAAACTGGCCTCTTTGTTTAGATCAGTGGTTCCCAACCTTGGAGCTCCACCTTTACTGACACCTTTCTTCTACTCACTTTAAGTTGCCAGAGACATGATTTAGGATTTTTTTTAAATATGGGCTGTGACATATCACTGAAGTGGGTTCTCAGGTGTTCTTGGGCTAAAACTTCCAGGAGCTCCACCTTTTCTGACACCTTTCTCCTACTCACTTTAAGTTGCCAGAGACGTGATTTAGGATATTTTTTTTAATATGGGCTGTGACATATCACTGAACGATAGCCCTTTCCCTGAAATGCAAAAGTGTTGTTATTGGTTTTTACAACTCCTTGCGGAGTAACTTCCTGATACTTGAGGCTAGCTTTAAGAACCCCAAATATTTTGTTTTCAGCTGCGGCTGCCTCAGCTGGTGGGCTACTTACTCATCATCACTCCGCCAAGGCAGTTTTTTGTTACAGACTTCATCTGGTGCAATCCGAGCAACACTACACGAGATTTACTTCGGAGTAAATGCACATTGGCACAGGCTGCACAGCCAGACAAGGGACGGAGGTTTCCGCTTAGGGGTACCCCAACAGAACCTGTGCAGGTCACACAACACCTCTCTGGCCCCCGAGCCTCCCTTTCCACGTGCCTCGCTCAAAGCCACCCCGAAAGGCTTGGCAGGTGCCCGGGCGTTCTCTTGACCTTGCAGCCCGCAGAATTCCGCGCCCGCCAGCACGATTACGAAGCAGTTCTGCACCGGCTCTTCTGGCCAGTCGGAGAGCAGCCGTCACAGCCGTCGCTCTCCGCGGGTTAGGCGGGTCCCCAAGTCCCAACCTTTGCTGCCTCGAGGTCTCAAAGGTTCCCCCAGTTTGGAAGGGCGCGGGCCGGGAACGCGGGCGTCGCAAAGCCACCCGCGGGGTCCCTGGGCTCCCTCCCCTGCCCACCGGGCTCCGGGCCCCTTACCTGCGCTCTTCTCGCCTCGTCCTGCGGGCTGCTCGAGGATGCCGGGACGAAGCCCCCGGGCCACGGTCTCTCCGAAGTGGCTGCTGCAGTTAAGAGGAGGAGACGGTCCCGGGGCTGGAGGCGGACCAGCACCAGCAGCACCAGCCTCGGATGGATCCACCGGGAAGGACGAGAAGGGCACGCGGTCTGTCTGGCGTCAACTGCAGCCCCCGCGACCCGCTCTTTCGCCCCTTCGCCTAAGGAAGAGCTGCCAGAATCGGGTCGTAATAAACCGGTGCGGGGAGGCGGGTGGCGGCGGCGGGAGAGGGCAACCTGCCGATGTTTCCAAAATGCTGTTCAAGCGGGGGCAGCCGACGGTGTGATGACAACGTCCCAGAGCTCTTGGCAAAAGTGTCGAGGACCTGAGCGGCACCGCAGAGTAACGGAAGGCATTGCAGCAGCCAGCCAGCCTGCCTGCCTGCCCGCCCTCAGCCGGCTGATGTGAAAAGTTGGTCTCCTGTAAATGAGACAGAGCCCCTGCCTTCCTATCAAACTAGGTTAACAGATCCCTGCGGAGTGAATAATCACATTTTGTTCAGGATTCTCAGTTTAGGCTCAAAACAGCTTGGGAAAGAAGCCAAAGAATGGCTCAAGGGTCCCCTACTGTAGTCTTTAATCAGCCGCGATAGGAACCCGCACGACCCCAATGGGTTCTGTGTCACCAGCCCACACTGATTTGCACCTAATATGACATTTCTTTGGATTTACTAACCACATCTCGGGGCTCCACAAGAGTTCGACATTACATATTTATTAACAGCCATGCCCAAAATCAATATAAAATTTACTGGAAAAATTACTTCCATTGTAAAAGTTGTGAGGCATTAAATTTTTAAAAAATCATTACTTCTAATGATTGTACTTCAGTTTTTATCCTTTCCTGTCCACCCGGCACCTTGATGATAATATGCAAAGCAGCAATTAAAAACAAAAACTATTAATTTTAGCAATTAGAAACATATGGAAAAGATTTTAATTTTTTTTTAAGGACCAGGTAGTCTAGGATTGAATACGGGCCAAAATGGAGAAAGTTCTTGAATTGTCCTTCCCCCCCACCATCACACTGATATTAATGGAGTATTAATAATGATCTCTCTCTCTCTCTCTTTTAAAAAATAACAATTAATGTTATTTTTACTTAATACTATGTGACACTTCTTTCACATAGCAGCATTTTTGCTGTTGAAAAAACTCAGGTGAACTACAAATTCATAAAGTACGAGGGATCAAATATGGAAGGTAAATAAGTCACTGGTGGGAATAAGTACAGCAAACAGCTGGAATGATTAAAGTAGGAATAATACATTTCCATACAAATACATGATATTTACCTAACCAACCCAGCTCTCATATTTTCAATCTAATGAAATCAATAGGCAGAAAATCTTTCTGTTTTTCATTTTTCTATACTTGTTAACTTCTCTCCTAACTTAAATGCTGCAGGTATTATATATCACTGTATATTTGAGTACCAACTCAGTTCTCCAAGTACTTCCACTTTTACATCCCAAACAACAACAGCCAAACACAAGATTGAGGTATCAGGACACTCAGGTTAACCCTGAGGTTTAGAGAAGCTAAAGATATACTGCTATTGTTGATGTTGTTATCGCTGTGTGCCATAAACTCACTTCCGATTTATGATGAGCCTAAGAATAAGCGATCTTTAAAATGCCCTGTCCTTAACAGCCCTGCTTAACTCTTGTAAACTCAAGTTTGTGGCTTCCTTTAGGGAGTCAATCCATCTTGTATTTGCGCTTCCTCTTTTCTTGCTGCCTTCCAACTTTCCCAGTATTATTGTCTTTTCCAGAGAATCCTGTCTTCTCATGATGAGCTCAAAGTGGGACAGCCTCCGTTTCAACATTTTTGCTTCCAGAGACAGTACAGCTTTGATCTAGGACCCACTTCTTCATCTGTCTAGCACTGCCAGGGTATCTGCAAAGCTCTCCTCTAGCACTACTTTTCAAACAAATATTTTTTCCCCTGTCATTTTTTTTCCGGCCAACTTTCACACCCATGCATGGTGTTGGAAATATTAATTAATATTAATACTTCAAGAAGGGGAAAAATATTCAAGTGATGGCAGGAGGGAAAACCTGCCTAAAGAGCCAGGTCTTAAGTCTGCTCTTAAAAACACCCAGCAAGGGAGCCACACAGATCTCTGGGTCAGACTGTTCCAAAGGCGAGGGGCCACTGCCAAGAAGGCCCAGTTTCTTGTTCTTTCTCTCTGGGCCTCCCTCGGTGTTAGGCCACTCAGCCACCCTTCCTGGCTAGAATGAGTGATTCGGTTGGATCTAGGTGGGAAGAGGTGTTCCACTAGAAATACAAGAGTGTAGATGATTTTGGTCCCCAGTGACACATACTTACACTTGATTATCTTTTATACAGTAGTACTTTCATTGCTGCCCTTCCAAGTCTGTTTTCTTCTCATTTCTTGGTTACAATCTCCATTTGGATTGATGATTGAACCAAGATGTATAAAATCTCTAACTATTTCAACTTCTTCATTGTCATGGCACAGTGGTTAAACTGCTGTACTGCAGCCAAAACTATTCTCATGACCTGGGGTTCAATCCCAGGTAGCTGTCTCAAGGTTGACTCAGCCTTCTGTCCTTCCGAGGTTGGTAAAATGAGTACCCAGCTTGCTGGGTGGGCAATGTGTAGCTTTTATAATTAACTTGTAAACCGCCCAGAGAGTGCTTGAAGCACTATGGGGCAGTATATAAGCAGCACGCTTTGCTTTTTGCTTTTTGCTTTTTGTAGTTCTGTTGTCATGATTTTTGTCTTCTTAATGTTCAACTGCAGTCCTCCTTTGGCACTTTGTTCTTTTACTTTCATTAACAGTCATTTCAAGTCATTGCTGTTCTCTACCAGTAAGATTGTGTCATATCATAAATTACTGATAATTTCTACTGCCGATTTTCACTCCTCCTTCATCTGAATCCAGCCTGGCGTTCTGTATGATGTTTTGAATCGATAAGGGATTTATACCCCACCTAGAGTGGCCTTTTAGGCCAGATGGGCGGCGAATAAATAAATAAATAAATAAATAAATAAATAAATAAATAAATAAATAAATAAGGGGATAAAATGCACCCAGGTCTGACACCTTTGCCTATAGGATACTGTTCTATTACTCCGTATTCTGTCGTAATGGTAACTTCTTGTCCACAAGACAAGTTACACATATTAGAGGGAAAAATCCTAAGGGGGAAATCCTCCAGAACAATACAGTGACAACTGAGTGTCCTCAGCACCTGTAGAATGATGACTGACTGTTGACAAGACAAAAACAAAACAAAACGGACACTCAAAGGAGAGAAAGAATGAAAGGGAGTGGCTAAAAATGGTGGAAGTGATAGATCTATTTCATCTAGGAATAAACAGATTAGAGGGAACCACCTTTGGCTAGTCATCCCCAATTGACACAGAGACTATTTTAAAATGACCCCATGACCTGAACTTATAGTTTCTCATACAAATAAGTTGAGAATTCAGTGTATTCTCTAGTGAAGCCACTATGTCTCACAGTGTAATATTGTACATGTTTGGTAGGCTGCTGACTGAATGCGGGGGGTGGGAGTGGGGAGTTTCTATAAAACTACTAGAGAAAAGGAATGTAATGGAGTATTTAACTGCAGCATTCCAAACTGCAACGTCAGCCCCCATTTCTGCTGCTCAGTGGTGACTACCACTGCTTATGTAGGCAAAATGCCACTGCATACAACTGGGCAGTAGTCATGTTTAGCAGGCTTAGGAGAGTAAGGTTTGAAGTAGTATAAAAAAATTTAGATGGAAAAAATGTATGAGGGGATAGAAGAGTTGGAGGGTCTCAGAAATGAAATAGGCTCCAGCACTGACCATACTCTAGCTGTCTTGGCAATAAGGAATTAAATTCTTGAATTTCTTTTAGTTTATGGCACCTGGAGGGGAGCATCACTATTTGGTGACTGGATGCTAGTGAGTTCTCATTGAAGCAGAGGCATGTCCTTCTAGGGGGAGGAGAAGAGAGACAAGACCTCCTCAGGCTTCCTGGACCTGAGTATGACAGTTTGTTCAACTACTTCAGCATTCCACCATCTGATTAATTCTTCAGTCTGCTGCATGTGGCAACACACCCTAATGTTATTTCAGGCAACTGATTCCCAAATTCTCTTATCTGATAGTGTTTTTTCAGAGACTCAGGCAAAACTTGTTCTCCAACTCGAAATCTTTTACTCTGATGCTGGGGGATGAACTAGGGTGCCAGAAGATGAACAAGTTCTAATCTCTACTTACCCAGCTCAGGTATCTTTTACCCAACCTCTTAGGTGACATTTTGCTATCTAAAATGTAATGACTGCAGGCTCGACCCAAATCCATTTAAATCAACATGAGTTTCTGCTATTTCTAATGAGCTTAGAAGGCTACGAGTACCCATGAATAAGAGTGTTTTTCAGGTCTTTACAGCTTTCTGAAAAATAATTTCAACAGATAATGATATAAAAGTACTTTAGAAAAGATGGAAAGCACATTATTCTCTGACCTCAAGGCCACCAATGAGCTTCTAGGATACAAGCTAATGCAATGTAAAATGTGCTTTGTTGATGCAGATGAAAAGTGTTTACTGATTGTGTAACCGACTCATTGAGCAAGACTAGCTATCTTTCCTCAAAGCAGAGCAGTTGTTGTATGGATATTTGTTTTCACCGCCATATGATTTGAATCAGGTGGATGTCAGTAGTCAAAATACCATTTAATTCTTTTAAAAAACCTCAGATTTATGAATGTGGGATATTGAGTTTCTGTATCCATGATTCAAAATGCCAGGAAATTTTTGCTGTTGCTGCACTATATTGTGCCATTGTTACTAGCAAGAAAAAGAATGCCAAGCTTTACATAGCAACGGGCAGCCTGAATGTTGCTAATACCAATGTCAGTAGTCAAAATGGTCTACAGAATACTCTCTTCTGCTCACTACCGTTCACAAAGTGACATCAAGCAAGAGGAAATCCAAGAAGAAATAAAGCATAATGATGCCTGCCAATTAATGCAGCCAACATAGGCCAGAGTCTGGAGACCCTAGCAATCACAGCATTCAAGCGCTGTAGCATCAACACCATTCTGGAACTCATGTGAAACAATAGTTGACATCCTCAAGGTCCACAAAGGGAAGGCCAAATACGTTCCTTTCTATGAATATCACATAACTGCAGAGCAGATATTGAAAAATGGCTGCTCTGCTCTGCATCTAATCTTATATATTGTACCAACAAACACCTCAGAAGCAAGCTGCATCACCAGATGTTAGTTGTTATATTGAAATATCACATATGTTAAGTAATAATATGGCTTTAAAATATAAAGCCTCAAACAGTATAACAATAAAATTACTGTTCAAGTTCTGTGACAGTTTATATTCCTACCCAAACCAGGGACATTTCATCTAAAGAATCCTTTAACAATCAAAGGCTATCATTAGGAATCGGCCTTTTGTGTTTTAAAGCAGTGGTCCCCAACCTTGGGCCTCCAGATGTTCTTGGACTGCAACTCCCAGAAGCCTTCACCCTCACCTCTGCTGGCCAGGATTTCTGGGAGCTGAAGTCCAAGAACATCTGGAGGCCCCAAGGTTAGAGACCACTGTTTTAAAGGAAACAAACACGGTTCCATGTTCTTTCTTTAATTGCTGAAAAAGAGACTCTTAAAAGACAAATTCCTCATAATCACAAAATCGATTTTTTAAAACTTTTCTTCAAATTGCTTGTGAAATTTTTCATCCACTAGCATTGCAAGAGCTGCTATCAATCAGAATATCTGGGGAAGGGAAATTTCGAACCTCCAAAAAGACCTAGATTGGTTGGAACCCAATTAGAAGTGCTCTTTGTTTATAGTACTGTACTTCCTTGTGAGTGGAATTACTGTGTGTTGCTGAGCTCCTGCTGGATTGTGTTGCCTGCCTGCAGTTTGCTGGACTCAATGAAGAAAAAAGAAGGCATCAAGTAGTTGGGTGGCAGGAGAGAAATGCCCCCATATTCTAGTAGTTTTGCTTGACAGGATTTTGATTTAATTTTTGGCCCTTATTTGCTTGCTTGATTTTTAGACGAGGGGACTGCATTGCTGTGGCATTTGCTCCTGTGTATATGTATGGCGATACTTTCTTTGGCTGCTTGGTTTATTTGTTCAATTTACTGTGTTTATTTTGTTAAAGGTATGTATTAATATTATTTGCCAATTATCAATCTTCGTATCCATTTAACAACATCAGCATAACACACACACAAGATTTATTTATTTATTTATACCTCGCCTATTGGTCATTGTTCTTTGGTAAATCAAAAAGCGGATTTAGAAACACATTGACGAGTAGCCAAAATGCATCACAAGGTTTCTTCCACTGTTGAATCTCCTCATCTTAGAAACATCAGCTCACGAGAACCAGAACATTATATTCCTTTTGTTGCCTTTCCGCATTGCCCTGATATGTAAGACGAGGTCAAGTATTCGCCGCCTCCCCCTTAAAAGGTCCTGGCCCTGGTAATAAAAATTAATGAAACAAGTATTTTCCCAGGTCAGGATGGCGTGTGAACACTTCAGCGCCATAATGTCACACATAAAACAGGCACAAGGAGCATTCAAGAAATTAGGCTGGCTTCCGTTCCATTCCCAACCGCTGGATCCACCCCTTCAGAGAGAAGAGCACAGCCAACCCACCGCCCTAGACGCCCATCCAGTCCCGTTCAGGGGCGGGGCTTACAGGAGAGGCGGGCATTGGCTGTTAAGCCCTACCTCCGCCGCGAGTATGCAAGGTCCTCTGGGAGTGGGATGGACGTAATGGCGCCTGCGCCAGGACCCGCCCATGGAAACGCGTCGGAGGCTGCCGAGCGGGCCTTGGCGACGCGTCCTGCGAAGCCCGATGCCTCTGCCGGGACCATGAAACTCACCAGAAAGATGGTTCTGTCCCGGGCGAAGGCCACAAACCTCAGCGGCGTGCGCAAGCTGAACTGCTGGTGAGGCTTGGGCCCGGTGCTCGCTTGGCGAGAAGATAGAGGGGCAGGTCCATGCATGAGTTACTTTGGCTCCTGCCGGCGAGAAGAGTTGCAGAGGCGGGCGGGGAAGGGGCCAGTAGGGGCCCGGGACGGATAGGAATGGCTGGCGGAGAGAATAAAGAAATGCTTCTTTTATCCCGCAAAACACAAAATAAGGATCCGAAAATGCCCGTTCCCCGGGTTCTCTTCATCCCATCCTTCCAGCTGCGAAATAGGGTTGCCACATTTTTGTGTCCTGTAGCAGTAACATAGCTGGAAGGGTAGCAATCAGCAAGGATTTTTTTTTTCGCAAGAGCAGCTTCGGTGATGGGGATTCAGATTAGAATTCTGTCCTTTGAGTGTAAAAACTCAGCCTATGGCTTGAAAACCAGAGTTGCACTTCCTAATGGTGATGGTAGAAATAAGTAATGAGATTAATTGTTAGGATATCAGCCTGAATAGTAAATCCAGATTTGCCAGAGTGTGAGGGAGCATTTGCATTCCCCAGTGATGCTGATGTGTTAATGTGAATTACTAAAATAACTCTAGTAGTTGCTGTATCATAATTCAGAGTCCTGATTTGGCCTTCTACAGAATTAAATATTTACCTACTTTGTTCTTCAGTCATTCATTTTCTTGTAGAAGGTGCAGCCCATAGTCTTCTCTGTCTTTCCATGTGTGCTTCTCTTTCCTTAAAATCATCAGGTTTGTCATGCAGGAGTTCTTCTGATACCTGGCTCCTCCCTAGAAACCAGGTTGTGACCATGGAAATCCAGGTGGCGTCAGTGGTCCGCTTTGCCTATTTCCATTTGTGGCAGATTGCCCAGCTGCGTCTCTATCTTGATGTTGGGGCAGTCACCACTCTGGTCCATGCGCTTGTAATCTCGAGATTAGACTACTGTAACACACTGTACATGGGGCTACCATTGAGATAGATGCGGAAGCTTTAAGTGGCGCAGAACGCGGTGGCCAGACTTCTCACTGGGGTGAGAAAATATCAACATCTTTTCCCAACTCGGCTGCCTTGTATTGGCTGCCCGTTCGTTTCCGCATTGATTTCAAAGTGTTAATGATGACATATAAAGCCCTAAATGGTTTAGGACCTCGATATCTATTGGAATGACTTACCACTTGTTCTAGCCAGGAAGGGTGGCTGAGGGGCCTAACACCGAGGGAGGCCCAAAGAACAAGAAAACGGGTCTTCTTGGCAGTGGCCCCTCACCTTTGGAACAGTCTGCGCCCAGAGATCTGTCTGGCTCCCTCGCTGGGTGTTTTTAAGAGCAGACTTAAGACCTGGCTCTTTAGGGGGGCTTTCCTTCCTGTCATCACTTGAATTATTTTTCCCCCATCTTGAACTATATTACTATTGTTGTTTTTATTTTATTGTTTTTATTGTTAGCCGTCCAGAGTAGACCAGTCTAGATAGGTGGGGTATAAATTTAATAAATAAATAAATAGCCAGGAAGATGTTCTGTTATATTTGGAGCATCTGCCGGCTGTATCCCTTTCTGAATAAGAAAGACATGAATTCTGTGATGCTTGTTATGTTGGTTCGGTCTGGTAGAAACTGTACTCTGACTCATCTGGATGGCACCACACTGGGAAAGTCTGTTGTGGTGCATGTCCATGAAACATTTCATCTGAACTTTTTTAATGCTGAATACATGAGTGCCCTTGAGGATATCCCAGAAATTAGTACCAGATCAAAAACTAGCAGTCACATTAATGTTGTAACAGTGGTAACAGGGACCAAATCTCTGTTATTCTTTGTATATTACATTGCTTGCTGATTTGTTCATAGGCTGAAGGGCTGGTTTGCCAGTTTTAAAATATTCTATTAATCTAAGTTCCATAACCTTAGCTTTAGTTCAGCCTTTGAGCCAATACAGTTGCTTAACAAAAGCTTCCTAGGATAATCTGTTCTTTCCAAATACTAGGCTCCTGAACTATCTTTTTGTAAGATAACAACGTGCCAGAATAAAGGGGGACTACTCCTTTCTTTTTTTCCTTTCATTCATTCCAACATATAAGACAAACTTGTACATGTGGCTCCTAGGGAAAAGAGGTAGAAGGACAAATATATCAGCAGCACCAGTACATGTAAATACATCACAATAATGTCAACAAATGTGTGGCAGGGAGTTTGCAGTTTCAGTTACAATGTCTCTTCTCATATACATTGAGAATACACGCACGAGCCCACACATATATGGAGTTTGTTTGGTGCCGATTTGATAGGTGGCTTTCCTTTGATTAGCATGAATGTTGTTTCAGTGTCTTAATGCTATTTATACTGTTTTGTGTACACTTGTTAAATAGTATTTCTCTTTCAGGGGCAGCCACATCACAGATGTGAGTACTATTCATAATGTTTCTGTTAATGTAGTAAATAGAGGTAGCAGACGAGGTGTTTAACCTCTCTAAGAGCCAATATCTCAAAAATTATGCCATGTCTTTAACAAGTTCAAAGCTAAGCCAGGCTTTATAATGGAATGTGTGTATGCATAAAAAGCAGTTTTCTGCTGCCTCTTTATGTGATTAGATAAATAATACTACATTTTTCTTTCTGTGGTGGGGGTGATAATTTAATCTGTTGCAGCTGAAAATACAGCCAAGGAATCTTGTGGATCTTAAAGATTCATGTTTTATTTGGCATAAACTTTCATATACTGTGGTCTGCTTCTTCAGGGACATACAGCAGAGAATCATTTCTACAATCATGAGAATTCTAGGGGTATGAAATGTAATAACCCTCATACAACTTACCTCTTCCCATAAATATAAAGATCAAAGAGAAAAAAAGTGGTTCAGGATAGATTATCTTCCCTTTCTTTTTGAAGCTGAGAGGGGGCAGAGCAGAGAAAAGCCAACTTTAAGGTGGAGTAAAAAGAAAACTTGGTCCTTTCTCTCTCCCCTCTTCCTAGAAATAAGTAACATGGCTGTGCAGCAGCTTTGAGTCAACCTCAGCTGCTTCTGTTATATTCAGGAGGTGCCAATAGGAAAAAAGAAAAAGACTTTTGAAGCTGCTGTGTCAGCCTGGCTTTAATAGGCAAGTGGGAATATCTGTTGACTGTGACAGCTGCAGTGGGTTCTCACCCATCACTGCCTGTACTGCTGCTAAGAAGGGGAGAATAGCCCAGTGGTAATGAATGTGCTTCATATACCAAGTTCAGTCCTTGAAATTTCTTATTAAAAGGATCTCTGATAGAAGTTGCTGATGGAGACCGTGCCTGAGGCCATGAAGACCAGCTGGCAGATGGCCTTTATATCCTACTTCACTCCACACATCTGTAAAGATTTTCTGTCACTTGATTGTCTTCTGGCTTTTGGCTTGAGACTAAAATCTGTTGCAATACAGTACTTCCATTATGAATGCTTAAATGCATCTAGCAGACTTACTGTATCAGTTAATGAACTACATAAGGTTGCTTTTTTCCTCAAGAGATGATAAAAGCTTGCTGAAGTTTCTCCTGTTTCTGCTTCTCTTTTTTTTTATGACTAGATTTCCATTTGCCAAGAGCTTACCAGCGTCGAGGTGATCACATTTAGGTATGTGCTGAAGTCTATGAAATTGCTGTGGTTGGTCTTAACAGACCAAGCCAAGGGAAATCAGTGTCCCCCTTTTTATTTTTGAAGGTCAAAGAAGAGCCCATCCTTGAAAGCTTTATTTGTAGGTTCAAGCTTCTGTTTTCCAGGTTATTTATCCATTCTTATGTTTAGAATGCACAAACTCTTGACAGTTCTTTCCTACCTTTACCTTTCTTTTTTTCCATGTTTTATTTGGCATAAACATTTCCTAGATTTGTATTCATACTAGCCACGAATTCTGCCCAACAAATATAACAATTATTAAGAAGCCAAACAATTTCTTACTCCTTTTTGATGTAAAAGACATTGTACTTCACATATATAATGTTATAAACATACATAAACATACAAGTGAAATAATTATAAGATACTGTACTCTAATTTTGGATTTTCATCATGATTTCCAAATTTCTGTCTACCAGTGCAAATAATATCTCTGACTTGGAGCCAATAAACGAGTGCCAGAACTTAACTGAGCTCTATCTCAGGAGAAACAGTATTTCAAGCCTCTGTCAACTGTTCCACCTGAAAAAACTTCCTCGATTGAAAATCCTCTGGCTGTCGGAGAATCCCTGCTGTGGTCCTGATCCTCATCGCTACCGAATGACAGTGCTGCGCAACCTCCCTAACCTCCAAAAGCTTGATAATCAGAGTGCGTATTGCAAGAACCTGTCTTGTCTGTGTCAGGATTTTTCAGGTGGGGGAGACACAGTTTCTGATCTAACTTCTTAAGCTTGATCTACGTATGCAAGAGATTAGGGCAGTCTGATTGTGAGATAGTAGAGTAGGTGGCATTACTTCAGTCAGCTGGCTTTTAATTTTTTTAATTTTTTAAAATGCTTTCACATTTCAAGAACTATTTTCAAATAAAGAAGTACACAAGGGGAAAATATCCAAAGTATTTTTATCCTCTCTGTAACTGAGAAGCTTGCGACCCACCCACTTTTACACTGCATTTCGACATCTATCCAGCACAGAGGAGGGCAGCTTATGTTGTTGGGCTGCAGCTCCCAAAATCCATCATGGTTAGCTGTAATGATTAATGCGGATGAGAGTTGTAGCTTAAAAACATTTGGAGAGTCACAATAGCTTACCTGGCTTAGCAACTCATTTAAAATATGTATATAGTACAGGAAGAGTGGAATGGAGACGCTCATAACACTTAGTAGCAAAAGGTTACAGGTGGTGATATGTTACATAATTCTGTCTAACAAATTCAGAATCCATGAGCCATATATCCTCTACTTTAATTATACTAATGGAAGTTGTCCTTATGAGAACAGAATACACTGAAACACTGGATATACACAAATATCCAACTAACTTTTAAAGGTCATCACCAGTTTAGTCCAGTGGTTTCCAACCTTGGGTCCCCAGATGTTCTTGGCAAATTCCCAGAAGCCTTCACCGCGACCTGTGCTGGCTAGGATTTCTGGGAGTTGTAGTCCCAAGTTTGGGAACCACTGGTGTAATGATTCTACTTAAGAGATAATTTGAATTGGCCACTAAATTGGTATTGAGTTGTCATTTAACTAGTGGCTTAATTTCTGACTACACATTCTTCCATCTTTAGTTTAATTCTCTGGCTGGTGTGCTACACTGAAAGTGAGAGCTCATGTACGACTGAATACATATCTGCTTAATAAAATAAAACCCATGCATATAGATCAGATGGAATTCTTTTGTATGGAAGAACATCTAGATACCCATTGTTTTCCTTCCTCATTTGAATCTCCCATTCTCAGATACTGAGCTTGACTGATAACAGTGCCCTGTGTCTTGCTTCTGTTCGATATTTGTAGTGGTGACAGAGGAAGAACTGTCCCGTGCATTAGTGGAAGGAGAGGAGATAGTAGCACCCCCGGACAAATCAGACATAGACGATTGCTGCCAGAACTCCACCATTGAATCCAGTGTGACAGAGTCCACAGTGGAGAATGAAAATGACCTCATGAAGTTCAGCTTGGAAGAGACAAAGTGAGGAAAGCTGCATTGTTTGTTTTGGGGATTCTTAAGTTGCTCATTCATACAGAATGTCTGGCGCAACTCAGTGGTCAGTGCTCCCCTGTGCAAGTCCCCACACCAAAAAACTCTGATAGAACTTTACAAAGAAACATCATAAGTTCAAGTATGTTAAACATTTGTGATGTCATCTCTTGTGTGGAACAGGAACAGCTAGGGCAAATGGGGTTTGTTCACAGAAGATCAGTTTCCTAAGTTTGTTACTTGTTCTTTCCCCCTCCACAGTAAAATCCGTGAACAGCTTGGTATGAAGCCTGTTGTTCCAAGAGATAAGTTTTCCTCCTTCTCACCCAGGGAGATGGAAGGGAACCGAAAGAAGCGGGTGAGTAAGAGCATGTTCCCCCTATGTCATTTTTGGATCATGTACAGTGGTGCCCCGCATGACAACGATAATCCGTACCGTTAAAATTGCTATTAAGCAAAATCATCGTCATGCAGAAAAAAACCCATTGGAATGCATTGAAAACCAGTTAATGTGTTCCAATGTGGAAATACCTCATCGTCCAGCGAAGATCGCCCATAGAGAACCGCCGATCAGCTGTTTAAAATCACTGTCTTCTGAACAGCCATTTTGCGAAGGGAGGGGAGCCATTTTGCGGAGCCGGAAAAATAATCGTTTAGGTCCCTGCTTCGTAAACCGTTTGTTAGCTAAACAGTTTGCAAAGCAGGGACCTAATCAATGTAAAGCGGATTTCCCCCATAGGAACTATCGTTTTGTGATCGCAATAGCGATCACAAAAAATTCATTATCAAGTGATTTTGTCATTTACCGGGGTAAGTGTCTAGCGGGGCACCACTGTATTGTGCCATGACACACATTACAGTGGTGCCTCGCTTTACGATTGCCCCGTTTAACGACGAAACCGCATTACAATGAACTTTTTGCGATTTTGCGATCGCAAAACGATGTTTCCTATGGGGGAATTTCGCTTTGCGATGATCGGTTTCAAAATGGCCGCCGGGTAAACAAAATACGCCCCCCCCCGCTGTTTTCTGGGACGGATTCCTCGCTGCACAGGCAGTGAAAATGGCTGCCCTATGGAGGATCTTTGCTGGACGGTGAGTTTACAGCCCTTTAGAACGCATTAAATGGGTTTTAATGCGTTTCAATGGGTTTTTTCTTTTCGGATTACAACGTTTTTGTTCTACAGCGATTTCGCTGGAACGAATTAACGTTGTAATGTATGACACCACTGTATAGTCCTCAAACAGCAATCAGTATTGGCCTGTTCTAGAAGTTGCTCCTGCATGCAAGTTAAGTTTAAGAGGCCTTATGTGCTCGTGTATTACTTTTTAACTACATGCCCTTGGGTAGAAGGGAGCTGTAATTTTACTCTCCCTGGGATAAATAGCCTTGATTGGATATCTGGATATTTACTTCAGGAAAGCTTCTTCTGACACAGTGTTCCCAAACTTTATATTAAAAGCCTCTTTCCTTAGGAAACATAAAAGATGTTGGGACGGAGTGAATTGGAAAGAGATTTTAAGATAAGGGGTATATTAGGTGTATATTAGATATATTAGATAAGAGAGCATGCGTGCTCAACAGGGAGAGTCTATAGGGATCTGAAAGGATACAAAGATATAAGTAAAAGTATGATGCCATGCTTCCCAAGAAGAAACAAGAGTCAGTGCACAAAAATACTACAGTTGTTTCATTGAATTGATTGGATGAAGAAAATAGGGAAAGTAAGTATAGTAAAGTAGAAGATTAGACTGGTAAAAAGCAGAGCCCTGACCTTTCTGTCTTATACTTCTTGGATCAACAGAACAACATCCTCAATGCCATCCTGCTACTCCTAGAAGAGTTGGACTCAGATGGACTAGAAGTTGTTCATCAAACAGTTGGGTTCAAACTCCAAGCCTTGCAGAAGAAAGAACTCCACGAGGACCGGTAGCATTTCTCAAGCAGATGTGTTGTGGATCAGTGGAACTTGTATCATCAAAAGATACCTGCACCTTCATCATGCTGCTGGGCTTTGCGGAATATGCAGCTAAGCACAAGAAGAAACTATACAACCCTTGTGCTCTATGCATGAGGACTCTATTCTGTGACAAGCATTCATCTGCAATTGCAACTGCTAACATGCACTCCACAAAGGCCCACAATAGAGTATAAGCAAACATGCACAGAACTACAGGAGATTGTTGTCCCTGGGAAAAATCGTTTCTGGCCCTACTTCGTGCTAGTGTCTCCCAGCTGGAAGGATCATTCTTAAGCCTTGCTTCAGATGGGATGTGATTGGATTAAGGCTGCATCTTGTTAGCATGATCTCCTTCCCTTTTCTCTAATATTGGAGCAAGAGTAGAGTTCATGCTGCCTTCCTCCTACACTATGGAGACCTTGACCTGAATGTCAGAATTTTGTTTAAAAAAAAGCTGAGAGGTTTAAACAAAAATCACTGGACTTTTAAATTTAATGGTGAGCATCTAACCTACTTTCTTTCACACATAAGTTTTTGGACTTGATTAAAAATGTCATCTGCAGTCAAAACGTTGGGTTTGTTTGAATTTGTTTTATTTGAACAGTATTCTGTTTTGCAGTCTTGGTTTCCTCCCTGAATTTTTACAGTCAAGTGCCCTCTTTGTCCTTGCAGCAGCCTCAGAAACATGTACCGTTGTCTAACTGAATGCAACGGGGTAAGTAAGTTGATATTTTATGGTTTAGAAGTAGTATTAAAGTTGCTATCCAATAATAGCAGAGAGATTTGATATCATTAGTCCCGTTATATGTTTTCTTTCAAGGCATTCTGGAAATTGATAGTGTTCAGCAACCCATAAGCAGTGTATTCTCTCTTGTAATAAATTTGACAGTTTAAAATTTATCCCTTTCTCCCTAACAGCTATGGTTGCAGACCTAGTGTTTTTGGGAAAAGGACCTCCCATGATATAAATCACTATTAAGACAGTGGAACCAGTTACCTCGAGAGGTGGTGAATGCTCCAACAGTGGAGGCATTCAAGAGAAACTTAGACAACCACCTGGCAGATATCCTTTGATTTGTGTTCCTCCATCAAGCAAGGGATTGGACTTGATGGCTTTATAGGCTCTTCCAACTCCACTATTCTATGATTATTTGAGATTTTTCCTCTTCACGCCTCTGTATGGATGCAACCATCTGGGGTTTGTTTACTTGCATTAGGGTCGCATTTGTACTTCTGTTCTCTTTTTATTTATACAATTTGTATTTCATCTTTCTGTCAATGATAAAAAAAACCAAAGATTAATTGGCTGAAACCCTTTTGCTTACTGCATGAAAACTCATGGAGTCTCTTCCTAGCCAGCAAAAAAAGAGAGTCCCTGCTGCACCTCTTGTCTGAGCATGTATGAAGCCTGTGTGCATCTGCCTCCCTTAGAATTGTGGGGATTCTTTCTTTGCCAGCTAGGAAGGTATTGAGTGCTACTGATTTTCTTATACTAAAGAAACAGGATTTCAGTCAGTCAGTCAATCAATATCATGTGCCGTCAATTCTGACTTATGGTCACGTTTTTCAGAGTTCTTCAGGCAGAGAATACTCAGAAGTGGTTTACTATTCCCTTCTTCTGAGGGCACCTAGCACTGGTCAGCTTGCCCAAGGCCACACAGGCTGGCTGTACAGTGGAGAATCATATCTCCAACCTTTAGCTTCACAGCGAAATACCTAACTCATTGAGCTATCCAGCTAGCTGAAACACAACATAAAAACAAATAAATTAAAAATGCAATAATAAACAGTGAAAATCAGATTAGGGAGACCTCCTTCAACAAGAGATAAGCTTGTATGTCATAAGGCTGGGGAAAAGTTGTTGCTAGTTAGCCTGATTTGTTGGAGAGTTTTAAAGTGTGAAGCAGGCACACGGAAGGTCTTCTGTCATCTCCATCAGATATGGGGGACTTTCAGCAGAACTGAAAGATCAATTGCTGTCTTCCAAACAGCCTGGTACGGTCACATGGGGTTTTATAGGTTACGTCCAGCAGCTTGAACTGTGGTTGGCAAGAAGTAGCCAGTGAAGCTATCATAAGAAAACAGATCAGATGCTCTCTATAACTGGTCCAAGGGCCAGAATGATTAGTAATGCTTCTGGTACTTTTTGTACCTTGGTATGTCATACTTAGATCGAATCCACGTGATGGAGTGAGCTCCCGTCGCTTGTCCCAGCTCCTGCCAACCTAGCAGTTTGAAAGCATGCAAATGCAAGTACAGTGGTGTCTCATCTTACCAACGTCCCTACTTACGACCATTTCAAGTTATGACCAGCTCCGGCTGCAAAATTTTGCTTCGACTTGTGGCTGGAGCTTCCACTTACAAACAGAAAAAGGCGGGAAATTCAAATTGCTAACTGTAGGTGGCGCCGAGGCTGCTTTTTTGTAGCTCTTTCGCCCATGCAGTTAGAGTGTGCACGATCGGAGAAGGCTGCCTGGTAAGGTAAGGTGCTGTTTTCTGCTTTTTAAAAAATGTTCTGGGTGTTTTTGCTGCGTAGTTTTGGGCTGGGGGGGATTATGTTTCTGTGCTGTGATGGATCTTGGAGGGGTGAATCATGTTTCCAATGAGTCTTGTAGTGATTTTTTGGGGGGTGATTTTTTTCTTCTTCAGCCGGAATGGAGTAATTGCATTTCAGTGCATTTCAGTGGGAAATGGTGCATCGACTTACCACCATTTTAACTTATGCCCATGTTCCGGAACCACTTAAGTTCATAAGTCGAGGCACCACTTTAGATAAATAGTACCACCACGGTGGGAAGGTAACAGCGTTGTGTCTGGTCGCGCTGGCCACATGACTATGGAAACTGTTTATGAACAAATGCTGGCTCTACGGCTTGGAAATGTGGATGATCACTGCCCCCTAGAGTTGGACATGACTGGACTAAATGTCAGGGGGAACCTTTTACCTATATCATACTTAAGGCTAAATCCAGAGTTGGTTTTAGCAAGAGTAGGCACAACAAAATGAATGGGACTGCCACATGGAAGGGGAACAAGCTTCTTCTCTGTTGCTCCGAAGGAAAGGATCTGAACCAGTGGATTCAGATTAGAAGAAAAGCAGTTCTGAGCAAGCATTAGGAAGAACACCTTGATGGTTAGAGCTGTTTCACGGTGGAATTCATTACACTGGAAACTGATGGACCCTCTGTTGTAAATTTTTTATAGAGTTAGAAAGGCCATCTCTCAGGGATGCTTTTGCTGTGGATTTCCTGCCTAGACAGGGAATTGGACTAGAATCTGTGGACTACATATGATGATTTAGGATCCCTTCAACTCTACAGTGCTATAATTCCAACTAAATTAAATCCCATTTAGTATAGCGGTGTTGTTCTTGATTGGACTAATACTGGATTTAGCCTTTCGGTACTCAGTTATCTGTCCAATATCTTTAAAATTACGTAGAAGGTTGTTAAAGCTTGAAGATTCTCTTTCTGGGAGGCAGCAGGTGCCATTCGTTTTTGCAAACCCCAAAGGTGAAAACACTGCCTGTGCCCATCAGGTATTTTTAAGACAATAATTTCCTTTTTTGCATTTAGAAATTAAGAGTGATGTGCACCGAAAAATATGTGATCCATATCCATCACACCACTATTAGCATCCTCTGCTTCTCCAGTATGACCTTCCCTGGGAGGCAGTCATCACAACTTGTGGCACAGACAGGACTCTGTTTGTAAGGGTGTAAATCATAAAGGCAGGCAGCTTTTTAATAGCTATCTGTTGCTCAGAAGTGTCTTAATGAAGGAAATAGTCTGAGTGAAAAATATTCCAGGAGCATTGCAGGAGAAATGAGGAACTGTACAGTACTGTTGAATATTCACTACCCTATTGAAAGTTTTCAGTAGTAAAAAAAGCAAAAGCAAAGTGTGCTGCTTATATACTGTCCCATAGTGCTTCAAGCACTCTCTGGGCGGTTTACAAGTTAGTTATGCTGGCTACACATCCCCCCCCCCCAGCAAGCTGGGTACTCATTTTACCGACCTTGGAAGGATAGAAGGCTGAGTCAACCTTGAGCCGGCTACCTGGGATTGAACCCCAGGTTGTGAGCACAGTTTTGGCTGCAGTACAGTGGTTTAACCACTCCACCACGAGGCTCTTTTATAGATTGCTTTTATAGATTGCTATTACAAGAATTTGCTAGAAATTCATGTCAAAAAGACTGCTCAAAGCAGAAATTTGTGGTAATGTTCCTGCTATAGAGCCATGCCACCACTCTCCAGCCTACAATATGTAGATTTGAAGGGGACAGTTCTAAGCCTGACAGTAAGTCACTGTGAACTCTGAGGGACTTCAGATTTCTGCATACAGATGTAGCAACAGGGCTATAAATATTCTCACTGGCCACAAAGAGTAAACTGCTGGCTGGATAGCTCAGTAGTTTAGGTATCTGGTTGCGGAGCCACAGGTTGAGAGTTCAGTTTCTCTCTATTCCTCCTGGGAAAAGAACCACACTATATAGCTATAGGCAAACTCCACGGTTTCAGGGTGCCTCCAGAAGTAGGGAATGGTAAACCACTTCTGATTACTCACTACCTAGAACACACACATTTGTTATATTAAATAGATAAAGCCTAGTCCACCAGCATGATGCTGACCTACAGCCATTTCTATTCCAGTCTGACTAATAACTATAAAATTAGTTTATGCTCGATTCCTGCCAAGCTGATGAATCTCATTTTTTCTGCTGAACTGAACTATAAAGTCAATCCTGGTATGTCTCAAGATAACATTTCTAAGAGTGCCAGGAATCTGATATCAGTAACAATGCAGACTAATGCACCATAAAAATGGACTTGCATATAATTTTATAATTTCCTACCCTGGCAGAGACGCATTTGTTCTGTTATTTTTAACTGCTTCTGCTCTTGAAGTTCTAATTAGCTCTACTTTTGAGGTGTCTGTTAATCATTCTTTTTTAAAAAGCTATTTTAGGTCTGCAGTGAAATCATTTAGCAAAGATTGTAATGTAATCTATCCTGAAATGCAAACCATCGAGCATGCTTGTCTAAGTAACATGGCACACACTTTTCAGTAGGAACTGTGTCACTTAGGAATGCTGTCAGAGTTGTGATGCTGCGGGCACACTATATTCGAAGTTTCCAAGCGAAAGCATGGTCCAGTGTGCAGAGGCTTCTGTTGGGAGAGATTGTGCCTTGAAGCGTACTTTGGCTCAGAGGAAGAGAGAAGGAGGCTTGTGATGAAGCATACTGCGTCACTGACAGGTGTGGTGAAGAAGTATAAACCTCATTTCTGTTTGAGCACAAACATTGACCTGCTGTTCAGAGGAACTGGAGGGAGTTTGGAATGGATGCTGGGTGGTACAAAGGGTTGTGAATGCCTTCAGTCTCCCTTGAACCACCCTCTCATTCGTAATCACAAGGATCATCATGGGTGCTAGAGGCAAGAAAATGTCAGTTCGCTGTGTAATAGAGAAAGGAGAGTTTAAAACAAGCCAAATGAGAATTGACCACAGAATAATATTGGCTGGAGCGGTAGAGTTGAACAGACATTTTTTTGCAATGTCATTTGTCTAAGTCTTGCATTTTGTGGCAGCAAATTGAATATAGCTTAGATTTTTAAACACTTCTATGGCAGGTCATACATTACCAGGAATTGTATGCAGGTGTGTAGGTTCTCTGCAGACAGGTGGGGAGCAGGTTACTGAAGATTGATTGTGATGCACGTTTTTCAATGGTTTGAAGGGTGGAAACTAAGAGTGTTGTCGTTCCTCTATTGTACAGCATAGTGGTTGACTTGTCAAGGTTCTAGAAGCCTTCTAGCTCTAAAGGACATGTAATCCCAGGAAGACCACCAGATTTTGCTATCTATTGGCCCTCAGTGGGTTACCAAACAGAGCTGGTTGACTTATTTAGTCCAGGACTTACGGCTTCTTCTCTTCTTGTTTAATAATATATTGGGGCATGTTTTCTTTACCATATTAAAAATGCCTTTTTATGTAAATTCAGTAGGGAGTTGCAGATTACTTGGCTATTATAAAATGGGATCATAACTCAAAAAAGGTTGGGAAACATTGGCCTATCAAAAGGAATGCCTTTAAAATATGCCTATACTGTATAATATCTCTTACAATCAGCACCCACAACAGTGAAATTCTTTAAATGTCAACACAGACATAAGCACTGAGTTCAGTGGGGCTTTACTTCAGGCAGGTAGAGATAGGTTTGTTGCCCAAGCATGATAAGACAAGTGAACAATTTTGTTTTTCCTTAGCTGTTATTTCTCCTAATTAGTTATCACTTGACAACACCTGGACTCATGTTTTTGTTCAAACTCATGATCGTATCATAGTAAATTTGCATGTCCCTGTCAAAAAAAAAGAGTGATGATATTAGCAATTTTTGACTGTAGCACATTTAAAAAAGTGTCCTCTTTGTTTCCGTTCTTGATGGTACTTGGAAGCCAGTACAGTAGGCTGATTAATGTTTGACTAGAGTAGGGATACCAGGATGACTATCCAATCCTATTCTTAGCCTGAAGTGCTTGGTACACCTGCTAGGATAAAACTGAAAAGGAGGCAAGCCATGTACACCATTGGTGAGTTCCTAGGAGGAAGAGTAGGCTAAAGGGAGGAACAAAAGAGCAGTATGGTTGTTGTGGGTTTTTTGGGCTCTTTGGCCATGTTCTGAAGGTTGTTCTTCCTGACGTTTCACCAGTCTCTGTGGCGGGCATCTTCAGAGGATTGGAGTAGGAACTCTGTCCAAAGAGCCCGAAAAACCCACAACAACCATCAGATACCGGCTGTGAAGCCTTCAAGAATACAAAAGAACAGTCGTTTAAAGCTGTACCTGAATGGCAATATGAACAGTACAGAACACAATTTGTTTATATCCAGTGTTATTGTAAGATTTTTTTGTTTGAAAGAATTACAAGTACTTCTGAAGTTTCAGTGTGTCCTATGCTATATTAATGTTACCTATTACCAATGTTCTGCCTGCAGACCTATTATGGCACTAATGGCATTCATCCTCTGACCCTAGCTGAAAACCAAAATATGTGATGTACACTTAGTTTTTTTCCCTGTGCAAAAATTACTGTTGAGTCAACATTGATTTGAGAAACATACCATTAAGATTTGATGGCTTTGAGATTCAGCCTGTTCCCACTTGCTTGATGAGGATATCACTTGCCAACTTGACTGACCTTACTTAGATTTCTGGTACTGTTTTGACTGCTGGGCTTGTCATAGTACATTCCCTTTTTCTTGTTTCTATGAGGGCCCAGAACAGAACTCTACTGGGAATCCTGTGATTGCTTCTTTTTCCACAGAAGACCTACAGTCAGTGATCAATAATGAGCCAATCTGCATCCAAATGTCTCAGAATCAGTGAGGATTAGTAACTTTAGACATCCCAGCAGTTCTAGTACACTGTGTGCTAGTATAACTTCCTTAGCTGGCTGTGTCAACATAGTATGCTATCTTCAATAACAGTCTGCCCTTTGTATATCCAGAACCTGTTGTGATCTTCCTGATGATGCAAAGTAGCCTTTCCCAACTTGTTGCCCTTTAAATGTGTTGGACTACATATCCTATCATCCTTAACCATCATGGCTATCATTACACAAAGTGTCCAGCACATTTTGAGAGCACTAATCTGGGGAAGACTGATTCATTCTTTTCTTTACTTGTATCACAGTGTTGCCCAATTTAAAATGATGCATGTATCCATTGCTTAGCACCTTGAACCAAGCAGGAAGAAGCACACTGCATTAGCTTTCTCTGACTTGGTGTTCACCCAAGATCATGGTAGTTGTACTCTAGCATTAGACTATAATGTGCTATCATACACACCTATCAATATTTGATGCTAAATATTCTCTACTTGATTAATTTCCTCTGAAAGAGAGGCAGCAGTCCAGCTGCATTTCATTGGCACAAGGCTTGTTGATACAGGCAGGGGATAAAAAAGCTGTGGCTTTCCTCATGCTGGAGGACAAAATCTGTTATTCCCTGCCATTAAGCCATACTGGCTGCAGCTAATGGGAATTTAAATCCATCAACATCTGAAAGTTCACAGGTTCTCCATAACCAAATGTGAGGGGTACTGAAGTCTCAGGCAAGCCGTTCTAATTAGGGAGGGGCCACAGTTCGGTAGCACAGCACATAATTTGCATGCAGAAGGTCACAGGTTCAACTCCAAGCATCTTACATTTAGCAGCCAGAATGATCAGATGATGTGAAGACCCGTGGCTGAGACCCTGCAGAGCTACTACCACTCAAATATGGGGTAAGGTATATACAGGATAAATGGTGTAAGGCAGACTCCTACATGCCAGTGAACAGACCTGTGATGGAAGATCTATCACCAGACACACACTTTCTGTCCTCTTTCAGTACCTTCTAACCAGGATATTCCCCAGAGAATGCAGAATGGAAAAGGATGGCCTTTCTGTATATCAGATGTCACTCCTATTAAGCCCAAGGAGCAAACTTTCTGGCTTCAGTCCCCAATTTCTTATCCTTAGCCATACTGTGCAGAGCTGATGGGAGCTACAGGCAAAAACATCAGAAAGTCCAACGATTAGCCTAATCCTGTAAGTCCAAAGGCTACTCTCAAACAAGAAATACAATTAAAGACACACAGGATTATTTTTTAAAGTGGATTGATTTTATATATCTAGAGCATACAAAGCTGTGCCATAGACAAATACAGCCTACACAGGACACAGATGTGCACCAACTACAGCACAGATACAGCGTGGCCACTGGAGCTGCTACCATCGCTCTGGCCAGGAACAATGAATCAAACAAATTTCCTCAGTAGCATGGAGAAGAGGGTTCTCCGTGCAATTTCACAGCACATGAGGAACCCTAGTCCAGCACTCAGAAACACAGCCCTCTTCTGGTTGGCATGTGCCATGCCACTGAGAGAAGGAGAAGCAAGCAAGGGTAAAACAGCTCTTTTGCTGTTTGTTGCTACATTGCAAGAAAAATGTGCATGTGAAATACTCCTACCAGACAGGAGCTTTCCTGAATGCTAGAAAGATAGCAACAAAAACTGGACCCATCAGATTTCTTACAGTGCTCCCAAACCCGAGGAGGTGTTTGGCAATCCCACATTCTATGTGGTTCCCAACTAAGAGAAACTCCGTTCTGTAATCTTGCCTTGTCCATGGCACCTGGTTGGAAAGATTCTTATACCAGCCTATTGCCCTTGTGATGTTTAGTACATGATTAGTTAAATAATATTTAAGAATAAAAGACTTATCTTATGAAACAGGAAGGGATGGTGGTTGGCAAGGGGTTGTGTGCTTTCATAACCCTGCATTCAGCTTCTGCTTCCTGGGGGGTAACTGGCTTTGGAAAGGGAGCTAAAGACAGGAAAGCAACCTCCCTCCACCTAGTTGGCAGGGAGGAGAATAATCTGCTGTGGACACGGAAGGATTCTACAACATCAGTCAGGCTTCTGTCAACCACACTCCTGCAAGTTCACGGTGGCAACAGCACTGCACTCAAAAGGCGTGAGGAGACCAGAAAGGGAAGGGAACTACAGGGGATTGGTCGGGGCAAGGAGAAAGAAAGACTAGAGCTAGAATCCCTTCTCAATGCTGAGTGTGCGCCGGGTGACATGCTCCATTGTTCCAGACACATATTCTGTCAGACTGATCTGGTAGTGGGCCAACATCTTCAACATAAGGCGCAAGTGCAGCCACCATTGTTCCTTGGGGAGTCTGTGCCTGACAGGAAATAAACAAAGCAGTGTTAGACTTAAATCAGAGCCCCAGATAAGTCACACGGTGGGTATGCGGGGTAATAGTACAAACAGCAGCTCTGGTCATGTGCAGAGTATTTTTTTTCCATATCTGTGGAAGCAGAGCTTCCAAAAAATCATATATTTTAGCATTTCTTTTAAAGATAAACATTAATTGGAAAAGATGCAAGTGGGCAACAAGCAAGGAGCCCACCCAGCTTGTTCTTAGATTCAGATTTGAAGTTCTAAGGAGCATCTTCAAAAGTAAAGTTTACGTGTGATCTAAGTTTTCATTTCTGTATTGGCAGATGGAAAAAGAGGCCACAAAACTGAACAGCAAACAAAGAATCTGTATGGAGACACCTATCTAACACCTTTTTCCAGCAGATCTAGCTGTTTTCTGTCCTTCCAACAGGAAATAGAAAATGTAGCCATATTTGAGATAATTTTGAGATAAAATTCCAGTGCTGATCTACCTGCCAATCTCTTCCAAGCAGCCTGCCTTGCACTGCAACAGTGAACTTCCTGTGTGTTTAAATGTAATGTTTGATAAATTGGGACAGGGAAAAGAGTTACTTACTCAAAATCTGTGACTTTCTTGAGCTCAGTCACAGGGCTAAAGGACACAGTCTTCCTCCTCAATCCTATCACACAGGCAGAGTCTGCAGAATTGGCAAATACACGGCCTGTGGAAACAGAAAGGCCTTTTATTTGCCATGCCAGGCAATTCCAACTTTGTATTGGATGGAGATTACCTTGGAGATCTAGGGCGGAGAGCCAGCAGCAACAAAGAACTAAAGACTTCTGAGACTGTGGCAGTTAGCAAGATGCAAAGAAAATTCCACTGTTCTCATGGAATCCTGACGAACACAGAAGGTGTCCCAAATCATAATGGGTCTCTGGGACACAACACTTGGAATGGCGCCTCGCCAGGGCCGGTCTTCATTCTGAAGGCAGGCCTTTCTTTTGCACAGCACACTTTGGTGCAGGGCAATGGGATATCTGGACCTCCAGAGGTTGTTTGACTATAACTGGCTATGTAAGTTAAGGCTATTGGAAAATGCAGTTTAGCAACATGGGGAGGGGGGCACACATTTCCTAGCCAAGCCTTGAGGGGCTTACTCTGGGATTGAAGCAATACCTTTCATAACTCTAAAGGTAGCCATGCCTTATGCAGAGATTAGCTGTGTGAAATGGAATATGAAGGTGTTCATTTTTTTTGAGAGAGAAAAGTCTGAGAAGGGACTCCTTTGCTGCAGCAGGAGGGAACTGTATGGGCAGCTGGAAGAAAGCAGGCAAGATGCCAGGGAAGGATCATCTCTTTAAAGCAAAAGGGAAGTGTAGAGGCACAGTAGTCTCAGGGCAGCTGTCTCTTCAAGCAACAGCAACGGTGCTTCCCACGCAAGATTGTGCCACCCTTAAACCTGCTGCTTCAACACAATGTGGGATATGTAAAAGTGGCTGAAAGAGAGAAGTTGGGAGGCAGTGCAGTCCAGTCTGCCAAATGTCTTCTCAACATGCCTGCTTCTCACAAGAGAATGCTTGGCAAGCATTTTCCATCCTAGAGACAGTATCCTCAACCTACCCTTGCGGTAAGCTTCTTTCAGCTTCTCTGACATCCACAGTACAGCTTTCACACCCAGCTTGGTGCCATAGTTGCGATCAAAGGGAGTTGGAGCACCTCCCTAGAGAAAGACATGAGAAGTGGAAAGCTAAGCTTACTTGGAGAGTTGTGCTCTTCCTGCTGAGAAAAAGGATACTCTTAAACAATATTTCTGCTACAGGCAAGAACTGCCATTCATTCTTTGTTTCTTCCATCATAAATGATAAATTCTGTTTGAAGTGGCATGTGCCTTCTCAAAGTATTGTTTGTAACTCCAGACCAGCCCCACTTACCTGTTGGAGATGACCTAGGACATTGATCCTGCAATCAAATATACCTTTCCCCTCTGAAGAGTACAGGTTGTAGAGGAATTCAGTGGTGTAGTGCTCATGGCACTTCTCATTCCTACGAAAAAAGTGCAGGGAAGAGGGCACTTCTGAGACACACACAGCAAGTATGACTGCATCTGTTACAGAAATGATAGCACAGAAAATACTCTGGATATAGATCAAGGTGCTGACTTTAAATATTAAGAGCCTTCAGTGACTGAGTCAGGTGTATTTTATGGCAAAGCTCCCTTTATGAGTTTCTCTACCTTTTTCAGAGGCTTCCAGGTAAGACTTTTTACAATCGCCTTGCTTAACATGTTTTTTAATTCAGAAAAAAAGCTGTATGGCAAAAACACACACAGTACAACAAAAATGTAGGAGCAGACAATATCTTTATTGGACCCCCAGCTGTCTACTTGATTGTTAGTGGCCCAATAAAGATACATCCTGCTCCTTCATTTGTAATATTTTTAATGTGTATCTGAGACATCTTCCACTTGTTTTCCATATTTTTCTTGCACCAGTGATGAAAAGCATTTTCAGGATGCAAGCAACTCATACACAAATGACAAAGGCATGTGCACTTGAGAAACCTTCAAAAGCCTTTATTAAATGGCAGTTTGTCACTGATGATGATATCACCATCTTGCAAGTAGAGCTAGCTGTACAGCAGATTTTCAGTCACTGATGTTTGTTTTTTGCTACTTTACTCCCCATAAGGAGCCAAAGGTGACTCAAAACAACTAAAACTATACAAGATTAAAAAAATTTACTCCCCATAAGGAGCCAAAGGTGACTACCAACAACTAAAACTATACAAGATAAAAAAATATACAAAACTATTAAAACACAATTAAATATTAATCGAGATTAAAACAATTTAAAACATATTAAAAATATTTGCATCTAATAAATACTTGTGCACAGAATAAGTACAGAATAAGGAAACGGCTTATATATAAAACAACATTAATATACTGTGAGACTGTTTACATAGGTAAGGCAAGAGCTAAGAGCTTTGGGAATTACCAGTTCTGGTTCAGAAAGTGAGCAGAACTGAATGGTAGCAACCCTTTGCCATGATAATCCCTTATGGGGAACTGGGTATGAGGAATGGATATCAACCATCTACACGATAGAATACCACTGAGCAAGCTATGGTGGCACCAGCCACTAAGCACTGGCAGAACCATTGCCCCTACTGTATGAACCTTTCTCTTAAGGTTCCTATTTTTCCACTCCCTGCAGGACTGCGGCAGTCTATCATGTACCCATCTCACCGGGGGCAAAGCTGAACTAATTCACATTCCACACTGTCAATCTCTTTCCAATGCTTCAGGGATTTCTGGACTGCAGTTACTTCATTTGTGGTGAATCACAATTCAGTCACATTTACATAGATGCAAGTATTAGCAATATTCCAGGGACTGGAACAGCCAATCAGACAGAGACGTTGATGGTATCTGACCATGTCAGCGTATGACAGATGTTGTACAGCATCCTGGTCTCTCTAACTCTCTGCTGACTATAAATTTACTCCTTTATTTCTCTAACTGTGGCCAGAATCTTGCTGGCCATTGACATATGTGTAAGTGGAATTTCATAATCTTACAGTGACAAATTGCTGCAAATTAACAATTCCTAATTACATTCTGTGCAAATAGCACCCTGTTAATTAGTAGCCATTCACTGGTGCAAGTTCTGCAATTTCATTTACACTCATGTACATCAACAGGATTCTAGCCAATGCCAGGAAAATAATACAGTGGTGCCTCGCTTAATGATTTTAATTGGTTCCAAAAAAAATCATCGCTATGGGAAAACATCGCTAAGCGAAACGTGGTTTCCCATTGAAATGCATTGAAAACCGGATAATCCGTCCCAATAGTAACGGATTGCCGTCCTTAAGCGAAAATCGCCATAGGAAACATCGTTAAGCGAAACACGGTTCCCCAACTGAAATGCATTGAAACCCATTCAATGCATCTCAATGGGGAAAAAAATTCAACAACAAATTAAAAAAGAGTCAGAACAAAGTCAAATTTGGTTAAGAAAGGGTTTATTAAGTGCACTTGATCATTTCAAACATTTTACACAGTAAACTTTAACTTTACAACATTTAAAAAACAACAAACATGAGGCAGTTTAAACCATCGTTAAGCGAAACAGGGGACCCCAAAACCTAATTGTTATGTGAAGCATGGTCCCGTGAATCACAATTCAGTCACATTTACATAGATGCAAGTATTAGCAATATTCCAGGGACTGGAATATCCAACCAGACAGAGACGTTGATGGTATCTGACCATGTCAGCGTATGACAGATGTTGTACAGCATCCTGGTCTCTCTAACTCTCTGCTGACTATAAATTTACTCCTTTATTTCTCTAACTGTGGCCAGAATCTTGCTGGCCATTGACATATGTGTAAGTGGAATTTCATAATCTTACAGTGACAAATTGCTGCAAATTGACAATTCCTAATTACATGCCCATTCCATTCTATGACCTGGTGCACAACCAGGAATGCAAATAGCACCCTGTTAATTAGTAGCCATTAACTGGTGCAAGTTCTGCAATTTCATTTATACTCATGTACATCAACAGGATTCCAGCCAATGCCAGGAAAATAATAATAATGATGATGAATCCATGTTAAGGGGTCTCCTGTTGGTCTTATCAGCTATCAGAAACATCTTATCCTTCTTAATAATATCTGCTCTTGGGTGTTAGCTTGTGTCCAGTGGATTCAAACAGCTATGAATTTTAAACGTCAACCTTCAGTTACAGTGAACATTTATGTCCTCTTGCCCAATTGGAACATGGTTATTTTATAGCCCATTCCATAACTTACCGTAGTACTAGGCCTCTCTGAATGTCTGTTTTCATTTTGTCAGTCAAATGTTCAACATTTGCCTGGAAAGACACGAAAAAACAAGTTTTCATTGAACTCATTTTTGCTGAATACAGAGAAATCTTTACACAAAAGGAGAAGGAAATGTGATTTCTGAGCTACGAAGAAAATGTGGGAACCTGATAAACACTTTGTTAACATTTGGTAGTGTGACAATCAAAAATCATCACTGCAACAATTGTCAGGAGTTTGGCAGCTAGGAGGGTGATGGGGTTGTTTGTCTGAGCAATTAAGGAAATCCTGAGAGAGGTAGCCATCTTGCAACATAAACCAAAAGCACTGTATCATTAAGAATTACAGATTTATTTCTGTGTGAGCTTTCATGGACTACAATCCAATTTGAGGAAATTGACTGTAATGCACGAAACGGGCAATGAAATAAATGTGTTCATTCTAACTAATACTTGTGTTTTCATTTCATTTTAAAGGAGATACTGGTCAGTCTCTGTTTCATTCTTAGAAACCAGCAACTACAACTCCTCAACACATTTATATGAACACTAGTCATGTTGATACCAATGGAACACACTCCAAAGCAAATGTGTTCAGGTGATGTATCTTCATGCCCATATTGCACAACATTTCAAACAAATACTTAGTCAAACTGGAAGAAGCATTTTCCATCAGATCCTAACTTGTTCTTGTCCTGCAACTGTGAAGTTCAATATTTATTGTTAAGAACAACTCAGGGTCACCACTACAATCAGCCACTAACCATATTGACTGGGGGATTCTGAGAGCTGCAGTCCCTCAAAGTAACATTTCAAATCTCAGAAAATAATTAGTTTTTGGGTATCGGGTGCACCATGTGCTTCAGCTGCTTACTTGAGTGGTGGTAGGGACATTTATCTGCAACCTTTTCACTTGGCTGTGCTGGCATTTGGATTCTCAGTGTGTGTTGCCCTAGATAGAGCTACGACTAGCTGCCTGAAACTTCAGAGCGTGAAGAGTTTGAGGCTGCTTCTACTGTGTACCTTAGGACCTGGGAGGCCATTGTTAGATAGTTTTCATATAAAAAGCATTTTTCTCAGTGTTACAAAACGCTCACTTGCAAAACTCTGTGACTAAGAAGATGTAATGATATAGAACTGGCTTGGTACATGTGCATCTAGGGGAGCTTTTCTGAACAGCTATAGGAAAGTCCAATTCAGTTACCTTCCCATCTTCCACATCCCAATCACTGTACAAACATTCTCAGCAGAACCTGTGTCGTGCATCATTCTCAAATATGGTGTGTGCAAGCAGAAAAAAATTGCATTTGTGTACAGGGACATGCCACTGACGAGCAGAAATTTAGATACACATTTTTCTACTGCCCGTTCTAGCTCTAGTTCCCCAGGCATTCATTGTCATGGGGCCTAGATGCAAGATGTCTCACAGCAGGGAAAGGTCACAAGAGAGATAATAAATTTCTGCCTCATTTTAATTTGCCCTACAAGGAGACATCTGAATTTTCATGACAGCAATTACTATCACAGTAGTCCCATAAGGTTTCCTGCCTCTCTCAGCCAATTCATCTCTACCTCCATTTCCAGAATCCATGTGGTTGTAGCATTCTACCCCTCTCTTCACAAACACTATTTCCTTCCAGCAGGAGTAAGGCTCCAGGTGCTTTGGTCTAGAACTTTCATACCTCATCACTGGCAACAGTGGCTAGGGCTTCTGGGTACTGAAGTCCAAAGCATCTAATGAGCCAGACATTCTATTCCCCTGCCATTCAGCACCCTGGCTTCTGCACATTTAATGAATACATAGAACTGATGTTTTCGTTACTCTACTATACTGTATACAAGCAACACTTCAGTAAGCCCACTACATAGACATGCAGAGTTTGACAACTAGCACACCTTTAAGTCATGAATGGTGAATGGTTCTTCATAGACATAGGCAGCATCAGCTCCCACTGCAATGCCGGTAACGGTTGACAAATAGCCACAATAGCCTCCCATAGTTTCCACAATAAATACACGTCGTTTTGTGCCTGATGCAGATTGCTTGATGCGGTCACAGCTCTGTAACAGGAAGAGAAGTCAAGAAAATGAAAGGCTTGGTTGCCCAGGCAGTGGAAGGCATTAAAACTCTTGACTTCAAACTCCATGTTGCTTCCATACAGCTGCATGGCTTGACATCTGCCAGTTGAGAGCTCACTCTGCAAAAGATGACAGCAGCACAAGCCCAATTCTGGCAGAAGCTGAGATGGCATCACTCAAATGACCACCATCCTGTCCATTCTGGGGAGCCACAGAGGATAACACAAAAATAGGTTTAGCAACATTTTATATGTTTTCCAGTGTTGATAGCAAGTTCAATGTAGAAAGAACAGCCCACATGCACTAACTTCTCACTCATCCCACCTCAGTTTAGTGACACTCAGACGGGCAACACCACAACGTACAGTACTACCAAGCTCATATTACCTTTTTGAGCAAAATCAGGAAAATTTTAACACCTGTCTTACTAAATCAGGCCACTGCACTTTGGTCCAACGTACATAGGGCAGTTCTGCAGATGCCACCTTATCATTTAGCATGTCAGTAAACATTCAATAAATAATCTCTCCACAAGGAATGAATGAACAATAAAATATCAAATGGGATTCAGGGAAAGAATGTGTAAAATGATACATAAAATAATCATTATGTATCATCAAGTCAACTTCAGCTTCTGGTGACACTTTCTAGGGTTTTCTAGGCATATAGTACTCAGAGGTAGTTTACCATTCCTTTCTGGGAGTGCTCTGGAACTGCATAGCTTGTCAAAGGCCACATAGGCTGGTTCTTCTCTTACAATTCACAATGGGGAATCAGACCCCTGACCTCTGGCTCCACTGGAGCAAAACATCATTACATCATTCATCTGGATGGATTTTCAACTACAGAAGGGCATGAACCACTGGTTCAGCAGCTCATGCTGGTTCATTTAGCAGCCATAAGTGTTTGGCGCTTCAAAGCCCCACCTCCTCCAGCAGGCACCCACTCCGAGGCAGTGCCCAGAGAAGGCAGGACAGGGACGCTAGGCTGCTGCCTCTGAGTGGCAGGAGGTGATGGAGGAGGTGAAGCTCTGAAGTGCTGAAAACCCATTTGGCCAATAAATGAACTGACACAAACTGCCAATTTGTGTCCATCTCTATTTTTGACCCATGATAAATAAGCAGAAAGAGATCTTCAATGTAGTAGTTTGTGAAAGTGAAAGAGATTTCCATGTTAAGAATTATTATGCAAAGGAATGAAAAAGATCATGCCTTTACATACACCCGTTATATAAGAGCATTTAGAATACTTTATATAATTCTGCTCACTCCAAAAATATACCAGAAATACGGGCAATCAAAATAATGAAAGGCACTGGAGTACCTTCGCTTTTAGTGGTAGGTAGTCTTCTGTGCTCTGCCTTGGTCACCTTCCTGCCTTTGCCGTACATACAGTGGTACCTCGCAAAACAAATGCCTCGGGCAACCAAAAACTCGCAAGATGAAAGCGTCTTGCAAGTTTTTTGGTGCCCCACAAGACGAAGATATTTTCATCTTGCGAGGTACGTTTTCCCATAGGAATGTATTGAATTTTAATGTGTTCCTAAGGGGGGGAAAAAAAACCTCTGAAAAAGTCACTTACCAGGTAGGGAGCTGGAGAAGCACCATCGGAGGACTGGCGTGGGTCCCTTGCAACCACGAACGCCGCTTTCAGAGGTCCCCTGGCAGTCCTCCAATGGTGCTGGGCAAGCCTTTCCCAGCACCATTTTTGAATTTCCCGCCCTTTTCCCTTGCCTTTTTCCTCTCGGAGGCTTGCCGAGCACCATCGGAATTATTTTCGTCTTGCAAGGCACCACTGTATTCTCTAACTTCCTTACCAAAATTCCCAAAATGTACAGGAGAAAGAAAGTGATGGAAAAAAGGCCTTATCCAATATCCCCTAGTTCCCTGAACACTATATATAACTGAAGAATATTCCCAACTCACTTCCATGGCAGCATTGACAGCTGTATCAGATCCCAGACTGAAGTCAGTGCCAGGAACGTTGTTACTGATGGTAGCTGGTATCACACACATGATGATACAAAGCTCGTCATACTGTCCCCGTGCTTCCACCAACTGGAGGACTCCCTCATATGCCTGCAAAAAAACCCAACAAAACCAGTTGGAAATATAAACCACCTTACTGAGCCCAAGTGGTGGACTGCAAATAGTATGTGAGAAGTCTGGCATCATTGAGCATTCTAACAAACTCTCCCTATGCACTTGTGCACACACCTTGGAGGGAGACTGGTCCTGTCAAAATAGTCTATCCTTGGAGGCTTCTCAACCCAGATGGGTTTAGAGAGGACTTGGGAGGGTTTCTGGCAGTTCTGGCTGGTGATGGTGTCAAAACCCAGGTCACCAGATGGCATATTGAGGTGGCCCAGGCAGTTGACAGAGTTGCTCTCAAATGCCCTCTCCATTTCAGAGCTTGATCTACCCCCTGGTTTACAGAGGAATTTCAAGCTAGGAAGTTGGCCAGGAGGCAGCTAAAGAGCAGGTGGAGGAAGGACCAGTCTGATTCAAATTTGGCAGCGATTAAGTCCTTGACCAGGAGGTAAGTGAACATCCTTAAATTGATCAGAAGGGCCTTTAATATCACTGCTGAGGCAGTGAACCAACAATCAGAACTCTTCTGAGTGGTTCTTGACCTCACCAACCCTGGTCACTCTCAGCCTTGTCTGGGTCATTTCACCAGTGAACAATATGCTACCTATTTTATGTCCAAAATTGAGGCTATCCAGCTAGGTCTTGTCCCCACTAATAGTGTAGCCAATCCTGGAGATCCCTGATGCATCTCCCTTTGTTCATTTGGTTCGGTCTGGCATAGCTACATCAGAGGATATGTCCAGGGCCCTGGTTCACTGTAGACTGGCTGCCTCCCTGCTTGACCCTTGCCTAGCCTGGCTATTAAAAGCTGCCAGTGATGCCATTCAAGGAGTCAATAGGCTTCTCCATACCTCAAATCCTCCAACAACCAACAGAGCCTGGATGTTAAATTTCCGAACATTTTCAGCAATCTTTTCCATGCATGTCTTTGGAAGAGTTCTGGAAAAACAAGAGCAAAGTAAGTGAGAGAGAGAGAGAGAGAGAGAAACCAACAGATTCCCCATAAGATGGTGAGTGCAAAGTACTTAGTGATAATAAGCTCTTTGTATTACTTCCTGCGGGATGAATGGCTCTGTGACTAACAGGAAAGTAAAAACATGTTTAATAAACCCACTTGTTTCCACTCTGGCCAAATAACAATGGGAGAGTGTACTTCAGGCAGTCTTTCCAGTCTTGGAAAATGTTCATATATGCAGGTATGCAAGTGTCTGAAAAAAATTAACTAGCTAAGTGCATAAAAGTCAGTCCTCATCTCCAGAACTAAGTAAAGAAGAGGCTACTTCAGTGAAGGCACGGGAGCTTTCCAGTGAAGATGGTTCTACATAGTTATTGTATCATGGATCCTTAAGAGCAACATTAGTCAGATTTGACAAGTGAAGTGGAGTTTGAAGAGGAAAGATGTAACACTCAGAGTTGTTGCTGCATGTTTGTCTTGCAACTGCAGAATGATCCAGCTGTAAAGTCTCTGCAGCAGGAAAAAGAAACATTGAGCACAAGGTGGATGATTTGAAAGTGTAGCAATGTTTGTTCTGAGGACAGCAGAGACACAACTCTGTCACCAGGCATGATCCAGGGAGGATACAATTTAGAGGGATTTTTCCCGGGTCCAAACAGTCCAAACTTCTGTACTATATCTGACTTCTGTATTCATTATCTGTCAATCAAAACAAGTTTCTTCCAGAAACAATATGCATGATAACAATATAGTCATTCTATTCAGAAAATGTCACAGTAAGAGCATGGCATGGAGCATAAACGAGCAGTGAGCGGTCCAAAATTGGCACTCCAAGTACACATTATATGGACCCATGTTCTGGACAATGTAAAGGTTGTTGGTGTATTTTTAATTATTTATAACTCTAAATTTGTTTTTATTTTGCCTCATGTGCATATTTTAATGTAGATTTATTATAGCAAATGATATATAATTACTACAAATAAATACTGTATATAATGGCTGTTGGCATAGTAAATCACGCTAGAGTGGGTCCATAAATTAGTGGGGATTAGGAAAACCAATTTCTCCATTAAGTGTGATTGTAAATGAGCCTACTCTAGTTGTTACTTATTGAATTCAGCAAATTCTGAATTCAACCATCATGTTGCCAATCTCCACCAAGGAATAAATGACAATGCAATGTACAGGACAACAGCCCTCTCAATCCTTATTTTTCCCCAGGACTGGACTGGACTCTACTGGACTAAATCTTCAATCCTTATTAAAACCCTGCACTGGACTGGCTGGTGGGACTGGTTTAGAACTTGTAGCACTTCTGGAGCCAGAACACATTCTCATGGAAAGCCAAGAATAGCCAGCATTTAAAAGTGTGGCACTCCTGTCATCGCATAACTGGAATGTCAACCTCCAGGGGTTGTGTTTATTCTGAAAAGGACATGTTGTAAATGAGAATGAGATTATGGATTAAGGAGATTATGGATTAAGGAAATTCTTCCAAGTATGACAATGAAGAACTGGTGGGGAACTCACTGTAAATACCTTATTATATCCCTCCGAAGTTTAGAGGACGGGGAGGCAAGGTTTTCAGAGAGAAGTAAATAAAAGCACCCAAAGGATATGAACTAGCGCTCAAGAGGACTCTGCTCTGGTGACACAGCACACAGTGTGTCTATTTTTTCAGATCTGATAATGTTAAGCTTTGGTTCTTAAAAATAAGAACAAAAACAAATTGTAGAATATAAAAGAGCAGAGGTGTTTAAAAAAAAAGAGATCATGACGTAGCATTTGCTAGGTAAGAAAATAATAGAACAGCATAGACTGCCCATGTGGAAAAGCTGATTTAGACAAGTTCATCATTGAGCAAAGATTGTGCAAAGTAGATGGCGAACTTGCAATGTTTTGTAGGAAACACAACAGAAAACCAAATAAAAGATAAACACGAGGAGGAACTTTTTAATTGCCTGAATACTTCAACAGTAAAACAAATAGTAACATGTTCTTGTGGCTTCCAAGAAAGGAGGAAAAGATCAGAATATTCCATTTTAGAGAAGGTGATCCATTTATTTCACAATTTCATGGAAAGATTTATTTTTCTGGTCCTTAACTTCGAAGGACTTACCGCTTGGTCCCCAGCATGGATCCTCCACGGCCTAGCCATCCTGCCACATCATGCCAGCCAACTGCTTGGATCTGTGAAAGTTAAAATGTACTTAGGCCTTTCATGATTTGTTCAATCATTTCTAACTGTGATCACACTACTATACCAACAGATGGGAAATCCTGACATCTGAGCATTCAGCCTGGAGGCAGGCTTTGCATCATGGCCTCTCCCATTTTGAAGAGACCCTCATCCAGCAGGCCGAGGCAAAGAGGCAGTCACAAAAGCAGCAAAATCAGGGAGCTGGACAGGGGACAGATTGGATTTGTCTTCAGTGTGGAAGGGATTGTCACTCTTAAATTGGTCTTCTCAGCCACACTAGACGCTGTTCCAAGTCCTCCATACAGAGCACGTTACCATAGTCTCCAAGCCTGAAGGCTGCCTAATCTAATTTAATCTAATCTAAATTTTAAATGTTGGAATTATAGGTGAAGTCAATGCCATTTTATAGGGGAAGATCTCACTGGCTGCTTTTTACCAATTTCTTCCTCCATCACATCAATCTAATAAGAATTTCAAAGCCTTTTTCAATTATGTTGTTTTGATGATAAACAATACTCCTGTTATTTCATATTATTATTGCATAACAGACAGTTTTCAAGTACACAAGAAACACTGTAGCAGCACACAATGAAGCCCAGTAAAATTACTACCAAATACATACTGTAAATTAAAAAAAAGGATACTGAAAACAACTGGAGGACTAGAAGTGTAGAGGACTAAAAAGTAACAACCCTCTGAAGTAATTCTTATGACATCCAGGAGAATAAAACAGTTGTTCACCTCGTGCCTAAAAACCACAGTGGTGCCAGGGGAGCCTTCCTGGGAGGGCATTCAAAGACAGGGGCCACCACAGAAAGGGCCATATCTCGTGTAAGCCTTTTCATCTCACCACTTTTAGCAGGGGTACCTGTCAAATGAATTTTGGCTGGTGCATCTTCCAGTTGAAAAAGAAAAGGCAAGCAGACGAAACCTAGGAATATGGCTGGTGGCTCAAAAGAAGGAAAATCTTCTGCCCTTCTGATCAGAGACAGACTTACCTGTCCTTTGCTCAAGCCTTCAAAGCCATCATTTACCACATACATTGTGTGGCCTTGACAAATCCCAATACGGACAGCTGACCGGACTGCCGCATTCATCCCTGCTGCAGGGGCTCCCACATTCAGAATGGCAATGCTGAAATTGCTCTGGCCAGGAGAGGAAAAGGGAGAGTGAGCAATCCACACAGTGCTTGAAGGAATCTCTGGAGCACTTGCAGGATTGTGCAGGGAGCCTTTAAGACGGAAGTAAAGAACTTCTAGGCTTCCAGATGCTTCTGCTTTACAACATTTCTTAACATTTTACAATACTGACGGTGCTTTCTAAGAACTGGAAGACCAAAGAACTACATGTACTAAGGGAAAAGGGGTTACCTGGTAAGGGGTTAAACTTTATTTATCTTGCCCTACAGTACTAACAAGGAAGGGTTTTGAGGAGTTCAAGCACAGCACAGAATAGCAAGCTCAAGGATGCCTCCTTGACCACCAAAACATCTGAATGGAATATTCAAGAACAGACTTATGCCACATTTCAGTTTTACCCAAACCTTGACTATAGCAGAGGGCAGAGAATGTCCATGGTTGCTCCAATCTGTGCAAGTAATTTAGTGTTTCATGTAGGCACTAATTCAGTGCCTGATTCTATAGGACCTCTCTTTTTTCTTTTATCTCTATGCAGACAACTAAAGGCATGAGGCAATGGGGAATTCATTAAGCCCTTGGGTGGAGCACAAAATAAGGCTACTGGAATTTCCTGCAGGAACTAAAGTATTGCTTATGCCATTCTTTGTCTGTCCCTTTAGCAGAACAGGTCAAGCACTATTTCCAGGACTGGTGACAGAGTTTTCCTGATCCGTAACAGCACATCCAAATTCAATCAAGAAAAGCTGGATAAAAGAACAACTACTTTGAGAATGTGAGAGTCAGCAAATGGGAAGGAGAAATGTCCAGGAAATAGCCCTTTTTATTTTTCCATACCAAGAGCCCTCTATTGGATATACAGCATACATTTTAGCATACACAATGGTTTAAAGTGATTACTCTCCCATGTCTGCATATGTAAATGTAAGTCCAATTGACTGAGGAGTTTTTAAGAATCTCTGTCATTCAAGCAACCCAATTCCTCGGTCTCATAAAGCAAGCATGAATAAATTCCCCCTCTATATGCTTGCTTTGTGAAAGATTACAGCCACTTCTTTTCACTCACACAAAGGATGTGCAAAGCAAATACTCCATCAACCCACTCTTCCCTGATTCCTCACCTTTTCTTGTGCTGGCTTCTGGTGCGCAAGTAGCTTGTAAATATTCCAGTTGTTTTCAAAGCTCCTGTAAGAACAAACTTGCAATTATACTAATTATCTTCAGCATTCTACCTTCAGCATTCTATCGCCATTGCCAAAAGCTAGTTTATGAAATCTCCTCTCAGCTTTGGGACTAAAGACTGCGCCTAAGATGTGGCGATGGCATCTGGCCTAGATGCCTTTAAAAGGGGATTGGAGGAAACAGATGCCTTTAAAAGGGGATTGGACAAATTTTTGGAGGAAACGTCCATTGTGGGTTACAAGACATGATGGGGATGTATAATCTCCAGTCTTAAAACGAAGATACCTTAAAATGCCAGATTCGGGGGAGGGGTATCAGGAGACAGGTATCTAGTTGTCTTGAGTGCTCCCAGAGACTTGTGTTGGGGCCACTGTAAGATACAGGAAGATGGACTAGATGGGCCCTTGGCCTTATCCAGCAGGGCTCTTCTTATGTTCTTATGTGGAACGTGACACCATGATATACTGAACAAACATTCTATCAGAGGTGAGAAGGTGAATGAAATACTGTCTCTCTGTTAATTTAGATCTTTCTTTCTGAAAGCTCAAAGTTCAGACATACAGGAAACTTCCACTTATTTCACTTGGTGTAAATTCTCAACTGCATGTCTTTAAAAAAATGCTGGCCCCTCCAACTTACAGTTAAACAAGGAATAAAAACATTTGCATTCTCAAAAATTCTGTTTGTGTTATTGCTCAAAGAATCGTCTCTGAAGCAGTGAGGTTACTTATAAGGTATAGAAGCAATTATTTCCATTATTTTACTGGTTATCAGTCATTTCCTCAATAGGTTAGGCTGAAATTGGTTAAAATAGTAAGCTGATGAATCATCTAAGTTTTAATTTGATATGGCTACCACTATAGTGTAGTCTTGTTTATAAAAGGAAATGGCATTAGCCTGTAGATCCTTCTTTGAGATATCAAGGATTTCCTTAGAATGACACAACTGGAACACAAGTAAAATCATTCCCTCTACTTCCGATGTTGGGTGTGGGAATCTGCTTCACCCTGAGTCAGACCAGTTGGTGCAACTAGCCCAGTACATCACCTCCGACTGGCAGTGGATTTCCAGAGTTTCAGACAGAATAATTTTCTTACCCTACTTGGATATTCCTGGTATTTACTAGTGGTCTACCATCCAAGAACTAATCAGGCTCAACTCTGCTTCACTTTCAACATTAGGTATTATCTAGTATATGCAGAGTGATATGGTGGCTTGAATAAACGCTTCTCCTCATGTAGCCAAAATACTACCAACTGTCAGTAGGACTGGGGTGACTTCAAGATTCACAAAAAACTAATTAGGTGGAAATAACCCTAAGGGGAGATAGCTTCCTCAAACAGTCCAATTCAGGACTGAGAAAACTCAGTGTCTCCCACTGGAAGATGGGAAGGAAATTCAGGGGCTGGGGGGGGGAACACAATGGAGTAGCAGCAATGCATACTGCAGTATTCTGTTGAAAGGCCACCTGGTGTATTGCCCTCTCAACAAACTGTTTAATAGCTATAACACTACATGATTACTGAGAGTGGAACTGTCTCTGAATGTGTGCCTAGGGCATGATTTCCCTACCAGAACATAAACAGGACAGGTTTCAAACAAAGACAGTGCTCACAATCTGGAGTATTTGTGAGATGACATCTTCTCTCCTAGTTAGTCAATGAATAAACCAGATTAATCAATGTATCAGGCACTGAAAAAATGCCCATGTTTTGAGGAATTTCTGCATTTGCTCTATGAGAAGTGGCCAGACACAGGAAATGGGCATGCTGAATCTTGTTAGAAAAGAGAACGAGGGAAAAAGAGCCAACTTCCTGACAACCTTTGTTCACAGTAAACAGATCTCCCTTCATCAGTTGGTGAAAGCACTGCACAGATCCAGTAACATCCAGAAACTTTATTTGGCTCTGTTTAATGCCTACTGGAAAAAAAAAACTGAATACTTGCATGTCAGAGCTGTGCAGTGAACAGGAAAAAGGCACATGCCTCCTATAAATCTACAGTATTAAGAGCCCACAAGTTATTAATTCTTTCACCGACTTCAAAGGTCTGCCAGCATATCTGGGAGACTATTGCCTCCATGACTTCATTTTTTTATAATACTGAGGAATTTAGAAAACTAGCAAGATAATAAACATGCAATTTCCTCTTAGATCCCAAAGAGACCTCTTACCTCCCTCGGAGCTGGATTGCTTCATCAAACCTTTTCTCATCCATTGCTTTCTGGACATCTTTGGTCTATAAAGATTTTAAAAAAAAACCAATGATAGGACTCCCACAGATAGAAACTATGAGAGATATCTAATAAAACCAACCATACAATATTAATTCATGTTTTGTCTGTTCCTACACATAAAGCCTTTATTTGGCAACTCCATATAAAACCTAGAAGCAGACAGGATACAATGAAAGGCAGAAAGAAAGATGTAGAGAAAGAAACATTTAAAAAAGGTAGAAGAGGTGAAGGATAAAGAGAATGCGGACTGCTGAAGATGCAATGACTTTTAACTTCCTCTTAACAAAGGCTGGGCTGAGCCAGGACATCCCAGTAAGAGAGGCACGATATTATTTATGTCTTGGCCACTACTGGAAATGAACACAGTATTAATCTTCATTGCCAGGGGTGGGCAATTTGTAGCCGTTCCAGTGTTTGTGGACCTCAGGTCCAAGCAGCCCTAGCCAACAGGGCCAATGTTGAGACAGGAGGGAGTTGCAATCCCACAACATCTGAAGGGCCACAAATACCTTCAATCTGAATCTAAATCTAAAATGATTTTTTCCTGCATTCTTCTGAATATTATGAATATCCACTGCTCATTCCTGCAACGGAAAACAGCTTGTCCTCTTCATGTACTGCAGTTGTCAAATGCGCATAGCTGATAATTTCCTTTGGAAAAGGATTATCCAGGGACCTGGTGGTTCCACAATTAAGAAGCCCAAACCCTTCATCCACAGTGTATGATAGAAACAACTTATACAAACAAGGCAGATAACCCTGATTTTTGCACAGTTGATTTTGAAGGTCGCTTTTCTCCCACAGTTAAACCGATTTTAAATGTTTTAGTAAATGAGGATGTTTTATATATTAATGCCTGTTTTGACGTCTTCATTTCCCCCCCATTGTGAAGTGCTTTGAGACATTTTGTCCAGATATGGCAAGCTGTCTCTACAAACCAATTAAATAAACAAACAAAAAGATTTAAACAAACACATTATATCTGGGTTTGGATAAAAGTTCAAGGGAAATGGAAAGAACTCATATGATAAGAAATTACTGTGTGTAGGCAAAGAAAGAGATTCCTCTAAAGAGGCAAAGGCATCCAAGATGGAGCCAGGCACTGGAAAAGGCCAATAGCCATGTTAATTGTATCATATCCCTAGCACACTCAAATTCCAACCCAATCTCTATTTTCTGTGTTTCTATCAAAATATGGCAACACTATTTCAATTGTTCCCCTGCCCCCTGCAGTGATTTGTTAATTTTAACTGAAAGCTGAGATTTTAAGTATTCTATCTTAAATATCATATTCCTGATACAACCGTACAATACACATGCTTTGCAATAGCAGCTATCTGTTGACCGACATCACCACATTTAGACTCTGAACCTCCATAGGTAGGAAATGATACTTCTTTTTACGGCTTCTGGAATTGCCCTGCCCTGTATGGCTGGTTGGGAGCTTTAGTCCAAAGTTGTATTATTTCCAAAATCTGCCAGTCTTGCCATTCATTAGAAAAACAGGTCTTAAAAGCTAGATAATCATTAGTGTTACAACTCTCTATCCTGTATAGACGATGGCTTCAGTCAAATACTCACCACTTGTACGCATTCCATGAGGGGCAGACGCACTGACTGGTTCCCAGAGAGACTCACCACACAGGCTGGAGTGTCTGGAGTTGCTTCTAGTAATGCCATCACTGCTTCCATGCCCATTTTGCTACTCTAAAAGTACACACAGTACATTTCCTGTGAGGAGATTGGCTCAAAGTTGGTATTTACTGTGTTGTGAAACACACACATCTGTTGCATGGCTCAGGGCCAGGAGCAAATGTTACATATAAGGAGACAGATAGATCCATAGCACTTGCATGTTAAGCTACACAGTATATATTCCTCTGCAGGCACAAACACGCTCCTTTCCAGACCATCACACATTTGGAGGACCCACAGTATATATTCCTCTGCAGGCACAAACCTCCTTTCCCGACCATCACACATTTGGAGGACTGCAATGGATTTGGCACACAGCTGCTTACTCTTTCCCAATTTATGTTCTGAGGTGTTATTAGCAACCTGCTCAAGAGCAGCCATTCTTCCCAGCTATCTCTCACCTCATTAACACATCCTGCTCACTGCCAGATAAGCAGATATTCTTTAATAGAATACTAGAGAGCAAGCCCTTCAGAAGCAAAGAGAGGCATGAGCAGATGGCTGTGCAGATCAGTCAGTTTGTTGTTTATCCAGCCAAGAAAGGGAAACGGGTTTCTTAGTTTTAAGTTCCCATTCTGGGTAGTGCCAGGGTGGAGCAATCTTTTCTTTTTGGGACAGTGCTTCCTCTGGGTCAGAGGGTGGAGCTGGTCCACAAAGAGGCCAAAGAAGGCACGGCCAGGCTGTGCCAGAAGCTGGAAAAACGGTGACCTCCCATCCTGGTATACTGAATAAACCTCCAGAGTGCAAGATAAGCACATGAAATACCAGGCTGACCAAATGCTAAACCAGGGTGGAGCAATCTTTTCTTTTTGGGACAGTGCTTCCTCTGGGTCAGAGGGTGGAGCTGGTCCACAAAGAGGCCAAAGAAGGCACGGCCAGGCTGTGCCAGAAGCTGGAAAAACGGTGACCTCCCATCCTGGTATACTGAATAAACCTCCAGAGTGCAAGATAAGCACTTGAAATACCAGGCTGACCAAATGCCAAAATGTTCTCTCTTTTTTTAAAAAAAGAGCAAAACGCAGCTTCTGGAACATTTCAGAAAGCAAAAACATGAAGGTAATAGAACAGAAGTTTATTCTAACACTCAGATTCTCTAGAAGTGTAACTATATATTCACTCGGTCCTTTCTTGTGACATTGGAATTCCTGGTGTGATCTTCCACTCTTCATCAGTTTTCTTTTGTCTGGAGGTAAAGAATGAAGAGGACCATAAAGGATGTCCTTTGCTCAGGGAAAGCAGCTGTACTAAAAAAAGACCTCATCATGCAGGTGTGTCCAAACTGCGGCTCATGGGTTGGTGTGATTTCTGAAAGGCCATTTTTGAGCCTCTCAGAGAGTAACTGGCATGTCAAGAAAAAAGAATTACAGCCATTATTTTTCTATCCCTATAGGCTTATAAGAGGAGCAGCATTTTGGTGGGAAGGTGTAATCCTCCCAGAAATTAGAACTGGAAATGGAAATCCACTTACTTCTAGTTTTTCTATATATTAAAAAAAAACACCTCTGGTGAGGCTCACAGAATTGTTGATCGTGAAAACAGAGTCTCCGGGTATAGCAGAGTTGCTCATCTCTACACTCATGAAAAAGATCTTCTCACACCCAAGCCCAACTACGATAATGGCATAAAAGAAAAGAGAAAAAAGAGAAAAAAATCCCTTTGGTATCTGAAATTCAGAACAAAGCTTTTCCATTTGCTGCTGACTAGTCTATGAATGTGGAGGAAAACCCTGCCCTTAAGATGCTTGGCAGGTTGCCCCTAGCCTGCTCCACCTTGGTACCACTGAAGAACATCTGTGGTAGATCAGACCAGATTTCCAGAACTGATAACCTCCAGATATATCGGGCAACAGGTCTACCACCCAAGCACAATGATTGGTAATGCTGGCTGGAAATGATCTTCATGATAGAAATCTTAGTGATAGATTCCACATTCCTATTCGGACATACCCCAAAAGGCCCCCACACTTAGTAAAAAAAGGAAACCATATTTACCAAGACACGATCAAACGCTGAGGGGGTCCCCCCACGTTGCACATGGCCAAGGACAGTCACACGAGTGTCAAAGCCAAGGCGCTTCACAACCAGCTGATCACAAGTAGGGAGGAAACAAAAACAAACATGACAAGATCAATTTTATACATTCCCCTACCTTTTCCCATAATAAGTGGTAGAGGACAGAATTGTTTACTCTGTCTGTCACAAAGCAACTAATGATTACATCAAATGTCTCTGGGTTCATCCGAAGCCATGGCATGTTTACAGGGAATATTTCTATCAGTTCCATTTCCAGAATGTGAAAATTCCTGCACTGACCCTTTTCCTTTTCTAAGGTCTATGCACAGGTGAATACTTTCATTGCTCTTGTTCTATTCAATTAAAAAAACTGTCACTTACCTCTTTAACATAATTTGAAGTGATCGGTTTCCCATTCCTATCAATGGCACCTTCAGCAATGATGATAATATTCAATCGGGATCCTCTGCTTCGTGCCTGTATGAAGAAAAACAGGGACACTAATCACTGATGCATCAGGCAAAGGCCAAAAGGCTACCTTGATCGGGGGTTTTAGCCATGTTCAACCAGTCTTGACTGGGGGTTCTGTAAGCAACAGTCCAAAAAGTCTTCCAAACTCTTATATTTAGCACCCTTGGTTTCACACTCAGGAGTTCCTCTCTCTTTACTTGTTTTGTTTTATTTTGTAAGCCACCCCGAGTAGACATGGTCTAGAGGGGCGGGGTAAAAATCAAATAAATAAATAAAATAAAATAAATAGGAAGTCTGTATATCCTGCAAGCTGAGAATGATGGCGAAAAGAATGTCTGAAATGAGCCATGTGGTCCTGCACCTTTTACAGCTCTATTCCTCAATTCTGTAAGATTTCATCTTGCCCTTTCCCCATAATTCTACACCTTTACTGGCCTGCTTTGATTATTCATTAGCATTCCTAACAGAAGATATGCAGGTGAAGATTTTTGAGATCAATATTTCAATAGCACAGATGGATCAAAAGATAAAAATCCTAATCCTTTCAAACTCCTAGTGAAATATGCTTTATTTACAATGACGGCTACAAGACATTTCATAGGAGAAGCAAATAAAACTGAGCTAGCCCACCATTTCCATTTCAGAAGTTACACTATTGAGTACCAAACACAATCACTGCCATTGCTCACCTCACCGAGCCTCTCACACATAAAATCCTCCCAGCCATCCTCAGGTGGTGACTCAGGGATGAAAAGCCAGTCAGCACCAGAAGCCAAAGCCGAGACTAATGCAAGGTATCTAGAAAGAAAATGAGAGTCCGGGGAAAGAGTCAGCTTGTGAATGGCAGCCCTGGGTATCAATACAGACATTAGAATTACCTCCCCAGTATTCAAACTAATTCAGGATTTTCAAGATCTGAGACTGTGGTCAAAGATATCCCCTACAGCTTATACATTTCTTTCAGTTTAATTCCCTAAATGAAAAATTGGACCCCATCAAGCCTCCTCCCTCCACTGACCCACCTATGAAAGGACAACAAAAAACTCTTGTCTTACCCACAGTGCCTGCCCATCACTTCCAGCACAAATGTCCTCTGGTGGCTGAAAGGCAACATTAGAGAGCAAAGACTTATGCCGGTGACTATTTAACACATGCCCAAACTACATCCTCCCACTACTGCAATATCAACATGCACATGAATTGGACAAGGGAAGCAAACAGCACTAATGCTGGGAGAAGGACAACATGAATGGGCTCACCCTCTTTGTGAGCACAAACTTTAAAAAAAGATCCTTGCAAGATCTTCTAAACTGCTGCTGACTGAAGAGGATAACAGTGAGAACTGAAATTCCTTGCTACAAAACATCCCTGGCTACAGGTCCATTTCTGGGCACAATTCAAAGTGCTGGATTTGACACCCCATGTGTCAAATGAGGTTATGCTCAGCACATTTGAAGGACTGCATCTCCTGTTATGAGCCTCTCTGGTTTTTATGATGTTTGGAGGAGACTTTTCTCGCAGGAACCAGGGGAAGGAATAAAATGTTGCCTTCACAGTGGTTGTTTTGCTCTGATGGTCTTATGGAGCCATGTGGCAAAGAAAACAACTGGGCCTTACATCTGACCTGTTGGGGGAAAGTTATATATTCTAGAACAGAAACTCTAAAGTGACACAATATTTTTAACTGGATGGGAAGACAAACATTTTCTTAAAAACATGCCATATGAACATAGAGTAATGTAAGATCTAAGCAACAAAACTAACAATAAAGGTGTGTGTGTCCCCTGCAAAAAGTGAGCTACTTTTACAGTGTAGAAACCAAAACAAAACTGAACAACTTAAGAAAAGTCAGATTCAGAGAATCACACTTACCCATGACTGGTGCGAGGCAGGAAATAATTGCAAGTAATGAAGCTCTCAAGCTAGTCCTAGGCAATGTGCATGCCTTTTGAAAAGAAGATAGAGAAGGTCTGAAAAATAATGTCCTCACCTCTGGGCAGTAGTGGTGATTGCATCAATAACCTCCATGATACGATGCAGAGCAGAGTCTGTGCCAATGGTCATATCTGTGCCACAGAAGTCATTGTCAATGGAACCCACCAGGCCAACGATGTTTAAATGACAGTATGTCTGAGCCACCTCCTCCGTGATCTTTCCTTAGAAAAAATGTGACAGGATTAGCAAACAAATATGAATATAGCGAACATGTCCTAAGAATATCCAAATAAATTGCCGCTTTCCAAAGAAGTGTACAAAACAAGAGAGGTTAAAATTATATGGATAGCTTTGACAGACAAGTGAGGTGGGAGTTTAAGAATATTAAAAGGGAACAATGAAAATGCATAAACTTGTTTTTCAAAACAATTTTTATTGACAACTTTTTTTTGAACATTCAAAGGGAAGTAACCACCCTATTATTCTAAGAGGCCCTTTTTTGTTTCAGTCTATAGGAACCCAACTACCAAGGTTTGCTATAAGAGGAGAAACAGCCTCCAAAACTCATGTTGACTCAGTCAAGCCCTAAGGCTCTGGCAGCAGGATGTAAGGCCAAGATTCATACATACCTTCTGTGACAAGCTCTTCCAAAAGTCCACCCCATTCTGTGCGGAAGATATTTGCACCAGTCAGGCTTCCATCTCCACCAATGACACACAGGTTGGTGATACCATGCTGCACCAGGTTGTACGCAGCCTGGAGGCGGCCCTCCCGGGTGGTGAATGCTTTACAGCGGGCACTACCAATGATGGTGCCACCCTACAATCAAAGATGGCCAGTGAGAGAAGGACACGAAATATACAGATTATAAATTAGCAGTGAAATCCATATATGAGTCTGAAGGTCAGCAGCCAAAGGCTATGCTGAAAAGCTGGGAATTTCAATAGAAAATAGATACAGTCACTTTCTAAGAGTAGTGGTGAAGGAAAAATGGCTCTGTTCCCCCAGATACAAGCAGATTTCGATTACCATGTCTTTTAGCTGAAGAAGATGCATGCCATGAAGGTAGGGAGAGAGTTCGTATTTTTCATTTCTGTCCTGCTTTAGCACTGGCACAAATGCAGTCACTCTGAGAAATGGGATTACTTTAATACAGTGGTTCCAACCTTGGGTAACCCAAGTGTTCTTGGACTGCAACTCCCAGAAGTCTTATCCACTAACTGTGCTGGCTGGGGTTTCTGGGAGTTGCAGAACCCCTGGGTTACTCAGGGTCAGGAACCACTGCTTTCATAGGTATCTGTAGAAGTAACTGGAAGAGATGTCAAGAAGATAGATGTCTATCAGGCCATGCTGTCCGGGTTACTCAGGGTCAGGAACCACTGCTTTAATACATAGGTATCTGTAGAAGTAACTGGAGGAGATGGTGAAATGTCAAGAAGATAGCTGTCTATCAGGCCATGCTGTCTGACTTTTCATCTACTTTAGTCTTGTTGAAATGTGATTATAACTGCTGTCACAACAGCACAGGCAGTTCTGAATATGGTTAACATGATTCCATGCCAGCTGACAGCTGACCTAACTGTCAGGCCAACTTTCCTTTTGAAAGCAGCTTGGGCAGCAAACCTAGGGAAACAGAGGTCTTCCACAGCTGCAGCACAGCAAAGTTCCACTCATTTTATTCTGCCTTACAGAGGCTTCTCTCCCATCAAAATCAAACTCTCTCCTGTGGTTGTTCATGCATAACGGCTGTTCAACTAGTCCCTCTGCCTAGATTCTCACAGTGCTGATTATCACTGCTGCAATAAGGGACTCATTTCACCATACACTCTGCTCTCACAGTGGAGAAGGATGATTGCAGCAGGATTAGTGCAAAAAACCCTAACATCCATCATACTAAAATTCTGGAGTCTTCTCAATAAGTACTGTTTGAAAAGAAAACAGAGATCAAGAGAAATGCAAACATATTGATAGCAAGTGGTTGCTATCACTAGTAGTAAGAGCAGTGAGGAGGAATAACATGCTGTTAGCACAGTTAGCTTTCACCTGGAATGCTGTTATAAACAGATGAAGAGGTGCAAGGGCACCCAAAAACTGGCAGAAAAGAGCAAAATACTAGTAGACAGTCTACATGGAAGGTAAGAGACGGTGTTGCACTCCGCATGCCAACCTTACTTAAGGTTATAGCCATCAGAAACAGCAGCTGCATCAATAGCAGCAGACAGACACAAAAGGGTGAGAGACAGAGGGGTGGGCAAGCCTTCAGAGGCATGCAACATCAGATTGTTACCTGAAGGGAAAGGAGACATACCAGTCAAATTGGGAAAAGCTCTAAGAAGAAGGGGATAAACCACATAAATACTCTTGTGAGTGGAATCAGCAGGTCCAAATGAGATAAATTTCTGACAGATCCACTTAGGAAACAATTCCAGCTCAGTAGCAAGGAAACTGCAGGACTGCCCGGAGAAACAAAGGGGAGCTGCAGTATACTAATATTGCAGCATGATTTTTGAGATGTCCATAAACCATGCTGTAACATGAATATCTCAAGTAATTTTAAAAGAGATTTCAGATGAAAGACAGGAACACTTGATTCACTTCCTAGTCATAAATTGAATATCTGAGCAAAGCAGGGTCACTTGATCTCAATATACCGGGAAACTAACCATTTCCTTGTATAGGTATATAACTCAAGAAGCTATTAACATTTAATTGTTTTTGAAATATAAGGACTCGTCCTCACCAGATATCTTCTATTTTAATAAAGACAAAAAGTAGAAAATATACACATCCTGTTCGGTAGCGCAGATATAGCTTTTCTAAGGAGGCTGTACTTGCAAGCAGTACAATACTGTAGTTGGCATAAATGTCCTCCATAAAAGCACACTGCAGTGAAATTTACATATCACAACAAGTCAACATTCATTAAAATGCCTGGAAATCACTGCCCAATCATCCCTGCTTTGCTTCTACTACAAGCAGAAGTGGCTAAACAAACTACATACCTTCCCTCTGTACTCTGTGCAGTGTCGCAAATGAAGCAAGACCCTTGCTTGACTATCCCCCAACAAAACCAAAATGATAACAACAAACCAAGGCTTATGACTCAGGCCTATTTGGGGACAGATAAGCCACTAGGGATAAGACTTTCAAAATTTAAGAACTTGCAGTCCCATAATACAGCCAGAACTCCACCCTTAGGCAGAATTATGGAAGAGAAAGCCTCCAAACCAGAAAGGTTTAGTGCCTCCATGCTGCTGCTAGACCACTTCTTTTTTGAATGGTAAGAAAAGTGCCCCACTTCACAGTGTGTGTCCCAAGGGTATCTGAGACTCACGAAGGTCTGTGGGAGGGTGAATCCCAAGGCCAACTACAATACATAAAGGAAGCCTCCAACAGAACTACCTCTCCTATGGATCTTGATGAGTTGTCTCAGGTACAGTAGCTATTATCAAAGTCATCTTAAAAGAAACTGCATAAAACTTAGCAAACCAGAAGGTTCAGTTCTATAATATTTGCCAGGCCAAAAGCTGCCCACCCCATTTTACAAATATGATAGCCCCTTAGTCATGACTTTGTAACAGAATTGCTGTTGATCAAGAACATGGTGAAAGATGGGAGCTGAAAGTGACCGTCACCTGCATGGTGAGAACTGAAAAGATATTTTGAAAGAAAAAGAAACTATGTTGTTACACTACCTCAGCAGTACCTATTTCTACTCTAGAACAAAACCAGGGCTCATGAGAGAAGAAAGACTCACTAAGATTCCAGTTCAGAAAGTTATATCCAATTCGAGAATAAACAGAGCGTTGTATTCCAGACGTCTCAGGCAGACCTCAGACAGAAAACGTCCTGAAGCCTATCTGCTCATCCACCAGCCTTACCAACTGAATGATGTTGGACACGCTGAGCCAGGTTGCCTGCTTGATGTTTTCCCCTCCTTCTACAAGTCCCTCATAACCCTGGAAAGGAGAAAAAACAGCCTTGTTTAGGCAATATTCCACCCAAAAGTTTTACTCCTTTTTTCATGAAAATTAATGACTTGTAAAACATATATACAGTATTCTTCTTCATTTCTAATATGCAGTAGGGTTATGTGACACAGAACATAAAACATGACACAGAGACTTCTAGGTCTTCACTTCTAGCATCCTTCCTGGCTGCTTCTCTACTAGATCACCACTGTACAAATATGGGTAGATAGGAAGCTTTCTGATATATTTATGCTTGTGCATTGTAATAATCGTTCTAAAAGAGAAGTGCATTCATCTACAAAGAACCCTGTATCTGATGATGCCAGCACTGTATTATCTTAAATGCCAGGTCAGGTTTTCAAAATGTCACTTTTGTTTAATTTTTTTTTACAAAAAAACATATACAGTATAATTGTGCGTTTAATGCTTATTGACAGATTTAAGACTGTTGTCTTTCCTGTTCAGATAAAAAATTGTTTTATCACATTGAATGTTTAATTTATGAATGTTTAATTTTTATGCATAGTGCTGTGAAATAATCTTTAGAATAAGGAATCTTTAATTTATAGACATTCTTTAATGTTTAATTGAATGTTTGATTAATGAAAAAATAACAAGTTCAAATATATTGAAGAATGTCTTACAGTTGTAATAAAAACTGTACGGACATATACTTAAAAATATATCCTTGCAACTTATGAAAAGATGCAGAAATCCAAACTTAATTTATATGGAAAACACAAGCCATGTGTGAATACAAAATACAAGAGCATCTCTTTTAAGAGTGAAGACTCTTTTAAAAGTGCTTATACGAGTAGCCTAATAAAGCATGTTTTAAAACAAGATACACAATACATTTCTTAAAACAATAAAACCCAACCTTTTAGCATACTTAGACACACCCAGAAAAAAATACATTTGCACATGCTCATCCAGCCCAGCCAGTTAAAAATCTAAGGAGAAAATTCTATGCTGATTGTTACTGTCCACATCTGGAAACAAAGCTTGCTGCTGTGCTGCTACATCTTCTTTGATGTCCAGTACCCAAATTGGCATGGAATAGGGCTGAATGCTTATGCATTCATGACTCTATATGTCCTACCACCATATATTTATACTGTGTGTGTGCTTCTTTATAACCCAAACATATCCACTGAGGCAGCAGAAAGCTGGAAGAGTTAATAGCTGAGGTGGCTACTAGCTAAGAGTGCCACTGACGAGGCATGCCACTGGTTAGGTCTGCTGTTCTAAAGTGATTCATCTTAATACTGTTAGATGGTGATACAATACAATGAAAGATATACAAAGATATATAAATATTTAGCTGACAAAATATGTTTACAAATTCCATAACCTTGATCTGCAATATGGCCAGTCAATGGTTTTAGAAGTGTTTAGTACACTTAGAAGTGTGTGCCCACTCCACACACACACACAAATATTGACCACTGCATCGAGGATGAAAATTAAAATTGCACCTCATAGATCAGGAACACTTTAGCTCCAACATATATTCCCATGCGAGTCACAGCTCGAACAGCAGCATTCATGCCTAGAGATGGAACACAAAGTTAACAATAGCTGCAGCATAACACACCTCTGTACTTTTATTTGTGCAAAATTCATGGTTATCTTTACATAAAGCAACACTGCAGAAGTTGTCTCTGCCCATATGTTTGCTGTGCACTGCACACAGAACTTACAGTCTGTGTTAACAGTTGGCCAAGATGCAGACTGTGAACATGAACCTATCCACTAGGAAATATACACGATTGAACATGGTGGGGCTCACCTCTGAGAAAAAAAAATGTATAGGACTCATTAGATATGGATGTTTACGACAGGATTACTGTACCATCAGTGCAGGGTTGCCACTCAAATATTATTTTCCATTTTCCTAAATCTGTCCCAGAAACTTCAGTTGTTTTCTGTCACCACCATGTTAAAATAAATCCAAGTTTTAAAAAGTGTAAGTTACATTACATTAAATAAATGTCTTATTAAATAAATCAGTAGTTTGTTTTTAGCAGCCCTGAAATATTATTGGTTTGGTTTGGTTTTTGAATAGCAGATCCAATATAAGTTTCTTTTAACAGTGACTATAAACTGAAGAAACACATCTGTTTTAAAATGAGAATAAAACTACAGAAGTGCTTGTCCCCTAAACTCTCAAAGTAGCAAGCCCCATTTGCAAGCTTTATGTTGCATGGTCCAGAAAATGCTTATTCTCTGAAATTCAGCAGCAGCATACTCCATTTGCAAGCTTTTCATTTAACCTGGCTCCACCTTCTGTCTGTCATTCCCTTTACAAGCATGATCCCAACTGTGCACAGTCTGCATATTTGGGTGTTGGTGGTAGGACGTTTTCAGTTACTTTGTACTTTATTTTAAACCAAGCATAAGAGGAAGTACTAAAAGAAACAATCCAGTAGATAATCTGCAGTGTACCCAGAGCAAGGTAAATGTCTTGAGCATCTCAACCAGCAGATGCTCTTAATCAGTCCCAGGCTGAGCGAAACTGGCATCGCTCAGAGAGCCATCCAAAATCTATTATCCGAGTTCCAAACAATTTCCATAGTTCAGCTTTCCCTCATTTCTTTCATCCAGCTCCATTTTAAAAATAAACATTGTACTGCTGAATTTGCGTCAACTATTAAAGGTAGAGACTTAGATAGGGCTTGTGCAAACTCTTCCACTCCCGGAGGTAGGAAGCAAAGTGTCATGGCCCCCACCTTGTAAGAACACTATGAGATTAAAGAATAGAAAGCCAGCACCAGCTTGTTCCTTGTTCAATCACCCCTTCTGTAGCTCACCCATTTCGCTAAAAGATTTTGAAATAATGTATAGTCTGGGAGTGGAGAGTTTTTAAAAAAGGTAAAGGTTCTCCTTGACAATTGTTCAGTCATGTCCAACTCTAGGGGTTGGTGCTCATCCCCATTTCCAAGCTGTAGAGCCAGCATTTGTCTGTAGATAGTTTCCATGGTCACATGGCCAGCGCGACTAGACATGGAACGCTGTTACCTTCCCACCGAGGTGGTACCTATTTAATCTACTGTACTCGCATTTATATGTTTTCAAACTGCTAGGTTGGCGAGGAGCTGGGACAAGCGACGGGAGCTCACTCTGTCACATGGATTCAAACTGCTGGTCTGATGACCTTGCAGCCCAGAGGCTTTGCAGTTTAACCCACAGCGCCACCACATCCATGGGGGTTTAAGGCCTGGCCAAAAATCCTGCCTAGTTTTTTTGATCATGCTTTCCTACAAGGCCTTTGTCCTGAGCACCCTCAGAGGAGTAGGACACATGCTCCACATTCTAGTACTAAAAACGATTACTTGGCCGAGCAGTTCAAAAGGCAACTTTTCCTTCAGTTTTAAGCCATTCTTTGTGAGGTAGTATTTTCAGTTTAGCTCTCCTTCGTAGATCTTGGTCTTACAATGAATTTGTTTTAGGAGTGTACATTAACAAATATAAACAAATACATTTTAGACCACACAGAATTTTGCTGGGCTTTTTAGGGCAAGTACTTCCAGTTTACAGGAAAATGTAATCAAGGTACTGTAAACTGATTCTTACTCCCACTCTTCCACCTTTAAGGAGAAAGTACACCTATCTCTAAACTAAATATCGACTGTTACCTTTTCCTTCGGCTTCTGTCTGCTTATTCATTTTGTTTCCTTTTTTCAAATGACTAAACAGTTCTCTGTTCAAGTACAGTATTTGTTAGGTGCTTTCTTTTTCCTTTCTCAAAAAAGTTGTTTCCTTTCATCCAGTTAAGCAAAACCACCCAGGAAGGTAGGGGACATGACTGCTATAACAGCCAGCCAATCTGTAGTATGCCCTAATTCTTCTGTATTTTTAAGAAACAAAATTCTCTTAAACTTAATCTGGGACAAGTTTGAACTACAACTCCCAGAAGCTTTCACTACAAGCTATGTTGGCTGGAGTCTCTGGGAACTGCACTCCAAGAGCAACTGGGTTACCCAAAGTTGGGAACCACTGATCTAGGTGAATAAATGGTATGCCTAAAATGCAGTGAGCACTTACAGTAGGATTCTTGCCCAGCACAGGAAAAACTAAGTACATCTGTAGTGCCTGCCAGATCTTTTGCTACTGCATGGTTGTGAGATTTGTACTGTACCTTAATCGATCATCTTGGTTTACATAAAGAATTATAATCAAACAGTCTGATATCTCATAATCACAAGCTAATCTAAAATTGTTTATATACTACTGGTACTTGACATATCTCATTATATATATCAGATTATGGCTGAGCATATCACTGGTTTCATTGGAAAAGGCACAATCTAGGCTTTTCTCCAAGGGAGAAAAAGCACAGCACAGGCCCACCCCATTATCTGCCCACTTTTTTGGAACAACCAATAGGAGTAAGGGAAATTGTTTTCAGGAACTAGGAGAAAACAAACAAGAATGACAACCAGCTGAACTGCAGGGAAAGCACTTGTCAGCTCGTCCTCAACAGGTGCCAAGCAGAGCAAAACATGTTGTGGGCGAGAGGTAGAATCAGAATCTCTTTTTTTGTGATAGTTCAGAGAGACATCTAAATAAAAGAATCAAAGTGTGTACAAGATAGGTTAACTAGACTGGGCCCTGGGACATACAGGTTCAATTCTCCACTGAGTCATCAAACTTACTGCAGGATCTTGGGCACTCATCCTCTCTCAGCATGACCTATCCTGAGAGTTTTATGGGGAATAAAAGGAGGAGGAGGAGACCCACATGTTCCCTGAGCTCACTGAAGGGAAAATATGACATACACATAACCAGGGCTTGAAAAATCCACTCATCTGTGAGAGGTGAAAAAACACTGCTTGACAAGCCACAGATCCCTCCATCCCTCCTTGCCCTCACTTCATCTCTCTCTCTCTCTCTCTCTCTCTCTCTCTGATACTGCAGTCCTCCCCTCCCCCTTCCCATTGCAAAAGGAAAAACAGCCCTCTTTTCACAAGAAGAGAGTTTAAGTGGCACACAGATATATAGCTCTGCAGGAGAATGTAGAGTAGTCCCATGCAGGAGAATATGGAGATTCCCTGCTCCCAATTTCAACTAAATAAGGACACATTCTGGGGTGGGAGGGAACCAAGAAAGGCATTCAAAATACAAGCTTCATGACCCCACAGGCACGCAGGTAATAAAGCAACCCAAGTCTGAGGGTATATTTATTTTGGGTTTGTACGCACTGTTATGTAGAAAGTGCCTAGTTTAAATTTAAGTTTAAACATAAATTGCAAGGCTATAGTCCAATTATGCTGACTGGTGAAATTTTTGAATGACTTGTGAGACATTCTAAACATTTTCAAGCCCTATATAGAACAGTGAATACTATATTGGCTTACACCTTGACACAGCAACTATGGCCTCTGTAGAGTGAATCTTCACCCATTCACATACTGTCATGAGTGCAGCTGAAGACCTGGAACCAGAAGGGTTAACTGAGGCTGAGGAGAATGCTGAGCAATCAGAAACACCTGAATCACCTACAGATTCTCCCTCCCCAGCAGACAAGCTTCTGGCCAGGCTTCGGGAAGACTTATGGCAAAAAGGTCAGAGGATCCCTCGAAGGCTGTCCACAGAAACATTCGTTCAACTAGCCCTGAGTATTGACAGGATGGAAAGGTTTCCAGCAGCTCAAGGGGCTGTTTTGCTATAAAAACAGCTCCTAGTCAGCTAGAATTCTGTGGAAGCAACAAGTCAAAACCTCTGACTTGCATCCATGCTCCTACAACCTTGAACCGTGTTTCCTGAACTCCTGACTCTGGACTCGGACTTTGGACTACATTGTGTGTTTGACTCTGGACTCTGACCTTGGACTACGTTCTGTGAGTTGGTTTGGTAATTGGATATCGGCTTTACATTCCTAGTATTCCTGACTTTGGACTGGCTTATCGGACCTCGGCTGTTGTTACTCCCGGGAACGTGACACATACCCATTTTTGGCAAAGACAATGACTACACCGATACATAGTTAATCTTGCTGTGTACAGAAGTAGATAAAAGATCAAATGATCTGTCTTCTTCAAGAAGAATCGAATGCAGAATGTGGAAAACCACTGCAACACTCAGCACGGACAGGGTCTCTAAGTCCACTGCTTTATCTCCAAATGCATAATGAAATTGTACCAGCATCCTCTGACAACAATGCAAAGAGATTCTAGTCTGTATTCAAATACAACTCCTACCTTGTACAAATTGCTCCTGCCTATGGTGGGATACTTAGTGTGGTATAATTATAATAGACAGAGTGATGGACCAGGACTAGAGATGGACACAAACCGGTTCATCTCAGTTCATGAAGGCAACAGCACAGGTGCTGCTCCTCCCCTCCCCCGCCTCCTCAGCCACTCACCAGGCCCAGCTTGCTTGCTTTTTCCACTTCCTCGGCTAATCTTCCAGTCATGAGGAAGAGCACAAACTTCTATGCCCCACCCTTTTGTCTGAACAGGAGATCAGTGAAGAGGGCAGGGCAGAGAAGCCTGAGCTGTTGCCAGGGCAGGAAGATCAGTTGATGAGGTGGACAGAGCCAGCACA